GCATTTAAACTTCCAGCTGAGGTGGTTTAAATTTATAAAATGTGCTGCACTGTTTTTTGGAAAACAGAAAAACTCGCCTTCTCTCCTTGTCACGGTTTCCCCTTGTTCCTTTTTCTGTTTCTTGCCCTGTGTTGTAGCCATGTGCTTTCTGCCATGTGCTTGTGTGTTTGTTTTGGTTCTTGCGCTCCGCCCTTTCCCTGCCTTCCCTATTAGTATCCTCACCTGTCTGTAGTCTTATTAGTTAGTTACTTAGTACCGTGTTAGCTTATTTTGGTTAAAGTCTGCTCGCACTTAAATCCAGCCTCCCTGAACATCCTCTACATGACAGAAGACCACACCGTTCAACATGGATTTAGCGAGCTTGTTCAAAGTACAAAAGAAGCTCATTGTGGAGAATGAGCTTAGGCTTCAGGAGGGTTACCGTTTGCTTCGCCAGCTTCAGCCGTTTCTCTCTGGTTGGGGTGAGAGGGCCACCTTGCTCTCAGCCCACATCTCCACCATCCTGCATGGGGAGAGAGCTGGTTTCCCCCTGGAGGATAATTTTGGGGGGACGCCAAGGTACTCAGGCTCAGACTGGTGTACCACTCAGCAGCAAGCCATGGCTGCTGCTTAAGCCTCCCCGGCCCATGTCCCACAGCCAGCCATAACCCAGGGGCAAGTGTCGTCCAAACAGGAGTTGGAGGAAGGCAACCTGTTGAGGAAGCGGAAGCGCAAACGCCGTGGGCGTAAGGGCAGTGAGGGTGCAGCCAGTCCAGCAGCACCGGAACTGTCGGTGACTACTGAGCTTCTTGCTGCTTCTGCACCCCAGGAACAGCCCATGTCTGCTTTCTCCACCGCTTCTCTTGATCCGCCTGCCTCCGAGGACGTCGCAGCAGGCCCACCTGCCTCTGAGGACGTTGCTGCAACCTCTGAATTTATGGACTTGCCCATAGCCTCTGTACATCCTGACCTACTTACCTTTTTGTGTCAAGTGCCGGCTCCCCGGCGTGTGTCAAGTGTTTCTGTACCCCAGGCAGCTCCTGTTCCTGTTCCCGCGCCCTGGGCAACTCCTGTTCCTGTGCCCCGGCCGCCCTTGCAGTCCACTGCACAACCTAAGAACTTTCAGTCTGTTTTATCCTGTGTCTAGACAATGTTTTACCCCACGTATTGTTCCCGTTTCTGTTAGAATGTTTGTGACTGTTTTTGTGTCCATTTCTAGATTTGCATCTGTCCCTGTTCCTGTCACTATTCCTGTCCCTGTTACTCTCATAGTCTCTGTCCCTGTTTGTCCCATGCCCAGTTCCTTGAAGCTCCCAGTCCTGTGTCTTGTTCCCTGTCTTGTCTCCTGTTTGGTCACGTTTCATGTTTTTCTGGTCCCTTCTCCTGTCAGATGGCTTGTTATTCGCGCCTCAGGAGCTGCGCGTTAGGAGGGGGTTCTGTCACGGTTTCCCCTTGTTCCTGTTTTTGTTTCTTGCCCTGTGTTGTAGCCATGTGCTTTCTGCCATGTGCTTGTGTATTTGTTTTGGTTCTTGTGCGCCGCCCTTTCCCTGCCTTCCCTATTAGTATCCTCACCTGTCTGTAGTCTCTGTCTCCTCCCTTTCCCAGCTGTTCCCCATTTGTTGTATCTTTTATCTAGCCCTTTGTTTCAGTCAGTGTTTGTCTGGTCTACTTGTCACTTTGTCTGATGTAGTTGTTCTTTCCTTGCCTCGTGTTTGCTCTTTGTGTTTCTTTGTTGAAGTCTTGTAGTTAGTTACTTTGTACCTTGTTAGCTTATTTTGGTTATTAAAGTCTGCTCGCACTTAAATCCAGTCTTCCTGAACATTCTCTACATGACACTATCTCTATATATTATCCACATTAAAATGCAGGTGTAAATACACCCAAGATGCATTTAAATCTGATTGTTCAGAGTACTGCAGGAGACATTACACAATGCCAGATGTTCTACAAGCGTAAAGTACATCCATCTCTCCAAGCCACATCTGACAACCAGAACCCTTTCCAATACTCTGGCAGCACTTTCCTCTGCTGTTTCGCATATAGGGAAAAAAAAGCCTTCTGTACTGCCACTGCTAAACCGAACCATCAGTGCTCCTTCAGTTCAGCTCTTGACAGACACAGCTCTTGACTCCTCTGAGTTTAATTCAGTAGCCTACAACAGCTTGAGCTAGTTAAAATAGTGTGCTATTTTATTTAATTCGCATCATTAGTCATTGTCTCGTTACATTATGTTTTAATACACATGGTCCTTCACTGCGACGACTAATACAGGAGGCCATTATTTTAAATAATTGTAAATTGGTGTACAGCCTGTGTAAGGAAATGACTAACACCATACAAAACTGTAATTTTTTAGTAGAATCCTTTGGATAGAATGGGAAAAATTAGGTACAACACAGGCTATTGGTTGTTGAATATGAGCTTATTTGCATATTAAGCTCTATTATATAATCTGTCCAGTTACAATCGCAATTGGATTTCAAACTGTTTAACCAGAGATGCATTTGACTACCTAGTGTAAATGCATGTGGTTAAGATCTTATCAGGTTACAATCCAGATACAAGTCATATGCAACAACCAGGTGTAAATGGGATCTTAGATGTAAAGCACCTCAGGGAACTAACTCATACACTCACTCACTAACGGTTAGTAAGTTGAAGTTTCTCCACAAGGGAGGAAAACCAAACCAGCAGCATCTCACTAATGCAAGAATGTTCGCAGTTACAAAAAATAAAAGGCTGAAGACATGCTAAATATACCCTAGGTGAGGATGTGGTTTTGTTTAACTAGGTCTAAAGTGACCAGCTTGAGGCAAATAGCTAACAGGCTACTTCAATAACTGTTAGGCATTAGATGTATTTATGAATCATTAACTATAAATCTATAAAAAAAGTTGTTTTTTTTATGTCTTAAAGGCTTTAAATGTCCACATGTAAGGTACAAATAAGCAGTTGTATTTAAAATATTTAAATTCATATTACCAATGTGTGCATTATTTAAGCATGCTTCTCAGGACTGGCTAAATAGACACAGCTTTCAATCAAAGATAAAGGTTTGTTTTACATTTAAAATGAAGTAACACAACTCCACAATAAGATAAACCTGGGTTAACAAATACTTGATTAGCTTTAAATTCTCTTTAATTTAATCCTTATTGGTTCAACCCAATCTCAGAGACTAAATGATTGCGTTGATTACCAGAAGAAGCCTAAAGCCTTTGATCATTCAAGATGGCAGTGGTTGTCTGTGAATAAATAGACCCAAGTGGCCAATGGCAGACATTTGTCAGTCATGAAGCATTATCAGTCACTTATCTTGTGATATGCATTGCTTCTGATGTTGGTTACAACTTGTCTGTCATCATCACTTTCACACCACAGCCTGATGTTTCTAAGGGCCATGGGTTATTTATCTGAGTGGCAGAAACAGTATCCAAACTGGAAATTGGCTGCAGTAATAATAAAAACACTTGGATAATACATAGCACTGCAACTTTCACTGTTACATTAGGCTAATCAGCATACAAGCTCTATTTGCATGTTGTGGCACAGAATATATAGGGAAGGAGCACAAACCCTAACCTGAATAAGAGTCGTTGAACAAAGCCTTTGAGGATGTTAACAAAGAGGTGGGGAATTTAGAGTTTGAGCTGTGTTTACAGAGGTCTACAGAGGCCTGAAGAATGGATTGAAAATTAAGACGAACAAGTAAACGTTTCATATTCTGTGTCATCTGTTTTCTTTTAGCAGAACTGGTCAGTCCTCAGAAACATGAGGCTGAGTACAAGGTCTCAAATGAGAATTTCATTGAGTTTCTGCAGTAAGTAAATGGTTAAGATTTAAACAAAGTCATTTAGAGTGGTTTGATGTGAAATGCTCCATTCTAGAGGCACTGAGTCAGAATTTTTCACACTTAGTGATGATAGGAACCAGACGTCTGAAGCATTTTGATGCTTAATAACAACTCCCTTACAGAAAGTTGTTACATGGAATGATTACAAGTATGTTACCTGATGCCCAAAACATTGTTTTACGATACATACAGAGTGTTCTAAGGCAAAAGTTTTGTCTGAATGCTATTTTACCCTTATTAACTTTACATATACAAAAAAACCGAGAAGACACTTGTGTTTTTGGATAGCAAGTAAAATGGCTATATTTGTGTTGCAGACATTGTGACCCCTGGTTCCTATTACCGCCACTATGAAGAAATGAGAGTCAGTAAGTTTGTACACAGTTAACTATTTCACATCAAACCACTCAACCCTTTTCAACCATTGCATTATTTTCTATAAGAGCAATAAACAGTCCAGCATTTTTGTATTTTACGTCTGTCACATATTTCTGATTCTCTTTTGCTCTGATGAAGGCCATAAGGAAAAGACAGTCTGCTCCATCTGCAGGTACTCATTCCCAAAAACAAAATAGATGGCCCTCTGTCTTTTTCTCTTTTTTCCCCATCTCAGCTTTGACCTGTTCAATAATAGTGCCCCCGGCATGTTCGTTCAGGTTCACTATGGGTTACTGCAAGAAAACCAGGATCAGACATCGTAATGTAAGACTACAGCTATAAACTGTTAACATCCACTCTGCTATTCTTGGGTTCCTGAGACCTGCTTGTTGGGAAGTGTATATTTAACCTTGCTCTTTGGCCCCTCTGCCCACTGTGTGCAACAGCTATCTGCTCCTAGTTATTCATAGCACTGGAGATTCATCCAGACTAGACTGGCCTTTAAACACGGCATGTGAACATGCCCACATGTCAGCCTGAAGATGTTACATTTAAGTACTGTAGTATGTTGGATGTGTTTATATACCAAAAACAACACTTTTGTTGTATGGCAAAGGAAATAAAGGCTGGAAATATCTTAAAAAGCAGCCTAGCGAATCATTAGAAGATGCCAGTGGAGTCAGTACTGAAATGATGGGAAAGGGGGACGTTTAGCGTTCAAGCTCCAGTGGACGGTCCATTGTCCGACACCTCCCATTTCGCACAGGCAACGCCCACCTCGTTTAGCCCTCGGTCACAACAACTTTTATTTTTTTTTGGACGGAAACGCCTCGGTTAGTGGGGTTTCAGAGTTTTGCTTCTGCGCGCGGTGAGGACGACGGACACGAGCGACCCCCACCATGCCCCGTTTGGCTCTCGTTCTGGGCGCGCTGACTCTGACTTTGTGGGCGACGTGCAGCCGCGGAGCCATGGACGAGTGCGCGGACGAGTCCGGGCGGCCTCAGCGCTGCATGCCCGAGTTCGTGAATGCCGCCTTTAACATGACCGTGGTGGCCACGAACACCTGCGGCTCTCCGCCCGAAGAGTACTGCGTGCAGACCGGCGTGACCGGAGTCACCAAGTCCTGCCACATCTGCGACGCCCAGGACCCGAAGCATCATCACAGCGCGGTCTACCTCACCGACTACAACACCCAGGCGGACACCACCTGGTGGCAAAGTCAGACCATGCTAGCGGGCATCCAGTACCCCAACTCCATCAACCTCACCCTTCATCTGGGTAAGCACCTCCGGCTTTGGGCACTCTTTAAAAATCTGTCCGGCTTTGTTGTTTCTGTTAGGAAAATTGGGATTTTTTTTCCTTAGATTGGCGCACATTTGTCATCAACGCAAAGTGTAGTCTACTCAGCCCACCCAGCCCCTTTAAATAAAGTTAGAAAGCTAGACAGTGTTGAACTTTGATTTCTGTTGGTTAGGCAATGTTTGATCCGTTGACTCGTGTTCGTGTTGCTTTATCGAAGACAGTATTATCAGTTCAGCCCCTGTTGTAAAAGGACAAGCACTGATTTTTGCAGTTGGCCTGCTTTGGATCGAGTGATCAGCGATCTTGTAGTCCAAGTCAGCAGTTGCCCACCCTTCGATATAGGCTAGTTAAGATGCATCACACAGATTACAAGTAGCTTCTTGAATGAAAGCATTACGATGGATGGTGCTGGCCAAAAAACTGCCAACATGGATAAAGCGCTGCTTTAGCGTGTCTTGCTAATGTGAGATGTTAAACTTGCATTTGCTCTCTTCAGGTTTGACTAGTTTTCAATAAACTCGCAAACTCTTTAACTATTTATCAGTATGGTAATAAAGTCGAACCTGAAGCTGTTTACTAAGTGCTGCTAGACTTCATCAAGTCTGGTTGTTGCTTACTGTACCATACTCAATAGCTTTGCTATGTGCATGAATGTTCATGATACCTTCTATAATCTATACTATGGCCTTGTAAGAGGAACCTGCTATGAGGGATTTGTTGGCTCTACCCCTTGAGCTCTTGAAATTTGGATGGGATCTGGGGAACGCTCGAAACTGGTTACAGTATATTGTGGGAAATAATAACTTACAGGCATTGCTTTGGGGAAAAAACACATTTATCGCATTAAATATTATTAGTCTGCAGAGTGCATTTCAGGTGTACATTTATAATTCAATATTAGAAGCTGTAATAGACTTTTATTTGCATTGGTTCTGTTCTTAGACAGCATCTAGTTTTAATTTTACAGGTTATAGGTTATCATTTTGAAATTATGCAGAAAAATCTTAACCATTTGGCTAAATCTGGCACACAAAGTAATGTCCTTGTTAAAGAAACAGATGAAGTGAAGTTTGTTTGTCTTTAGAGTTTATGCTGATATAGATGTCTAGCGATCCGTGACTGAAACATTTTTGACTTACCTCATGGCACCATGATTCAGAAATGCCCCCTGGTCAAACATTTCCAACATTTGTCTATTTTTATAAATATGTCCTGATAATCTTGTAAATAATGTAATAATCCAAGAGAAGAGGGGCCTGCACCAACAGTTCTGTTTGGCTTGGCGTGACCACTACATTTTCACTTTCACACTCTGCAGGCGTGAGTTCACTGATGAAATTGTTCACATTACATGAATCATTGAATCACTGCCACCCTAAGCTAAATTATGTGGTGAAGAGGATTCTGAGACTGGGAAGAGTGAGCTGCAAGTCAAATGGAAAAAGGAGTAGATCTGCAATAAACTATGAAGCTAGTGATTTGACTTGCTTCATATTTGCATGTGTTTAATGAATGCGTGAGCACCTGTAGCCTCTCTTGAATCAACCTGGACAGCATTACTCCATGTTCTACTCCATGAGTCAGTGAAATTGCCAGTATAGGCTATTGTGGTCCTTGAAAAGGTAGTTATTTATTCTATTATTTATTATAAGATAATTATAATTTTTAGGAGGTTCCTCAAGAGATCTTTGTAATTATTTTCCTCTGTGTTGAATTCAGGTGAACAATGAATAGTTTGTTTGCATGAACTGTTTCCATGTTCTTGCAAACTTCAAACTAGTTTTTTTTTTTTTGAAATAATGTGATTTTTGTGTCATTCTAAGTTTGAGAATGTAGCTTGACGTTCTTTCCCTACTTCCTTTAGCTATTGTTTCAGGTGATCTTAGTCTACTTGATTTCTTATTTGTCTAATTGCTGTACCCTTAAGGGTTTATACTGGCTGAAGATTTGGTAACATGGTCTATAAAGCTGATCAGCTGTCTGATGGGTGACTGTCTGCTTTGAGGCCGTCATGGCCAGGAGCACTAAAGGGTGCACATCTGTAATTCCTGCTGGCTTTGATTGTATCTAATGACGGTTGGAAGTGGCCTCTCATGCAGTTACACACATTCATGCACAACACACAAAGACTGGCATCTTTTGTACTTTGTGGGAAGCGAAGTCAGAATGTCTGTGCATAATGATATTTTTTGCGGTAGGATGTTCTCAATGTACCTCAGTAGGCGGGAAGCCACAAGAAGTCTGGGTCTCTCAGCCATAAGCTCTTATTTTTATATACTCTGCCTTTGATGGCTTTTTTCTCCATTCTACCTGGTTTGGGCAGGAAGCAGACGGAAGAAGTCCTGACTGGAAACTGGAGCCTGATCTAGTAGGCAGACAGATGAGGAGAGATGAATCAGATAGATTTAGGCAGGTAGTAGTATTTTTAAATATGTTAGGGATCAGACGTGGGGGTATTTGCACCCCTGAGTGGGTTCTTACACAGGAAGAACGTATATGACTGATTTCAGTGTGTATTATGAACGAACATATGTTCTGCATTATCATGCATTTACTTACTTGCCTTGATGAAGGCTTTTTGCCTCATCTGTCGGTTGCTAGTAGGTTTTTTGTCTGTGCCTTACATGAATACCTCAAATTCAGTTTTATGGTACAGAGGATTTGTCATTTTTCCTCAAAGACCACCTATTGAGTCTTATACCTGTGAAGCACTCTTTTTTTCATGATTTATGAAAATTGATTCAGCCTAGCTTTTGCCTAATAAAGACTTCTAATGAATTCCCATTTTATATATGCTTAATCTAGGTCTGCAAACCCAACCCACAGGCTTGGATGTTCATGCAGATTGGGGGCAAGACTGTTTGGTCTTTTGTTATCTAAAACTCTTCTGTTCATGCTGTATGCCTTACTCTATGCCTCTATACCTATCTGTGGATTTTTTCCAGTGGCAAAAATATGTTTCAGATAACTCGGTTGTTCCATTATTTTTGTCCACCAATGGGAATACCAATGGACAATGCAAGCTCATACTCCTCAGATAAATCACAATGGCACATAATTTATTAACTCAGACTTATTGGATTTATTAACTGCATGTGAATGACTGTGAACAGTGTAGTGGCATTCTGTGCTTATCTTTTGTCTTTCCTGTTATGAAGCAAAAAAAAGTGTTTACAGATAGACATCTACTACCCTGGACCCAATCTTTTGCCTGTATTGTTTGTTGTTAAATGTCAAATTAGGCCTAAATGAGCCAGTTGCACACGAGGGACACAAATCTCTCCAAGCCCTTCGGTGTTCCCAGTGTACTTGAGCGATGATGATGCAGCTGCAGTTCATATGCTGCACATCTGTCTAGTTAACTGAAACTGTGAAGAGACCCACTGTACATCTGCCTTTTAATGGTTTAAATCTGGGAACATTTCTGACATTCTTTCATACTCGTTACAGCATTAACCATGCTTCCCTCCTTTTTACAATGATTATGCATTCATTTGTATAGAAAGGGACACTTGCTTTTGGATGACTACAGTATGTTGGACTGGCTGGACAAAAAAGTTGCCCTTGACAAGGGGCAAGTATTTGGGAAGAGTACTTTCTTCCTGTTCTCTTGCTTGCTTACATACATCGTGCTGCTCCTATTGTCAATTTAGTGTCGTTTGCCCATTTCACTGTGCAACCTCATGGGGTTCTGTTACAATCTTTAATAACGGCTGTTAAAAAAAAGTTTTTGAGATTTTACGCTAGTTTGGGTTAAATTGGCGAGTTTGCCTAATGAACTGAGCTTTGCATTCCTCTATGGTGTTGTTAACACCTCTGAGAAATTCTCAGCTAAGGTTGCTTAAGTCTTTTGTAAGTAAATATTCTGAGAAAAATGGCTCGGATTCTTGAAAACGTAAACATTTTGTCTGGATTGCAGTGAATTGTGTAAACTGGCAAGCAGCCAGTCCTCAGTCTAATCAGCTGCATCTGGGCTGACTGCAGATGAAGATGTGACTGACAGTAGATAACGGCATGCTTGGTGACACAGACAATTTTGATGTCTCAGCATTTCACTAACTTTTTTACCTTTCTGACCTCTTTTACATTATCTAAAGAATTCTTTGGTAATAAAACATGATTAAGCTGAATGCAAAAAGAATCTCTTAACATATTAATGAGTTAGTGAGTCCCAAAACAAAGTTTTTTTAGCCCCAGTGGTGCTGCTTTGGCTCAGTTTAGAGGACAAATGGAAACTCAGATTTCCCTCAGATGACCCTTTAGTACTTTGTTCCCACCTATTTGCACACATGGTGGAACTCCAGGAAGTGCACAAGTCACTTAATGCTCACTTCAAGCTTAGTGGGTGCGTTTTCTCATTCTAACAACCAGTTACTAAACCTTTTTCATTTGAAATCACTTCAGATCTTTATCTATCTGTGCTTAGATGTGTTAATCTGTGGGGAATCTTCTTTTTAGGTTAGTCGTTTCAACTGCGTACGACATCTTGGCTGAGATATTCATGGTATACGTGGATGTTGGAAACCAGCATTTTTATTGATATGTTTGGTTGTATGTGAATTTTGGAAACTTATCCAAGAGTAAGGGGTAAATCTCTACGTGCTTATCGTGGTGCAGGTGGTGTTGAGCTGATGCCAGCCTTGCACACTGCTTCAGAGTAGCCGTCAAGTTGCCAAAACAAACTCTTTGTTGCAATGACTCTGGGTCGACAGGTTCAAACCGTGATTCAGGCCACTTGCATACATCAGGCCACTTGCATTTAATTCAGAAATGATGCCGCTGTTTTTCATTCATGCTGGAGATGTCCCATCTAGTTTAACAGGACTTCAATGAGAGCCCAGTGTCTACGGCTGTTGGCAGTGAAGTCCCTTCAGTCACTCATGCATGTCTTTTGGCCCTTTAACACTTATTTGTTTCATTGCAGAGCGGTTTAATAGGAGTCCTTGTAGTTTCACTGTCAACAGTTGTGCATTTTTTACTGTAACTTTTTAAACTAAAATACATAAATACAAAAATACATAAAATAAGCAAGATTGGCTTGTTTCGGCATGTTTTTTTCAGTTCGGCTAAAGTGGTTCCTGGCCATACACAGTAGTTATGCACCAAAATAAAGATCTCTTCAGCTCCTTTTAAAGTGGCTTTTTCTTTGGGGTTTTTCTCTTTCGGATGAAAAATCTAAATGACCATTTTTGCCAACAATTTTCTTATATTTAAGTGTTGCAACACTGGGGTTTTTTTCTCAATTCCTAATTAAACTTATCCAACCTTATTAAAACTATTGTGATGCATATTGTATATTGTGAAGATCTGTTTTTGTCACGTCACTCGCCTCATAAATTTAAGTAAAAAGTGCTGCATCAACTCCAGTTTACTTACAGACATCACAAGTTCATTGTTTACCTTTTTCTAGTCATGCTATAATTGTCCTGGTCCACAGGAAAACTAGTGCTTTTAAATCCACACATCCCAGCAGTGTGTTATGACTCAGAGGCAAATTAAGGTAAGGGCATGGCCTGAAAACTCTAGGATAAAAGTTGTGGTGAAATACACAGCTGTTCTGGTGCCAACAATTTATATAGAGTAGAATTTGAACGGCTCATTAGAAACGTGAGCGTTTACCAGATTTGCCTGCTGCATTGTTGAAAAATGCCTCGCACTCACTGGTGTGAGCTTTGCTCCTGTGTGTCTTGAACACTGCAAAAATGTGTTGGGAATGGAGCTAATAATAGACGTGCAGCTCCACTGTGGCACTGCCCCCTTCAGGCTATTTACAGACGTGCGCAAGCAACTTCCAGTAGTGTTCTTCTGAGTTAACTAATGATTAATGAAACTCTGTTCACACAATTGCACTTTTTGAAAATAAATGTATAGAGAACGTTAAACTAGTAGTCGCATGTATAGTGTACTCATTGTGTTTTAAAAACAATTCTACACATTGATATTATTCCAGCCCTGCATCATATATAAACAAAAACTCTTGAAGTTTTGGAGGATCTAATGTTCAGCCTTAAAAAACTAAAATAACTAACAAAAAAATAAGAGAAATACTGGTCATTGTAGTAAGTGTGTTAAGTGTTTTCAGGTGAAAATGTTGATCTGTCTAGTCTTTGTGATTAATGAAATAATCAAAGTTTTAACGTTAATCTCTGCATGGGGGTTCTAGAAGGTCTATATCTATGTGATCATTTCTCCATCTGGTTGAGTTAATTACCTGCAGTCACCTACAGGCAACGCTAAACTGTACACTGGTTATAAATAAGTGCATATAGTTCTTGGTTTTGCTTTGTCTGCGTCTGATCTTCATCCCTCCAGCTAACAGATGGTGCCAATTCTGTCTGACTAATGTTTATGCCTGCATTCTGCGCCCTTCATGTCAGAACAATGTCTTCCCTGTCTGCATCTGTACTGTAAAGTCTTCATGTTTTATGATCTCTAGTTCATCTTCTGGTTATCTGTGCATTTCCCATGCAGGACTGCTTACTTTGCTTATATATTACAAGGCTCTAATCACTTTCTTACATGTTCTGTGTAGGTTTTTTTTCTTATTTATTTATTTTTTATTTTCTTTTTTATTCAATCATATGCTGCTAAAACTTGTTAATAGAACACATCCACTGTGTTTCCATTGACAGTCAGTCCCACTGGCTGATACAATCTAACTGCACTTTGCGGTGTCTGTTTGAACACTCTAGGTGTGGGTGGTATGACGATATTGTTATCACAATAAATTATGTGGTGATAAGCTTTTCAAGCATATCGTGGGTGTCATTAGCACTTTCACAACAGAGATCAATGACATGGTGCATTATAAAGAGATTTAGCTCCCAATGGCATAGCTGTCTAAGGTTTCACCCTGTTGTTAGGACATGAATTTGAATCCCAGCAATGCTGAATGTCCAAGATAGAATCAATAGTCTTGCTTAACTGGGGAAAAATATTATTGTACTTGTAGTTTTTTTTATTTTTAAAAAATTTGACACTTTTCTATGTTCTGTGTTTCACAAAATCTCTCCAGTTATTGTGATATTTTTGCCATATTGTTCATCATCTGATCTCTTCTACAGGCAAGGCCTTTGACATCACCTACGTGCGTCTTAAGTTCCACACCAGCCGCCCAGAGAGCTTTGCCATCTACAAGCGCACGAGCGAGGATGGGCCCTGGATCCCATACCAGTACTACAGCGGCTCATGTGAGAAAACCTACAGCAAGGTGAACCGTGGCTTCATCCGCACTGGAAAAGATGAGCAGCAGGCGCTTTGCACAGACGAGTTCAGCGACATCTCACCAATTACCGGAGGAAACGTGGCCTTCTCCACACTCGAGGGTCGGCCAAGCGCATACAACTTCGACAACAGCCCTGTGCTGCAGGTAAGGCCTTAGCATTTGTCTTGTCCCTCCCATTGTCCAGCTGGATTTAGCAGGTAGCCTTTCCTTTCGTGACTCTCTGTTCGATCGGTTACTAATTGAAATCGGACGACAAAAGTGGATTGAAACGCTAAAAACTAGCTGATCACAAATACCTTATTATGCGAGGCAAAGTTACAGCTTGCGTGGTGGTTATACAAAACCTAAAACAGACATTTGAAAAAGATATTCTTACTTTGTTTTGCAGTTTCTCTGGAGTCAAGTGTTCATTGCGTTCAGTGATTTGCCAACAATGTCTCATAGTGCCTAAGCATTAAACCCTTTCAGCGCCAAGCTATGCCCCAGTGCACAGTGATGATCTTGCTCTATAGACAGAGACATTATAGACATATTTATAGGTAGAGCTCTACTCAAAATTTTAGGTAGTATGTTGATGGCCTAAATCACACAAAGCTGAAGTCACACTCTTATTTACCAGCTTGTAGTTCCTCCTTAAATTGTGCGGCAGTTACATTCTGGCGCTTCAGGCCTCTGCCTACTCAGGCACCATTTAAAGTGAAATGGGAAAATTCTAACAAGAAGCTGGCGAGCAGAAAGCTGACTTCAGCCTTGTCTAAATCATCAGAAAGTGCTACTAGTATTAAAACTGCTCTTTGGATATGTTGATTTTTCCAGTTACCCTATCAAAAAAAATACACAAAGTTTGCACTGCACAGAGTTAAGCTCCCATTGGGAAATTAAACATTCTCCAACCATCTTCTCTGCGTTTGGTGGAGTTTACAACACAACAACTCTGTCATTGTTACCTTGTGCCGTAAAGAGTGCTGCTTTTTGCCATAAAGAATGCCGCTTTCTGTTGCTTTCTGCCCCCTTGTTGTGTGCGCATCTCTATTTTATTCTAAAGGCAACTGTAAATAATGATAAATCAAATGTTAATTATTGTTTATAATTACTCTTTGCTAGGCATTTCTCATGCACATTACAATGCACACATATTTTTAAGGGGTACTTTAAAATGCGCACTCCGAATTTAGAGAAATGTTTTACATTTCAGTAATGCAGTTCATTACAAGGCATAAGGTGATGTTTTAAAACATTACAGATTTAGTTGCAGAGCTTTTGATACACGTGTAGTCATAGATGTGTTTTGTATGCATTGTGAGTCTATAACCCCTTTTACACCTGGTCATTTCATGCATCTTGAGTATCAGGATTATAGCTGGATATAGCTGAGAAATACAAGTGTAAACGCACCCACGCGTAATGAGCAGATTTGCATATTATGTCCCACACAGCAATCAGATTTCAGACTAACCGGAGATGCGTTTGACTACCAATTGTAAATGCATGTGGCAAAAATCTTACCAGGAAACAATCCAGACACTAGTCACATGAAGTAACCAGGTGTGAACATGGTCTATATGTGTGCGTCGTGCACGTGTGCTCAGCATGTGTTCTGCTGCTTAACGTCTGTCATTTTTGGGAATCCATAACATCATAATTAAAAAAAAAAATGAAAGAAAATGTCAAAAAAGGCAGTTTAATGATTTGGACATCCAGTTTTCACTCTAGGATGGCTGATATTTTTCGGGTTTTTTCTGAAAAGACTGGAGCCCTGCGGACAGATCATCCTTAAGGCCTCAGCATACTTCTTGCGAAACGAAATTCTAGAGGGTTGTGGGAAGCTGGAAGCGCCTTCACGAGCTTATAAGTTCGCATACAGTCAGCGGTTTCGTGTTGCTTGTCGCGGATGCTCCACCGTGACGCTATGACATTTTATGATAAGTTTCATGACTGCTGGAAAATGATTCTTTCACAGTTCTTACTATGGCGACATTGGAGTTCAGAATACTGCCACCATTTAAGGTGGAACGGGAGAATTCAAACAAGAGGCTGGTGAATAGAAAGCCAACTTTAGCCTCGACCTCGTGTGAACCTAAATATAAGAGAACCTGTATGTTTTGGTGCTTAGTACTAGTTAGTACTACTGAATAACACACTTACTATCTTACATTTAGGAGATATTCATAGTTTATTTACCAAATGCGTGTTTCTCAGTGAAATATTAGTGTGTCTGCCGAAGCTCCTCAAAGTCATCCATCTTTGTTTAATGGCTCGCCTCTTTTTTATCGACCAATCGCGGCTCTGTCGCGTAGTGTCTTCGTCCACGGAGTTCGCCCAGCTGCCATGTGTGCGACACAGTCACGAAGGAAGACGAGACAGGAGATTAGTGAAGTTCGTGCTGCCAGCTGGTAGCAGCTGAAAGAAGGCATTCCTCCTCTGGCCAGGTGGAACCTCTCGCTCACTGACCGCTGCCAAGAGTTGCAACATGTTGCTAGGTGACCCCCCCAGGTTTCCCAACCCTGCTCTGATTGCACTTGGCAGCATACAGGCACAGCTGGAAGTGTGTGTGTGTTCTGTGTGTGTGTTCTGTGTGTGTGTGTGTGTGTGTTCTGTTTGTGCGTGTGTGTGTGTGTGTTCTGTGTGTGTGTGTGTGTGTGTGTGTGTGTTCTGTTTGTGTGTGCACTGTGTGGATCTATGAAACGTGGAGCTTATTGACATTTATTGTGGAGAAAAAACGTGTGACTTCGTGAAATCTTCTTGCAATCCAGTCTTCTTATACAGTGCCTATACAGTATCTTGCATTTACATTGACATTAAATGAATGGCTAACTGGATATTTAGAGCTTGTCAGTGGAATTTTTAATGGAATAATATTTTTTACATATTGCAGCAGTCAGTGGACCATTCAATTAAGAGTTACATTTTCCCAGCAGCCATCAGTTACAGGCTTTTTTCTGAGATGTGGACGCTGAACACTCGTAGTTGTCCTGGAATACCTGTTCACATACCACAGAACCACATTTCAGCCAAAACACAACATTAGAAACATTAGCTTGTATTAAAAACAGTTTTAAAGAAAATAAAATGGTGGCTAATGCCAAGAAAAAAAAAACCTAGGTCTTACTAAGAGAAGAAGAAATTAATTACCTTAGACAAGTGGATTGTGGTCTTTTCAGTGGGTTATATTGAAATAAAAGACATTGTTCGGGTCTACACCATGTCTTCGTTTTCGACATGTGTTTAACCTCTTTCGCCAGTGATTCTGGTTTCTTCTGTCAGTCAGATAACATTTCAGTTTGCTGTTATTCTCCTGACAGACTGTGTTAAAAAATCGACTGCTAAAAAAGGCCCTATAACACATCTAAGTTGTCATCTTTTACAGTACTAACAAAGATGCCGGATAAGAACTGAGCCAGGCAGCAGATCAAACCATCCGTTTTTATATATATGGTTTATAGTTTCACTAGAGAAAAATATGTCAAGGAAGGCTTAAAGACATAAAATAAGCCTGTAATTGTCTTATTAATATACCTAAATAATCCTGAAGATTAAAAATTTTGTGCATTTGTAATATCCAAGTGCAGACATTGTTTAGTTAAAAAAAAGGTGGTGTTGTTGTTGTTATGATGAATTTTGTTGTTTGTTTATGCTTTAGAGTCAGAGCCCCCCCCCACCCCTCCCTCCATTCCTCCCTCCACTCCTCCCTCCACTCCTCACCTCAGTACCAAAATATATTTCAAGTCTGTAGGAAAGACTGGACAGTATCTTATTATGTGTGATGAATAGACAGTATATCTTGCTGACCTTTTGGAAAGATCACATTCTGTTTTTTTGCCATTGGGCTAGGTGTATTGTTGGTTTAACCTCTAACATGTGACAGTCTACCTCCACAAAAAGCACACATTTAGCCCTGTCGCCAGATACTTCCATATTAGACTTTCTCATGTGGCATTAAGCTATTAATACCAAAGCCAAGACCTCTTTATTTAGGAATGGATACCTTTCTGTGGCGTCATATAGCCATCCTGTCTGCTCCATAATAGAAGTGATGAGTGAAGACAGCACTAAAGGTTTGCTCTGCAACAAGCGGCCATGTAGGCTTAAATAACCTTCATCATTTGCTTAATTTATTTCTTAAATTCTAAAGCAAACTGTCATTAGTAACAGAATGAAATACTGCTGTTACACAAACAACTGCTCATACAGATATAAGGTGACAATACGAGAAGCATAGCCTAGTCACATTATTCTAGTTTGGAAGGTAAATCTTTGAGTTGTGCTGGTTAAAAGCACTCCCATGGTGCAGATTATTCTGAATATAATGAGAATTTTTCTGACAAGTGTAATATAAATTTACATAAAATAAATTTAAGATGATCTTCAAACTTTCACTTGAGCCGTTTATTCCATCTCTCTCAGGATTTGATGTTGACTGCTAATTTGTGGGATACTGAATTATTGCTATGTGCTCAAGCATGTGGTTGGCCCATGTGATAATTTATGCAGTGATATGTGTGTTTAACGCAGGCTGAGAGTTTTCTGGAGCAGCATGCATATCATAATCTCAGCTGGACAGTATCCTAGTGCAGGGGGGAGTGCAGGGGGACTGTGGAGTGGGAAAGGGGGGGTTCCTCTAAGGTGTCTTTCCTTCCTCTGAGCTATTTTTTGTTTTAGGACTCTATGTGACTGCAGTACTGTACTCCTGTACTACTGTACTCCTGCTTCACTGCTCTTCAGATCAGAAACTTTGTCTGCATTACACTTTTATAGGTTTTATTAGCTGTTGTACTGAGAATACTGAGATTTCTGAGTAGGGAGTCAGAATTTTTCACTTATTCAAACAGTTAAAATTGAACAGTAAATTAAGGTTTTTCTATATGCAAATTAACTTTACTCTTAACAGTTCATTTTCTCTTATAAGAACCATATACACTCACCTAGCACTTGGTTAGGAACATTATAGTGATACTGGGTAGGGATTCCCTTGGCTCTTAAAACGGCCTCAATTCTTCGTGGTGTGGCTTCCACAAGATGCACAAAGGATGCTTTTGAGATTCTGGTCCATGTTGACATGATTGCATCATGCAGTTTCTGATTTTTCAGGTGCGCTTTCATGCTGCGAATCTCCCGTTCTACCACATCCCAAAGGTGTTGTATTGGATTTAGATCTGGTAATTAGGAAGGCCACTCAAGAAGTCATTGTCGTGTTCATGAAACCGTGACAATTTCTGATCCTAACGTCTGTGTGCATCAGTAGAAACCAAGATTCTTCAGACCAGGCTATGTTTTTCCAGCTTTTAGCTGTCCAGTTTTGGTGAGCCTGTGCTCACTGCAACCTTAGCTTTCTGTTCTTGGCTGACCGAAATGGAACCAGACATGGTCTTCTGCCGTTGTAGCCCGTCTGCCTCAAGGCTCAATGTGTTGTGCATTCTGAGATGCCTTTCTGCTCAACACAGTTGTATAGAGTGGTCATCTGAGTTACTGTAGCCTTTCTGTCAGCTCAACCTAGTCTGGCGATCCTCCATTGAGCTCTTTCACCAACAGGGCATTTCCATCCGCCGAACTGGCGCTTATTGAATGTTTTTTATTGTTGCACCATTCTGAATAAACTCTAGGGGCTGTTGTGTGTGAATTCCAGATGATCAGCAGTTACAGAAATACTCAAACCAGCCCGTCTGGCACCAACAATCATGCCACAGTCATGATTGTTGGTGCGCTGGTGTTGAGTTCACCAGCGCAGCTCAACAGTCGCATTTCTCCAACAATTTCATTTAATCTAGGTACAATAAATTATATCATAGCGCCATATATGTTTCAAGTTAAATTACGTTCATGTGTGGGAGTCTTAGTGTCGTGCTGTGGGTTGCTTGAAGCAAATCAATACATTGCCAAACTATTGCTTAAACCTGTAGTAAAGGAGTTTTTACTGTTACTGAGGGCTGCTGCTGCTTTAACTCTGACAGTCATCAAGCACACATACTTAAATTAGACTGAAATGCCCGTGCATAACACAGAGTACTGACACTGAAAAGCTTGTGACTCAAGTAAAAGTGTGTGTGAAAGAAGGAGGAGAAGAGAATTGTAGTGGCTTTGGCACCATGTTTGTACAGAAACATGCACTAATTTATGACTGTGTGTCATGGATAAAATGTCAGAATGAATTGAAGACTTTTTTTTTTTGGGCTAGATTTTTTGAGTATGTTGTTTTTCCATTGGTGATATGGGGTGAAACTGCAAATGGCTACATATACCTGAAACCCAGTAGACTTTCTATCCACTGTATAATGGAAACTGTCCTCTGAGTAAAGCTATTTGGGTGAATTTAAGTTGAGGTCAAATGACTAAATCTTGTCTACCCAGCTGTGTTCTATTGTTTAGGCCATTCATTAAAGTCCTTTCAACAAATTACCACATGGGAATTGACTGTCCTAAACCCATATTTTAGATGTATAGGAAGTACAGAATGGTTTTCATTTGGTCATCCGTTTCCCATTGAATCTTTCCACGGCCAGCCTGCAGACATGCTTTGCTTCACTGTCTCCTTGAGACTTTCAGGGTTGATTTAGATTAGAGCCCTGTATTTATTTTCCTTAAAGAGCTGCACTGAGGGAGCAGATGGTTTCTAGTCCACCATTGCAAAATGCAACCACTCTCTTACACCGATAAGCATTCCACAAGAATTAAAATGCTGCAATAAACTTATCTAGCTGTTAACTTTTGGTATCTCTCTTAGTTGACTTAGTTCCCTACATACATTTCTTTCTTACTTTGCTTTGTCTGTGCAACACAGTTCGTATCTATAACATTCTTGCTCTCATTCTTATGTCCTCAGGACTGGGTGACTGCCACAGACATCCAAGTGACCCTCAACAGGCTGAACACATTTGGAGATGAAGTCTTCAATGATCCCAAAGTCCTCAAGTCCTACTATTATGCCATCTCCGACTTTGCTGTGGGAGGAAGGTGAGACTTTTAATTAGTTTATTATAAATGTTACGATGTATGTTGCTTCTCTTATTAAGAAGTATTCACATTTCAAACATGTTTGAGTCATATGAAATGGACATATAGCAAAAACTAGTCTTAGACTTTTAGCCCTGATGAAATCCTAACCAATGGGATATTATATTATTAATATTTCAAGATAGAAGTCCAGGGGTCTTTAATTAAATTTCAGTAAGGCCTATTTATGTGTGTGTGAATGTGAATGTCTGTCTGTCTGCCCTGCGATGGACTGGTGACCTGTCCAGGGTGTATCCTGTCTTCCGCCCAATGACTGCTAGGATAGGCTCCAGCTCCCCCTGCGACCCAGAAGGTTAAGGTCCATTTAGAGCAAATTCTCTCAAGCGAAGGTCTGAAACATCATAATGTAACTAACTTATGATTCAGTGCCATATACTGTCTACTGAAGTAGCCTAGTAGTTATATCAGCATCTTACATAGTCAACAACTGAATGTCAAATCAAATCAAGTACAACTGAGTCATATTTCAACAATATTTGTCAGTTTTCTCTCACACCATTTGAATTAATGTTTCTCTGACTCACTTTCTTCTCTGACTGCTGTTTCTTCCATGTCTCTCCTATGTGTGTGTGTGTGTCGCTCCTTTTGAGTACCAGTGCTCTTTGTAATGTACAGATCCGATTGGCTGAGAAGTGTCATGTGTGATATTTACAACTCATGCAACTGGTCTGTGAGTCTGTGAGAACTGCTGAACCGGTATTGTAAAGGCTAGAAAGTTTACACTGAATAAAATAGAAACACTCCATCGAAATTAAAAAATTCTCAGTAGTTTTTGGTTATAGGTCTATATCCGGATAGTACAGTGTCTGGGTCTGGGCTCAGACCGCAGTCCACTTATTTGTGACTTCTGATGTAGTCGTTTTGCTTTCAAACAAAACCTAACAATAAATTAAGAGTATTTCTACAATACTTGCAGAATTTAAATACAACAAGCATGATTATATTAAAGGTAACAATAAATTACAGAATAAGTTTATTATTTCATAGAAATTATATTGTGGTTTAGTCTGTTTTCTGCCATTTGCTGCAAGTGACTTTCCAACAAGGGACATCCCAAATGAAATATTTAGATGATGTCTGAAGACTGGATTGAAGAGTCATGTTGTACATCAAATCAATGCAGAAGAACTCGCCTCCCAAAAATGTCCAGCTGGCAGTGATACTATGGCCAGGAACTCACTATTGTTGAAGGGATAGAGGACAGCAGAATCAATCAAACGCACAAAAAAGGCCACGTAGGGACTGTGCAGTCTGGACTTTTTTCGACCAATATTTTGGTTTGTGTGTGCATAGTTGTGTGGTGGAATCGGTATTTTTTTTTTTGCTGGTGTTAAAAGGTAAATAAAAGGGATAAAAATACAAAAAAAGACGTGTTGGATAGGGCTGCTAAATAGTTAATGACAACTAAATAGTAGCTGGCTAGTAGTAGAACAATGGTTGTAGCATTCTTGGTGAACTAATATTCTGTCAGTTGACTCATTGCATTGATGTTTCTGTAAAATAAGTGTAAAAGAGCCAAGATGGGGGTGAAAAACTCAATTCTGAAAACAGAGCTTTACTTACGATATAACTTTGAATATGATGTAACCACTGTGTGTGATGTCTGATTGTATACTACTAGAGGCAAATGTGTCAGCCATTGCTAAATTACAGCCAGTCATGCTTGAAAAGTGTATTAATGGTCCCAGTAACATTCTAGCGTTTGTAATAGCAACTTTGATTTCAAGTGCAAATGGTTACAAGTTCCACAGAACAGTGTTTTGATACTGTGTTATTGATTTTTGAACTTTTTTCTGGGTGATGGTGATTTAGTTAAACTTTGGTTAAAAATCAGATCTTTTGATTGACTAATAAAGTCTTTTGTCAATAACAGCTGTAGTACTGGACCTTGTTATAATTGCAGAGGTCAAAAATAGCTATGATGTTTTCCATATATTAAATCACAGCTGTGTACTATGCAGAAGCCAAAACTTGAGTTTAATTATAATTATAATTTTAGTAAAAGGTTGCTACCAACTAAAAATAAATAAATAAAAGCCCCAGAAATGGAGTTACAAGGTTTAAATGACACTCACCATATGCATGCAAGTAGATTTCGCATTTACTTATTTACAGAGCCCTACTGCATTTTCTGAGATTTTGCAAGAGTTCAAAGGGTATATATTACTTCAAAAGTCTTATTTGTCCACTGAGGCGGTGTTGTTGAAGGGAATGTGCAGTGATCGACCTTGCTAATTGTATCAAAGGTCAAAACCGGACAAAGTCATCAGCCACTCACTGTGACGTTGGAGACATGGAGATGGGCTCTGTAAACAGACGGCGTGCTCACTGTTTGAACAGCTTTTGGACACGCATGTGTCTGCTCTCGTCTTGCAGCGCTGCCTCTGTTTAACCCAAAACACAAGAAGGATGTGTGCGAACGCACTGTAGAAGAGCTTCACTATTGTGCTGTAGAATGCAGCAGGCCATTTGTGTAGATGCATGACCTCATATTGCTCTTGCCTTCATAGGTGCAAGTGTAACGGCAATGCCAGCGAGTGCGTGAAGAACGAGTACAATAAGTTGGTGTGTAACTGCAAACACAACACGGAAGGTGATGACTGCAGCGTGTGCAAGCCCTTCTATAACGACCGTCCCTGGAGAAGAGCCACGGCCGACAACGCCAACGAGTGCCTGCGTGAGTGTGAAACGCGTACACACCTAAAAACACATCCTTCTGGGTCAGGTCCTCTGTCTAGCCATCACACCTTTGTCTGACACTGTTTGAAATTTCCCATTTAGGCTAGTAGTTAGCAGGAGTTATTCTACACTGCTTTAAGCCCCACATGTAGCAAGTACAAGATACATGCACTTCCTATCAAAAGTAAGGATGCACCTATCGAGTTGTATGGCAGATTCTGATTCCTTTTCAGTGAAATTAGTATCACTGAGCCAGACATGATCTTGTAACGAGAATACATTTCTGGGGAAAACTTTTGGTGCTGGACTGGGCTGCAAACTAGGGCATGCCCCTTCTAAACCTGACCCCAAATCTTTTGACATTCAAAGTATAAGCAGTACCACAGTTGAAAAAGGTAGTTAGCAAAGTGTTAGCATTAGCTAATGGGCTTGTTTAGTAATGTTTATTTTTGCTTTAAGATCATTTTTATTTTTACTGCATATAAACTGTACAAGAAACAGATCTACATGCTTATTTGGAGGTCACTTTTGGAGGGGACCTATCTTCCATCCTAACTTACATTACATCCATGAGCTAATGATGGGCTCGCTGTCCATCAGACAATGTTTATGAGCGCACCCCGACCCCTACTTTGAGCTTGGCTTCATAGTGTTGGATTTGGGGTAGGCAACATGGCAAAAATACTATGAGTACAGTGATTTTTTTTGTTCAGTGATTTACATACTGCACTGCGCTAATCCAGGTAATAGGCTAAATGAACACAAACACACTAGCACATTTCCAGTACTTCCTATTAGCCAAATTTGCCTATTTAAATAACAGTAAAGTTATTTATAATGAAGTATTTAAATAAAGTAAGATGCCACCAGCTATTTAGCACAATGAGTCGTGCATAATTATGCTAGGACATTTTGCTAGCATAGTGTAGCAGCAGCATTCAAATACAGCACAAGTTCACTTAACTGCCTGTGGTTTTTATGACATTATGTTGCAACACAGATCAGCCAAAAAATCTAAATAATAAATCGGTCGATTGCATGTTTGGAGCAAACAAAATCTACCAATTCTGATCATAGCAGATCAAAAGTTGAAAACACCATGTTTTTTAAAATGTTTATTAGATTCTTAATTGTTTTAATGAAAAGTTTTAATAAAACCACATATTACCCAACATCTTCCGTAAACGTTTATGAGCTTCGTTTGGTGCAAATTTATGGCGACTTGCTTGCTCATAAAGCTCCCTGCTAGAGAAACTTCAGACTGCAAGTGATTTCCAAAGCCATGTTGTGCTAAACATTTTTAAAAAACAAGATGTTTTCTGTCATTATGGCAGCATTTCTATAATTCAACTAACCACCAAGACAAGCTGTGCAGTAAATACTGCAAATTTTACTGTGTAAATGTCATGCAGCAAGAATTTATGCTACCGTAGCCTTGCCCAATTATTACCTTTTTCTGATCCCGTTTCCTGAATCAAAGGAAACTTTCTGCCAAGGTTAGAGCTAGCTGCTGTGCGGTAAAACCCAGTAATTTAAGCTCGGTTCCATGTGCTCAAGCTAAACTTAATGTAAAGTAAAATTAGTAGAAGATAAAGAGCCGTGCGGTAAAGCTAACATTACAGTGCGTAGCAGAGAAAATTAACAAGCAGCTTCTTAACAAACTCTCTCTCGCTCTCTCATAAACAGGCAAAAAAATGACTATTGGGTCGCATGCCTGCACGTCTTAAACGTGAACCCCAATTTCCCAGCATATTTACAAGCTGTTTAATGGTAAATTAGTCCTCTCTAGTACTTCTCTCAAAACGACAATAGCCATTGGATTGCTTATCAGTCATCGACAATATCTGAAAACATCGCCCTGTCACCCAGGCCTAGTGTGTACCCAAACTTGTAATGGGCAGTGTATCTGCAAACAGCGTTGCAGCTCATCCTGATCATATTCAGAAGTATGTACCTATCATCTCTAAAACTGGTCCACAGCCACCCCCACCCCGCTCTGAAGTCTCAGAGTAAGGAGGAGAAGGCCAAAGTCATACACACACTCTAATGCTCACATCTGACTTTGGAGCCGTCCAGAGCTCTTCGCTCCCACACCCCCGTGGCTCCTGCCCCCCCTTCCTCTCCCATTTAATTTTCCACCCTCAGAGTAAGGCTGCTGGTCGGGGAGCATCCACATCACAGCTTTCTTTTGGCTCTGCAAAGCCATGACCGATCCTTGGTCAGTACTGCTGCTACGAGCTACATATGATCCATGTTCTCAGCTGCATCTCAAGACTGTTCCCACTCTAATGCCTGATGATGACTAAAGCCCATCTGTTCCCTTAGACTTCCATTCTTGCATCACATTTTACAGGCATTAATATGTCCCTTTAGCTCTTGAAAACGGATGCTGATGGAAAATGGGATGCAGGAGGCAGACATTAGTTACCTCTGAGATTTCAGGCTTACATACATAATTTATTTTGCGTTTTTACGTGATTTGTGCATGTGCGCACCTGTGTTTCAGCATGCAACTGCAACGGGAAGAGCGCAGAGTGCTACTTCGACCAAGAGCTGTACCGCAACACTGGTCATGGAGGCCACTGCCGGAACTGCGCCGACAACACGGACGGGCCCAACTGCGAGCGCTGTCTGGACAATTACTATAGAGACGCATCGGGTCAGCGCTGTCTGCCCTGCAGCTGCAACCCCGAGGGTGAGTGAGCTTGAGCCACCGCCTCAACACCATAGGCTAGATTCGGACCCTTTAGCCTGATAGCTGTGGTCAGTCTGAGTAGTTGTGGTTCTAACAATGTTGTATGTGGTTTCCTCTTTCTCTAGGCTCTCTCAGCACACAGTGTGACAACTCTGGTCGCTGCAGCTGCAAACCAGGCGTGATGGGAGACAAATGTGACTGCTGCTGATTTCATAGAATGTAAAAGAAATTTATCTGTTTATGAACGTTTATTACCATTGAAACAGTTTTATTGATCTCCATTAAAGATCTATTACTTGCCTATTAACATAAATGTAACCTTAAAAAAAAAAAAGTATATAAAAATAATCTCAAATATGAATCTATTTAAGTTTTGAAGTATGTAGGGCTATTAGTCTGTGCATTTATAAGTTTAATATTACCCAAACAAAACACTTTCATAAATTAAATTTACACATTTAATCTGGTCGTCAGCACTGATTTAACTTCATAAGGACCCCATCAATGAGTTTTATAGATTTTTTGCCAAATAAAATGACCAAAAATACACTTACAATTAGTGGAATATGTTTAAATTTTGAAAAACAAAGCCTGTAGAATCAGGAATTTGAATCATTTTGTTTCAGTAAGTTTTAAAGGATGATGTCAAATGGTGAGATTTATTTAATATTCATATTTTTTGTCAAATAAGTAAAATTATGCACAATCCTATGAATCCTGTTTTACAGTGATTCTTATTTCTAAACTGACCATTCAGTGTGTTTATTAACTTAAAATCTAAAAAAATTTTTAAAAATTTATTTTATCTAAAATAAACTCTTTTAAAAAAGAAATACAGATATAAAACTGGAAACAATAGAATATTACAGAAATAATAAAGAGCAGGGCCATTTTTCAGGGAATGTGGGTTCTTTAGGGTTGCCTTGAAGGGTGGAACATCCTACAGTAAGTAAACATCTCAGGCACCATTTAACGTGAACAAAATTTAAGGTGGAGTGAAAAATTTCAAGCTTGAGGTGCAAAAAATCTTACTGCGGCACCATTTAAGGTGGAACAGAAAATTCAAACAAGAAGAGTGAAGCATTTTCACGGGAAAACTACGGTGACGGCGCGCGCGGCTGAGTGTGGTTTAGTGATTGTTTCATCTCCCACAGAAGTCAGAGAGGAGTCTCCGTTGGTAGAAGCGCTGAGGAAGAGCCGGGAATAAAGATACTTTACAGCAGTTTAACTGTTGTTAACTGTAAATCTCTCCTTCACAGAGCTGAGAAACTCTCAGGAGAACACAGCTCGGTTCTGCACTGATACTGTTCAGAGAACCCGCACAGACAGAGTGACGGTCAGTTAGTCCCAGAGAGCAGCAGCAGGGGTCCAACAGCAATGAGTGAAGCATCCTTTTTCAGCACCCATATATATATATGCGTGTACAATTTCCCACGATGCATTGCTGCTACACCACGTGTTGTGGTAATTTTTTTAAACGGTATTTCTATTCATTCATTTATTCATTCATTCATTCATGCATTCATTTTACTCCACATTCTGCCACATTTTGAATGTGTGATATTACATCACAGCTTGCACATTATTAAACAAAACATATTACGTTTCTCAGACAGTTAATAGTTAATAAATAAAAGAAATGGACGAATAAATAAATACAAAATGAACTTGAGAAAATATTCCAGTTTCAAAACTAGAGCGAGATGCTGAAATGATAACGTTTTTATGGACTGAACTGTAGCTGTTCTTTATCAGCTCATTACTTCACTTTCACTGCATCCCTCTTTTCCTCTTTTTTCTCCACCAGCATCTGTCACTTCTGTGTTTTCTTCATATAACCGTCCATTAAAGGAGAACAAGATTTAAACAGACTGGACAATGCCTGAGAGAGAGAGAGAATGAAGTGGAAGAGCAATATGGAGGTAATATAAGATAAAAGACAAAGTGATTACTAAAAGATGGCGATAATAAAAGAATAAAAAGCTTTTAATGAGAGTTTCACCCCATACAGCAGTGCATGATACTGCCACCACTGTGTTTCAAAGTTGGGATGAGGTTCTTATGCTGGAATGCAGTTTGTTTTTGCCACACTTAACATTTCTCATTTAAGCCATAAAGATCCATTATTGCCTTATCCGTCCACATACCATTATTTCATAGTCTTCTGAATCATGAAGGTGGTCTTTAGGAAACTCTAAACAGGAAGAAATGTTCATCCCGGAGAGTAGTGACTTTGCCCACGCTATCGTTCCATACGTACTGTCCTTGTTCAGTGTTTGTCTGATTGTGGACTCATGAACACTGACATCAGCCAATGTAAGAAACGTCTTTAGATGTTATCCTGGGCTTCTTTGTGATCTCCTAGTACATCACTGCTGTCAGAACAAAACCTCATATATCCATTTTGGTTGTTTTTCAGTTTTTTTGACATATATTGAAAATGCCTGTTGTCCTTTACATTGTAAAAGAAACAAAACTCTGGTTCCATTGACTTACATTAAAAGTAAAGTATGTTTTTTCTTTCTCCTGTAAAGTTGTCATTTTGGAGATATGAGGTTTTGTTCAGACAGCAGCAATATTCTACACCTAAGTTTTTTTTTTTTGGATGACCACTCCTGGGAAGGGTAACAATGGTGCTGAATTTCCTATATTTGCATTCTATCTGCCTGACAGTAAATCAGTGAACTCCAAACTCGTCAGAAATTGTTTTGGAGCATATTCCACACTAATGAGCACTCAGAAATCTCATTTGATTGAAACATGGTATGCACTAACAGCCTGATGGTGAAGACTCAAGTTTTTAAATAGGGTAGGGGCAGCCACATTCAAACCAATGGATATAACCTCCTGACCCTAAATATCACCTATACCAAACTGATAATTCTAGAGATCAATAAACTTTTGCCAACAAAGACCATTTAACGCTGGATTACTTTGTTCAATAAATGGATGAAAAATTCTATAATTGTGTTATTTGTTTAATGGGGGTTCTTTTTCCATTGTTATGAATTAAATGAAGATCTAACCATATTTTAGGTCACATTTATGTAGATATTCACAAAAGGATATTGTTCACAAACTTTCAAGCAGCACTGTAAACCTGTTAAATCTAATATCATGAACATTTTGTGCTTACAATTGGTTGAACGTCACTGAAGTTAGTCATGTTTAGTTTCAGATCATAACCAGTTCACACTTATGACAGGCGGAATGTTGAATTCACGTTTCTCTGTGTGCAAAGAATTCTTCTGCAACCACACGTGCCATCTGCTGACCAGTCAGAAACATCTGAGTGTAAGTGTGTGTGTGTGTGTGTGTGTGTGTGTACATATATCCTTAATAAAAAGAATGTTTAAAACATTAGGCCTCAGTGTGTATCTTACTTGTTCGTTGTTAGGAAAGTTATGAGCAAGGGGCAAATACTGACTTTCATGTTGGAACCACACGGGGGCGCCAACCACCTCATGTATGCCTTTATTAATGGTGATGGGGCTCAGCCAGAAGGAAGGAAACCAACGGCGGGAAAACTGTGTTTCGTTCGAACAGCGAGCGGTGGACCCGCGGGCGTCTTTCTCTCTTTCTTTCTCTCTCTCTCTCTCTCTCTCTCTTACACTCTCGTTCCCCTTTTGTGGACACCTTTTGCCTTTATTTTGGATTTTTGTCAGAGCAACCATTCCATTGATTAATAAAACCCGAATGCTATCATGGACACAGCTTGAGCTGGTTGACCACGGGCTCGAGGTTTGGGCTGACCCCAACCCCTTTCCAGGGGACTCAAGAGACTCGGCAGCAGGTGATTTGGCCTTTGGTGGGGTTTCCAACTAGATTTAGGCATACACTTTTACTTAGGCTTATGTTTCACGCTAAATCACAACACAGGGATAGTGTGGCTCGGTTACAGTCAGGACTAGAATACATAAGTTAGACAATTTGCCATTTTCTTTTGGCTTTAGTGGTTCCTGGGCTCGTAACATTGGTTCTTTCCATGGTTTGGTGATCGCACACACATGCACAGTGTTTATTAGCGTTTTTTCTTCTTGAAAACTGAAAGCTGTTGTAGAGCACAGCTCTGTTGTTGGGCTGGGACATTAAACAAATCATACATATCAATAAATCAGGACACATTTACTGATAAATATTGATATTTAAAATTTTTAAAACCAAAGGCAAATTACAGACCAAAACCTGGCACAGAAAAATTAAATATATACAACCCCATTTCCATAAAAGATATGGTGGTTAATTGGCAACAGGACAGTAACATGTCTTGGTATAGAAGAGCTGAGTCTTTCAGGAGTAAAGACGAGGAGGGGTTCAGCACTCTGAGAAAGACTGTGCGAGCAAATAGTGCAACAATTCAAGAATAACGTTTCTCAACATAAAATGGCAGAGAACTTCTGCTTTTCATCATCTACGGTACATAATAACATTAAACGATTATTAGAATCTGGAGAAATCTCTGTGTGGAAGGAACAAGGCCAAAAAACAGTATTTGCTGGCCGTGATTTTCAGGCCCTCAGGTGGCACTGCATCAAAAACTGACCCGATTCTGTAGTGGAAATCACTGCATGGGCTCAGGAACACTTCTGAAAAACAGTGTCTGTGAAAACAGTTCTTCGCTGCATCCACAAATGCAAGTCTCGAATCTCTTTCTAGGATATGTAATTATTCTGGCCCGATGTGAATAAGGCCTTCAATATCCCCCTGGAATTTCAGCTTCCTATGCATTTACCTGTGTGCATTACTGCTCTATGTGCTATGTTGCCAGTTTTAATGTGTTAAATCAGCTTGGGCCAGGCTAAAACCAGGTTTTCCTTACAGTGAGAGACTGAATCTCTGTCTGTAATATGTAATTATTCTAGCCTTCGAGATCCACCTGGAATTTCAGCTTCGTATTCATTTACCTGTGTGCATTACTGCTCTGTGAGCCATGTTGCCTACATTTTTTTTAGTAGTTAATCTGTTGGTTTCACTCCATGCAAATGAATCCTTCTGAAATTTCAGCTTCTTATGCATTTACTTTCATGCACAGTTGCTCCTTGTACCATTTTGCCAGGTACGTCTGAAAATGGAAAAAGCTAATATAGCTAATCACATTAAGTTTGAATTTAGATTAGCTTTACATCTAACTTATAAAACATAGACTGATTTTTTTTAACAGTCTCATACTTTAAACTACCTGCGATGAAATTATACAGCGGAAATGAACTGAAGGACCATCATACATCTGCAGAATTACATACTTTATTACCTTACAGTCATAATTTTTATATCCACAATGGTATGGCAAACATAGTACACCTTCTTAATTCCTACATTATTATGTCTCCATTATTAGTGTCTCTGTGTCTGTCAGAATGAAAACTGCGCAGCCAATAGCGATTGTGAACAATTCCTGTTTTTTACTGTTGTTCGCTGAATAAGAAGCCGCGAATAAGGAGCCAAAAGAATCGGAAGCTGCAAATAACTAACTTCAGCCTTGTGCAGTCTAATCAGTAGCCAATGGTATAATTCATAAACTACAATATCATCAGTTTAGGAGAACAATTTTTTAAATCTTTTTTTGTTTTCCCTTAAAAAGTTTCCATTTCTATCCTATGACTGCATATTATAAAAGCTGAAATAACTCCTCACTAATTAGCGTTCCCCTTTCCTCTACCATGTGAATGTCATTCTTTAACTGGAATTCTAACATATGAACGATGATCTGACCCTATCTGTATTTGTCTGGTCACTTCCTAACCCACAGGTGTCATGTGCCAAAACACAGCACATTCATTAAACACACCTGATTTAGCTCATCAGCTAATTAGCAAGGCCTTCATGAACTGAATTCAGAGTGTTAGATGAGGATGAACACTAATCTCTGCAGCACTTTGGCCTGAAAGTCCCCAGTTTGACATGCCTGTTCTAACATAATTAATAGTCAAATAATGTATAAGGTATGAGTTCATCAGAAAATGGTCAGGAAATCGAGTTTCACCTCCACATTGATTGATTCATTGATTGATTCATTGATTGATTTATTGATTAGTAGAATGATTTTGATGCTGCTCCTGATGAGAACAACATTTGATGATGATGACGTCCAAACCAATGGTTGATGGTGACGATGTTGAGAAAACCAGGTATGGTGATTTTCTCCGGTTTTCCTCTTCCTCAAGAACACGGTGGTGCTGATGCTGATGGTGCTGATGTGACAAAGTTGGTGACGTGAACAATGAAGATTTGCGTCCATCGGTCTCCTCTTTTGGGCCTCTTCTTGTCGGTCATTATGTCTCTGATGTCGTCCATAAACAAACAGTCCTCAACTCCAGGGTCTCCTAGTGAAGGTCAGAAGTTCAGGTCCCTCTTCTGTATGAAAAAAGAGACAGTGATAATCTGAACAAGGTGAGATGAAATCTGGGTGGATGTGTTTTGATTCACAAATTTAAAAACGGTGAAGAGGGAGGACCCTCGCTGTACCAATAAGAGTGTGAGCCAGACACCTAACACTACAATTGTCTGCCATTGTAAGTGACTCTAGGTAGGAGTCCCTACTAAATATGAAAATATATTCACAGTGCATTCAGAAAGTATTCATACCCCTACACTTTTCCTCATGTTGTTACATTACAGCTCTACTCTAAAATGGATTCTGTTTTCATCAATCTGCAAAAATACTTTACATACTTTACACATGTATTCAGAGCCTTTACTCAGCACATTGTTTAAGCACCCTTGTTAGTGATAACAGCCTTAAGTCTTCTTGGTTTTGATGCTTGGCACACCTGGATTTGGGGATCTTCTCCCATTCCTCTCTGCAGAAGACTGGGTGGGGAGCATCACTGTACCACTATTTTCAGGTTATCTTTATTTGACTTTTTCAGATAGCAGATGCAAAGACGAAGGCTCAGGAGGCAAAAGATAAAGCTCAGGCTGCTTTGAAGAAAGCCAGTGTTTCCGACAACGACTTGCGTGAAATCATCAAACAGATTTGTGGCTTTATTATGCTTTAGTCTCTGCATCTTATAAAACTTGAAAATTCATCATTACTCGTGTCAGTTTGTCCAACGTGGACGTCATTCTGGAGCAGACACAAGATGATGTCTGCAAAGTGGAAAAGCTGCAGATGGAGACCTCAAAGGCCAGGTATACATATATGTAGCTGTGTATGTCTGTGTGAGTGATATTTACCTTTTGTGTGTCTTTTGTTACATAGCATGGCAGTGTCATTTTCAGTTGGATGTTTTTTCCTGTAGGAATAAAGCAGACAGAGCAAAGAACACAGCAGAGAGTGTGAAACAGGCACTGGATGGTGCTCGTAAGGACCAGACAGCTGCTAAAAAGGCCATCCAGAGGGCAAGAGATGACAGTGGCATGACTGAGAACCGACTTGCTGAGGAACAGCTTCTTAAACCTTCTGTTAAAACTTGAACTGTTGAAGTTTTCAGTCTGACAAACATTCTGTCTCCAAAGATTCAGTCAGAAACATCAGCTAGTGAGAAGGACTTGAACAAGGCCATGGACAAGTTGGGTGATCTGGGGCGGCAGATAGTAGCCTTGAAGGCTAAACAGGCCAACAACAGCATGATTGCAGCATGAGCTGAGGAGACTCGCTAATATGGCTCAAGACAAGGATGATGAAGCAAAGCAGGTATGTGAGATTGTTCTGTTCATTATCTTTGTTGGTATTTTATTTCTCTTGTACTAACCTCCTCAACTGTTTCTGTTCAGATTCTGGTTGGTGAACTTTCAGATAAGTACCGCCCTGTTCAGGATCTGGTGGGCAGGAAGGCAAATGCCGTTCAGGATGCCAAGAAAAAAGCAGAGCAGTTGAGAGATGATGCAAAGCAGCTGCTTAAGGATGCAGGACAAACTGCAGAGACAAGCAGGAGAGTGTGAGGTAAAGAGAAAATACTGGGGAAGGTGGAAGATTAGTGTCTGATCCATTTTAATACATTCAACACAAAATTTGGTTGGACAGGTCAGTTTCACCCAGACAGACATGAAGCTGAACTTCAAACTATCTACTCTTTTCCAAAATTAGCCCTTCCAGTCATTTCCACATAATCCTAATGTGGATTCTTCATAAACATTCCCATCCAAGACGTGTTATGGGTAAATGCTCGTTCTGCCGTCCTAGGAAGAGTAACGTACAAATCAGATCTAAAACTGTAGCAATGAAATACCACAGAGGAAAGTTATTTAGGTAAACATTGGAATGGAATAAATACTAAGACACAAATGCCTGAAGATAAAAGCGATAGTTAATATATTCACGAATCAACTCCAGCACAGGTTGCCCCAGTTTTATTCTCTGTGTTCTGGTATGTTTTATCTCTACTTTTTGATGTATATGTACTTTATTTGATGTATATGTACTTTATAATGTGTTTATTTCTGTGATGTTGTAGAATTAACGTGACATTAAATAATGTGATGTCGCCCTCTTGTGGACATCTGACATCCTCATTCTGGTTTTCTTTGTTCTTAGAACTCGAGAAAGACTATAAGGAGAATCAGAAAACACTGGAGGGCAAAGCCAGACAGTTAGATGGTCTGGAAGATAAAATGAGGCCGGTTCTGGAGGCTCTCAACAAGCAGATCCAGATCTACAATACCTGCCAGTAAAGTGCCAGAGGTCACTGACAGTTCAGTACTGCCCACAAGGCTCCAAGAGCACATGGAGGATACTAAACTGGCACTACTGTCATCAGTGTGATTACTTGTGTTCAAATAAAACACTTGTGTATATATATATATATATACACATACATATATAATTATAGATTTGAAAGTTGATTGTGACGTCATTTGGCCTGAAGGACACAGAGCAGGTATCACTGAGGGGAATGTAATTCTCTTAGAGCTACAACTCAGATTTCACACGGACCATCTACAGGTGTCTTCTGCAGAAACTGGTTCAGATTTGGCTGATTAAGGTTCAGACTAAATTAGGAATAGGAGGGTTGTTTGTGTGTGTTTTACACTGGACATCCTGTGTTGGTCTGCACAGTTTCTTCATCTTTCTGCTGTCCAGATTCAGCACATGTAAAGGCTGATAATAATCTGTTGAATTAGTTGTGTTGGAGCAGAATGAAAAACGGAACTGCCTTCAGGAACTTGCAGTGAGATGAAATCATTTCAGATACTTCCACATCCTGATGTTGCTCATCATGACTGAGTAATCAGCTGTTCGACCCACATGATGAAATGCATTCGTTATAAAATACAGAACTGGATATTGTTTTTAATAAATGTCAAAGTCCCATCTGAATGATGATCATATCAGTTGTATCATAAGAGAAAACAAAAAAAAGCCTAATTGAAAAATTACAAATATTTATAAGGCTGCAATAAATACACATTTTATAGAGCATTGCATGAAAATGCAATTAAGAGAATTCTGTTTTCTTCCTTCAATAAAAATATGTAGAATGATGACGACATCAGTCCCAGCATAAGTGCCAAACTATCAGCTACAGCCAAATAGAAAGAAACTGAACTACGACCAACAGTCTAGTACTCAGGCTAGGAGGCCGTCTGACTGCTTCTCAACAGAAGTCATGTTTTAGATTCAGATACACAGCTTTAACACTGCTGAGCTGATGGGATCTTTTGGAAGTAATGTCCACTGACTTAGTCCATGTCCACTGTTCAAAGAGAACATAGAAATGATGATTAGTAGAATGATGGTGATTCTGGTCCTGATCGAACCAAAGATGATAATGTCCAAAACGATGGTCAATGGTGACGGTGCTGGTGCTGATGACAAGGTTGATGGTGACCAGAACAGTAAAGACCATCATTCCTCTCTTTTGGGCCTCTTCGTGTCTCAGCATGTAGGTAATAATGTCTGGTGTCCTGGTGGAGTTCAGATATTCAGGTCCCTCTGTTGTCTGGAGTCTCTAATCCAGGAAGAATGCTGCACTGGGTCCCTACATGGAGGACAGACAGAAAGAGAGACAAAAAAAAGAAAATGATAATCTCAACATGCTTAGATGAAAACTGGTTGATGTGTTTTGTTTCACAATTCTAAAAACAGCAAAAAGTAAAGAGGGAGGAGCCTTGGCTGGGGCGGGGGAGTTGTTGGGGGGTCTTAAGACTTTCCACAGATGTGATGCTCCTCTTCTATGCTCCCTCAGGTCAAAATTCAAGTCCTGCCATTATTAGAACACCAACTGCACCTGAAAAACACAGACACACACAGACACACACACACAGACAGAAACACATACAGAATGTTAACATATGGATGTGCAGAAACCATCACTGCAGAAATAAAGTCAAAAAGCTGCTACAAAGCCTAAAGTATCCTGCAGCTGATTAAATCCCTGGTGGTGGTCCTCATGGTGTGCTGGAAACACAAAAGGTGTCTCAAGAGTTTGGGCGTCACTGGAGTCATAACACCTGAAGCGGCCCTCCTTATCGAGGGAAACCCCTTCGAATGTAACGGACACCTGTGTGTTCTGCAAATACCCAAAGAGAAGCGATGAAAATATTTAAACACAAATAAACTCTAATAACATGTAACTAATGACTAAAAGATAAAAGCAAGTACTAACCAAGAGAACATCCTGTACTGATGACTCTGAGACATAACAATGAAAATAATATCAGAAACAGGCAAACTGGTACCAATAACTTTTTACACCCAGTGATTCTATAGCCTTACCTTGATGCAGGCCACAGCTCTGGCACGGGCAAAATACTGAGGTGGAAGCTATAAATACAAAGACACATATGAAGTTGAAAGAAAGAGACTGTAGAACCATTTTTTTCACACTGAAATTATGAACCTATTCCAGTGAATTAGGGGGTTTTTACACCTGAAAGACCGAACCAAGCTTCATGTATTTCTTACACTGTATACATTTGATCTGGTTAGTTTTGGTGTCACTTTGCAATTTAGCGAGTGCACTAAAGAAGTTTGCATGACATGCCTATGTCCTGTCATTAGAGCCAGTTTAGGGGGAGCCTGCCCTCTCCCTATTTCCCCCATTACATCAAAAACATGCAAAACACCAGAGGGTGCCCATCCACAATGTCCACAACGAATGGGGGTGAGTGGAGATAAACGGCTAAAAATGAAAAGGCGCCTCATATACATTCATGACGTCAGTGAACACAAATAGCCAATGAGCTGCTTTTTTAGTGAAACACATCCGTTTATTTTGTAAAATTAAAGGAAAGTTCTGGGCAAGTGATTAGAAATAGCAAGTTCTCTGCTGTCGTCATCACCCATGTGGGCTGCGTCTCCCTATACTTGACACTGACTGGTTTGTAGAGGAGCGGGCGCCCAACATCAGCGTGCCCTCGATTCAGTGGGTAGCCTTTTCTGTTTGAATGGAGATAATTCTCTCTCTTCAGTTTGATCCGTGGTCCGAGGAACCTTTCCCACCTGCTATTTTTGTTCAGACCAAACCAGGGTTGGAATAGCTACTGAAAAATGAGTAGCTAGCTACTTTGTAGCTACTTTCCCAAAATTTGCAGCAGCTACAATTTAGCTACTTTTCCAGAAAAAGTAGTGCACTACTCTTTAGCTACTTTTAAAGCACGATTGTCAGAATGTTTGTGAATCTCCACCTGACACACCAAACAAGCCCAACTGACGGTGTGAACAAGACACTGCATTTAGTCATGTGCCAGAAAGAAACATATAATTGAAAACCACCCTTAGACGTGCCTGTAGTGAGCGCACATGATAGAATTCATTGGTGAGCACCCACCAGTGCTCACTCTCCAGCCCGTTGTAGGTCCCCTTGTGCTGCAGTGTCACCTCCACCAGCTGCAGAAACCATGTGGGAAAACATCTCAACTTTACTGTCGCCTTAGACAAAGTCTACAACAGTCAACTAATAAGGTTTGTCTGTGTCTGAAAGTGTCTTATAAACAAAAACCGAAGGGAACCTTTCTGCCATCAGAAGACCACTTTTTATACATGGATGCAAACTGCTTGTCTGTTCGGTCCACCTCTCTGCTGCACTGCTACAGGAATGGATGACAGAAAAAGAAGATGTTTACAGGAGGCTTAAGAAAAAAAAACATTGCTCCATTTAAACTAAAGAAAGAGGGCACGGTGATCCTCCATTCCTGAAGAAAACGTTAAAATCATCACTGAAATATTTCAGAAAGGTTTGTGCAGCATAAAGACTAACTGTAGTTCTCATGAAGGAAAGACAGCGTTGATGGTTTGTTGCTATGGTGACCTGTTGTCATAACAAACCAAGCTTTAGTTTAGCTTTAAAATCAGCTAACAGTACTAGATAGAGAAGGTGCAAAACACAGCAAAATCTCAACAAAAAAAATCTCAAAAATATGTTAATAAATATTAAAAATAAATATCAAATATTTATTTATTAAATATTTCAGTAAATAAAAAATAAACCCTCTTTCACCTTGAGAACCTCATTTATTTCACAACATGTTTACATGACAGCGACATTTACACTGTAGAGTTCAATAAACAGGACGAGCTTGACGGAGCTATAAGTGCTCTTTATAATAACTGCATCCATGATTATATTATTTATGTATGTATTTATTTATTCATTCAGTTCATTAGTTAGTCAGTTAGTTAGTTAGTTAGTTAGGTATAGGTTGAGTTTAGTTTTGTTGCAAATCTGCTTCCTTTATTATTAATTGTAGAAACCGGTGGCTATTAAAATATCTATGTATTTGTTCATGATGTTAAGCTGGGAAACACACTGACTTATTTTAATTTATAAGTCAACTCTCCAGCTCATATATCATCTATAATCTCTGTAAAGAACAGTGATTATCAGACTTGCTCTAATGACTGGATCACCTGTCAGGTTCCATTTTTACTGAACTGGTAAAATCTGCTTTAACTACAGAACAACAGTGAGGTGGTGTCACTACAGGAGTCTCTCAAACTCATTTTAAACCTTTAATCTCTTTTTAGCCACCTTGAGACAGCCTGGAACTGTTTTAGTTATATTTATTTTATTCTTTTTATTTCATTTTATTTTTTCCAGTAATTTTGTTTTATTTTTTATTTTGTTAGTCTGATAAAAAATCATTTCTTTATTTGATCTTAATTCTGTAGTACTGCACATTTTAGTTTCAACTGATTAAATTTCATTTTATTTTCTTTTCAGTTCCTTTGTGTTGTAAAGGCTCGGCTGCAGTGAAATCGAGGGTCAGAAAAAGTAAAGAGGGAGGACCCTCGCTGTACCAATAAGAGTTCCAGCAAGACTCCTATATATATGAAAAACAGCAATAGAGGGAAAAAGTGACTTTAAGATGCTGGACATTATGCTCGCCTAAACAAATATGTTTTTGATCTGGATTTGAAGGTTTGCATTTCTCAAATTCTCTGAAATGCAGTTCCACAGTTTAGAAGCTACATAAGAAAAGGATCTTCCACTCATTAAGCTGCACTGATTTTATTCATTTTTAAGGCAGATGTTGTCCAGATCTCCCTGGACCTGGCAGACAATATCATCCCACAGGTGGAAGTAGGAGTGGCAGGACACACTCTTGGGGAAGCTTCCAGTAAAACCACGAGCCCATTCGTCACAGCGGCACCCACAAGCGCCCTCTCTGCACACACATGCCCCTGTGGTGCGGTCACACTGAAGAGCCTCTGCACCCAGCAGGTCACACCTACACTCTGTGAAACACAACACAGATACAACACAGTGAAGATCAATAAAACAAGTGAAAGCAGATTTGACATTTAATGAGAGTTACTGAAGAGTCTCTAAGACCTGCCATCTGCCGAACGTGGTTAAATTATCAGGTGTGGCAACTTTAACCCCTTAAACTTAAGGCCTGCAGTGACACTGACCACTGATCTACACACATACAGGGAGAACAGGAGTGATGGTGAGGGAACGTTTTGTAAATCAAACCTTTCCTCAGATTGTCTGCAATACAGGGCTGGAACACTTCTCTCTAATACATTGTGTCAGTTATGATGAAGTCAGCTAGTATGTTAAGTCAGTTATAGTAAGTTAGTCATACCAGGTTGCACTGAGGGCTGAGGGAGTTCTGTGGGTCTCACAGCCCCAGTCCATTCCCAGATTCCAGTGGTTGGGGCACACTAGTCACAGTTGTGGCCATCAACACTGGTCGTGCAGGGACACGAACCAGTTTACCTGTCACAGTAACACAACCCGTCACTGCAGTAGGCCTGCTGCGACCCTAACGTCATACATGTACAGCCTACAGGGCAGGGGAATACAGACCAAACGTGAGAAGGTCAGGAAACTGTGTAGCATAACAGGGCAATCATTGAAGCACATAGTAAAAAGCAGGTTTATTCTTTTCCAATTCCTCAGCAGCTTCATCAAAATTATAACGATATATACTTGTGATATTGTGTCTCATCAAAACAGAAAATAAGCTGGAATGCAGACATAAACTTGTAGATACACAATGTAAATTGAAAGAAAGTATAGTTTACTGTATAAGTTGCCACATAATAACGATTTAATTATGTAAATACTTGCGAATAATTTTGTGCTGTAAGAGTTAATAAATGAACAATAGTCCAGTGAAGTGATCAGATTTACAGTTTCCATCTTTAAGGAAGTGGATATGATAAGTATATAGCAAAGAGCATCAGAGAGGTTTATGGCTGTACTTACGTCCCGATCAGTGCATTGCCTTAGTAACCAGGCTTGCACTCTGTGTTGTACAGACACTTCTGGCACTTTGCCCATGTGTGCCCGGCTCCTCGGCCGCTATATTCCCATTACACTCAGCACTCCCCACCGGCCCACTCAGGGGTTACCGTAGTAACCAGGAGCACACTGATAGAAGCAGTGCCATGTCAGTAACAATTTCTATATACTCAAATATATAGAAATGCACTTTATATAGTTGACACAAAGTTCTGACTTCAAAATATCAATATTTAATGATGACCAATAATGAATAGCAATATTTAATAATGACTGATGAAGCTGACCTGTGTATCCCTGCTTGCTGTGGCAAATGATCTGGAGGATGCTGGCTCATATACGGCAGTAATCGCCATTGGAATGACCACTGTAAGGAAAACCTAGATTTAGCTTGGCCCAAGCTGATTTATTACGTGAAAATAACAGACAATATGGCACATTATGCAGTACTGCACACAGGTAAATGCATATTGATATTGAAGGCCTTATTCACATCGGGCCAGAATAATTACAAATTAAAGAAAGAGATCCAGTCTCCCACTGTGGGGGTTTTCCTTACAGTAGGAGACTGAATCTCTATATAAAATATGTAATTATTCTGGCCCAACGTGAATAAGGTCTTCAATATCCCCCTGGAATGTCATTTTCTTACGCATTTACCTGTGTGCATTACTGCTCAATGTGTTATATTGCCAGTTATTTTAATGTATTAAATCAGCTTGGGCCAGGCTAAAACTAGGTTTTCCTTATAGTGGGAGTGTGGACATCTGTCTTGACTATGGAATTATTCTGGCCCGATGTGAATAAGGCCTTCAATATCCACCTGGAATTTCAGCTTCCTATTCATTTTCCTGTGGGTACCACTGCTCTATTTGCCATGTTGCCAATTATTTTTTTAGTAATAAATCAGCTTGGGCCAGGTTTTCCTTACAGTGGGAGACTGGATATCTATCTGTGATATATAGTTTCTCTGGCCCGATGTGAATAAGGCCTTCATTATCCACCTGGAATTTCAGCTTCCTATGCATTTACCTGTGTGCATTACTGCATAATGTGCCATATTGACAGTATTTTAATGCATTAAATCAGCTTGGGCCAGGCTAAAACCAGGTTTTCCTTACAGTGGGAGACTGAATCTCTTTTTAGGATATGTAATTATTCTGGCCCAACGTGAAGCCTTCAAGATCCACCTGGAATTTCAGCTTCGCCTTTAGCCTGTCTCATACTTTAAACTACCTGCAATGAAATTATATGGCGGAAGTGAACTGAAGGAACATCATACATCTGCAGAATTACATAAATTATTACCTTATAGTCATAATCTTTATATTCACAATGGTATGGCAAACATAGTACACCTTCTTAATTCCTACATTATTATGTCTCCAGCATTAGTCTCTCTGTGTCTGTCAGAATGAAAACTTGTTTAACGATACTTTTGTGCTAAAGTTTTGGCCTGAAAACATATTTTAATCGATTTATATTAATCTATTCATCTATTTTGCCATCATAAACATTACATATAAACACTCAGAAGGCACATGTGGGTTCACTGGTGGATTTACATAGTAAATAAAACGTATATTTGTGTTGTAGATATCGGACCCCTGGTTCCCATCACCACCACTGAAAAGAAATCAGTCACTAAGTTTCTCCACAATGAACCATTTCACATCAAACCACCCTGCAGTTTTATATCTATGATGAATATTCAAATGAATTAAAAAATCAGTCATTTTCTAAAAGTTATGAGATCCCAAAAGCACAGCGTGCTGAAAACGACCCAGTGACACATTTCATCGATAGTTTAGTAGTGACTTCTCTCCCCGACTCCTTCGCGCCCTCTAGCGCTTTGTTTGGGTATTGAGGGATGAATAGGAAGCGGGCCTGTTCCCTTTAAACCGGCTCTGGAAAGACTTTTTTAAGGGACGTCAGCAGAAACGCCCACCCACTTCCTTGTTGACCGTGTTGACCATGTGGCTACTCCTGTGATCGTACTTGCGGAGTCGTCGCGGCCTCGTTGTTTATAAGTTGGCCTACGGATTCTGTGAGCGCGAAGACTGTGCAGGATGTCTGATTCTGTGTCCAAGTTTCAGGCCGAGGTGGCGGCTGTTATGCAGCTGTTGCTGAAGGTGGCCGTCATGGAAATAACCAAGGTTTTCGAAAGACGCTCGTTTGTTTCCTGCACCGCCAATGGAGGAACTAAGCTCTGTGAGGACCTGGAGTCTTTACCTGACCTCGGGGCTTGTCTGGAAGGCGCACTGAGACATAGCGAGAAAGCTGTCTGCAGTGTCGGTGTGCAAGTGGGAGAAGAGTCGCCCTCCGTGGAGCTGGACCCTCGTGGTGAGTTAGGCTGTTTGTTTTTCTTTCGTCTGTTGAACGTTTGTGCTTGGGGAGTAAAAAGTAAACAAGCCGTAAACATTCCCACGCCTTTCTGCGGTCATAGTCTACTTGACGAAGCTTTAGTCAGCTCCAAATTCAACAGCTTCTTGCTTGAATTTGCCCATTCCACCTTAAACGGTGCTGTAGTTAACATTACATTCATTCTGGTGTCTTTTAAGGTGGGACGGAACCTCAAGCTCGTGTTTGTTTGCAAGGCTTTAGCATTTATGTGCTAAAATGAGGTACAGACGTTTTAGCAGTTACGGTTTGTTAGCATTATTTTAAGGTTCTGTTCATTTCGAAGCTGATTTTGGCTTATTTTTCGCCACTTTTTCATCAAAATGTTCCAGTCCACCTTATATCGTGCAGAAGTTACTTTCGGGCCCCTGGCGTGGCTGCTGCAGCGCTTAAGCATTTAAGGTGGAACGGATAATTCCAACAAGAAGCTGGCTAATAAAGAGCCAGTTTGAGTCACAAGTGCCTTAAAGCGTTTAACTAACAGAATGTAGAAGTTTTTACTTCTCATTTATGATCATTTATATGCAACTAAAATGTTAATGCAGCCATTTAAGAGAATAAGTCTGGTTTATATATCTCTCTAACTCAGTGTAAAAGCCCTTGCATGCTGCTTGGTGATCTGTCTACTCTTTAACGGCCTCCACTTCACAGATAAAGGCTCACACAGGGAGGGAAACAAGCTCTGTCTGCAAGACTCCCAGATGGGGGATGGGCTGCTCCCCACAGAAAATCCCTACTTGGGCCTGGTTGAGACTGTTGATTTGCAGTGCACTGTTGACCTTCCATGCAACATCTTTAAAGAAAAGGTCGGTGGCATAATCTAGTGCATAGTTTCACTTCACTATAGTTTTTTTGTGTGTTATTTTATACCAAATTGCACAGAGTAAAGATGTAAACAACGCCAGGGTCTTTTATGTGCAGCGCCATATTTTTACAACTGTGAGGCGCCTAGGAACCAATCACATACTAATTGAAAGAGGGGGTCATAGAGTTTCTGACTGTCACCAGAAGATGGCTCCCTTCAGTCTGGGAGGAGATGAGACCCCTGAGCAGAAAGCGTTTTGCGTTCTCCACTTCAATAAGAGTGAATCTTGTCATAACTGTGCAACGTGATTTTCGTCGGGTAGTGAACCTCCAACAGCTCAGAGCGTTTCGTCCTCGGTTCCACAACACTGGATGATCTCCGAAATCGCACTGAAAATAAAATTACAATAAAAAAGTAAAAATATGAAAGTATTTCTACTTTTTAGGCATTTAAAAGTATTAATACATTTGCCCTTTCCCTTGCAGGTTCTTTGCAGCTCCATGACACAATATCATCTCCTGCTTGCAGTCTATAGAGCAAATAGGGCAAATAGCAATAGTGATCATTCAGAACAAACACCATAGAATTTAATCCTCTGGGGTCAAAATGTTTTTTTTTTGTTTTGCATATATTCTTAATTTCACCTTTAAAAGACATGATACCCATGTTACATATCAAAATGTTCAGCTCTCTCTGTACTGATCTAGAGCACCGTGCAAAGAGATAATTCGGCCCTAAAGCGAAAAAAAATAATGTCCGGATTTAGAAGTTCTTGATATCTATTGTGGAAACACAGTTGTACTCTTGTGGTCAAATTGCTTTGGTGTTTGAAACGGGTTTACCAAAGTCAGTAAAATAATGGATAAATGTTCTCCTCATCACTGCTTTCCAAAACCGCTGCAGCAACTTCAGCAGCTATAAACTTTATACACTCCATTTCACGTCTGTGTCCGAGGTGACTGAATGAAAAATGAAAGGTTTCTGATGTGATGGGTCAGTCCTTAGTGATTTCCTGAGTGTCCTTTGGTCTGGTTTGCACACAAAATTTTGACGGACACACAAATCCAGCAGTTACACACGGTGAGAGGCAGATGGTGTGTATCTCTACTTAGGATGTGAGTCTGGAATCAAAACTGTTTGAACTGTATTTCTGTGCTGTATTATCGCAAAGATATTAACAGAAACACTTGGAAGCATCTAACTTGACACGCCAGCGTGTTCGTTGACCCCAGAGGGCTAACTAAATTGGCGAGTAAACCCAAGATAAAAAGTGTGTGTGTGTGTGTGTGTGTGTATGTATGTATATGTGTATGTATATATGTGTATATATATATATATATATATATATATATATATATATATATATATATATATATATATATATATATATATATATATATATAATATGAATGTGTGTATAATCAGTACCAAAAAAGTTTACAAAAACCTGAATTGCTTTTTAACCAGATTATATCCGCCTCTGTCATTTTCTTTTTATTTTATGGCCAAAGTTTTCTTTATTTTAAGTTAGTTTATGTCTGCTTTGTATAGTGTGTGAGGTTTAGAATAACATTTTGAGATCTGGATTGTATTGTTTATTATCAAAATGCAGGCTACAATATATGCTGGTTGAGGAGGCGGAGGTGTAGCTATAACAAGCTAACTACTTTAGGTTACAGTAAATAGGAACAAAAGCAGTAAAAGAATATGTCTATTCTTAGTGTTACTTAGACAAACATGTTCAAAAATCATTCACATAAGAGAAAAACTCTTATTTGAATATAGAAGATGAGTCATCACCATCTACCACTGCACCGGTTAGCTCTAGTAGCAGTGTTAGATAATTAACTCATCTGCAAGGGAAGGGATATTTCTATATCTATTTTTAAAAAATAAGACATGCACCTGTTCATCAATGATGACAGACACTTCAATATCAACATTGGTCGGAATGCATATGTTATATCCTGTCCTTTATTGATCCTACACTTTATTGCATGATTGATCCTACAGTCCTATTGATGCCATCATAAGAATTAAATGCTGTGATTAATGTTCTAGCAGGCCGTTAAGGAGGAAAGACAGAACATCTTGGTGCTTCAAACTGCAGGGGTTGGCCACCCACAAGCAGAACTGGCCACTCAGGAGAACGGTATGTACAGCATGATTCTGTACCTAAGTCATCTCATGTTTTATTAAAAACTGCATTTTCATATTTAAAGTAATGTTTAACATTCTGTTTTATTGGGTTTGCAGTCTCAACCTGTGTCACTTCAACACAAACACTACAGGCAGAAATGACTATTTTGGTCCTGTCAGTTGTTTTTTAAATGTATTTACATTTATTCACATTTAACTATATTTTCCAGAAGGTAGCAAATTTTAAAGGGAATTCCACCAATTTTCAAAATAACATTGCAACTCCTGGTTCCTATTAACACCATTATCAATACCAAGAAATCCAGTTTGGTAAGTTTCTCTAAAATGAACCATTTCACATCAAACTGTTCTGAATGACTTGGATTGCACCAGGGCTGCAGCAAAGGAGTGGCCAGGAGTGGCTGGTGCCATCCTTTCATCCTTTCACTCGGGCCGCCTCAGTTAAAAAAAAAGTGAGACAGCTATCATCAGTGATGCACTCAGCACAGAAAAGGTCTGCTACTTCGTGTGAACAGTTTTACTTTGTAAATCTGCTGTCAGGGCAGTTACCAACTGGTTATGATCTGACGATGCACACAGTAATAGGCCTACCTTTGCAGTGACCCTGGTTTGCACATCAACAACTGAATTGTGCAGAAGTTTTGAGTAATTGATGGCATGTGTCACTGAAGACCTTTTGTCCTGTAGAATCTAATTACAATATCCAAATGTGTCCATTTCCTTTGTACCTACGACAGCTTTTACACAAATGGTGCGTTTTTCAAGATCTCACTGCAGTTCAGAGGCTGATCAGTTTATGGAAAACCAGCATTCGTAAAATTTTACTTCATCATCCCTAACTATGTTCAGAAGGATATTACTGAAGGATTTTCTATTTTTTTTTTCTTCATAGCTGCATTTATGCTAGATTATGTACTAATAAATGATCTTAAAAATTCCCAGCATTTTATAATAGCGCATAGTGTTTTCTTGATTAAACAGTGTGCAGTGTGTGCCTTCAGTGAAATAAACATTTTCATTTCAACATCACCAAATCTATTATTTTTTAAAAAAAAAAATACTAATTAATGCATACTTAAGTAGACCCCATCTCTTTTGTATATCTAAATGCAGGTCTGAACAGTATCCAAGAATAATTAACACAATAATTATTGATTATATCTCTTTTGAAAACCATGTAATGTTATAATTTCACAGTTTTCATAATTTAATTCCTCTAAACCACCAGGACACTTAAGCTGTATTGAAAATACTGCAGTTTTTTCTCTTTACCTTTCTTTTTCTCTTACCTTTTTCTGATCCTGATTCTCGGCCATAGACAAGTACGGCTGAAACTAACAGAGCTGCTCTGCTTAGTCACTTTAGCTCGGCTGCTTTACTGCAGCAAGTCACACTGAAGCAAGTTTGAAGCATGTCTGCATTTATCGGCCAGAAATGCTCAAGCATTAATAATAAGAACAAACAAACCTTCTTAACAAACCTCTCTCTCTGTCTCTCTCTGCACACTTCCTAAAGTATGTGACCCCGGTTTCACAGCATGTTTAGCAAGCCATTTTAATCAGGCTTCTCTCTTTCTCTCTTAGTTTTCCAACATGGCAATTATTGCCTTTTAAGTGTCTACATCAGGTTGTTTTATCAACCACTGTAATATTTTAAACTTGTTTTAGTGGGTTTTTCAAACATGAAACATCCTACCCACCCACAGAGAGAGCGTGCCAGTTGTGCTCTATTTTACTGTTGGGTGATTTTAATTTTTTTTAATGTAGGCAGCTGTGCCTACCTTTGCCCAGTGCAGAGGCTCCCAACCCCAGTCCTGGAGGACCCCCAGTCCTGGAGGACCCCCTGCCCTGCACATTTTAGTGTTTTCACTGCTCAACACACCTTATCCAACTACTCAGCTAATTAACAAGCCCTTCCTGAGTTCAAGTAGGTGGCAGTTGCAATTGACAACATTCTGAGGATTATATTTGAAGAACCGTCCACACGATTGCAGAATACGGCTGATTTGTATGGTCATATGAATGTATGTTGTTTGTTACAACTTTCAGCGTAGAAATTTTTAGAAATTATCTGTTTCATAAAAATGGATAAAGGTTCAACTGCACAACCATGCAGTTTTATCAAGCACTGTAATATTTTGTGTTTGTTTTTTTTTTTTTAAACATGAAACATCCTCAATAAGAGAACAGCTGGTCATTCGAGGCAGTAATTTTAATTTTTTTTTGGAATTATACTTTTTTTCGCAGTTGACAGCAATTTTGAGGATCATTTTTGATGAATATTGGAACTGACTAGGGTGTAACATTTTTAATCCGAAGTAAAGAACGAATGTAGATTTCAACCTTTTAAAGAAGAGATATGACCATAATTGTAACTTCGCTACCTCAATCAAAATAATATCCGAATTTGTTTCATCAGGTGAAATAATACAGTTCCAGCAACAAACTGAACTTTCAGTTCAAAATGAATGGACAATAGCCTACATTTCTAATGGGAACATACTGTCCAGTGTTATCTACAGAGTATGCGTGGACGCTGGATATAACTGTGTTCATCGAGGCCAGTTGTTCATGTTATCTACAGAGTGTGCGAGGAAGTTGGATGTTACTGTTTGTCTTGGCCACTTCTTCGCACACTGTTTACACAACAGGTATTTTGTCATCCGTAAACGAGTATGACCGGCCTGTTGTACTGTTTGAGTGTGATGTGTGGCTCTACCACCCTTTCTCTCATTTGCATGTGCTGAACACTGCTTGCCAAAAAATACTGTACACATGTAGCGTATCTAACTTGTATTTTCATGGGGCCCTTTGCCTGAGGCGGGGAGGTGGGGTAACACTAAAAAAGAATGAAATAGTGGATTTATTTTAAAATATGATGAAGTGGTTCCCTGCAGCCATGTTAAGTAGCTTTTAAGGTGTTCAGTTGAGTGATGTTTACTCAGTGAAGTCAAGTTAATCACGTTCGTGTTCTGATTAACTAGACTGAGCATTTTAATGTTGTACCCCAACATTCTGTTCTACTAATTAAAGTAGCAAAATATCAAGTTAATAGATTTACATTAGTTCTACATAAGTTTGTTAAATTGTTACCGCGTTAGTGAGCTGTTATAGAATTATGATTAGCCGTAGGGTATGTGGTAACGTGTGCTTGCAGTCAACAATAAATGCAGCAACACTGTCAACTGTGGGGAATAAGATGCACACACAATGGAAGGTAGGCCGTGCAGGTGGACAGACAACATGAAGAGTGTGTTTAAGACTAGTAAAACAGTGACTAGGGGCAGCGTATAGGTCTGGCTGAGGCGGCATTTATCGCGCCAAGATGTTTTTTCCTTTGTACCGCTTTTATGTATATTTAGCATTTATGTATATTATATTGGGGTATATGGAATACAAACAATAAGAAGCTTAATTATCACTTTTTGAAGTTCGTGTAAAAACTATTTAATCGTGAAACTCGAAGCACTAAGTCCTCTTTAATCTTTTGGCCTTTTTTTGGTCAAACAAAAAAAGCTGATATTCAGTTACGTCTGTTCACCCAGGCCTGCATGACATTCAGATTTGGGGTAGTGTCTCAAAAAAAGGTAATTACAATTACCTTTACAATTACAAAATCCGTTACAGATGACAAATTATTTCTCTCAAGCTGTAATGGCATTACTTTTCTTATTAGCTACTTTCTTGACAATCTCATTACTATACCTCTGTGTTGCTCTCTAAAACCTCAGCATATTGAACTGTTGGAAAATACATGGGAAAACCAAGTAATCCTTTCAGTACTCACAGAAAACTGGGCCCAATTCACCAATTTCTTCCCAAGTTTTTTCTTAAATGTGTTCTTGAGAAAGATCCTAAGAAAAAGTCTCCGTCAGATTCGTGACGTGTTCTCAAACCGCAGAACTCTTCGTACCTTTGTGCTCTTGTGTGTGTAGATTCTGTTCTTTCCTAAGAACAAATCCCAAACAAGAAAACACTGGTGAATGTCAGAAAACTGTATAAGTGGGTTTCAAGAAAAAGTTTCTTTTTAAGAACGGTTGGTGAATGAGGCCCATCATTTTTAAGGCTGATCACTGTCCTTGCCTTTGACTGAAAAACAGAGCCAGTTATCTTGATTAAAATTATGAATGGTTGATGCTGTTGATAAAAGAGAGAAACTTGCCAGTAGAAACAATCCAAAACACCAGCCTTAAAATGATCTTTAAGAACAAAATATTCTCATATTCTGTATCAAATATATTGCAGGTCGCACATGCGAGCACAAATTACTGGTAAGGACAGTCACAGGTCACATATAAAGAAGAAATGTGTTTTAAACATTTGTATCATTCTCTAAAGAGTAAAGCAAGCAGCATAATTCGTATTAAAGGGAAATTACAAGTTTTTTTTTAATGCTTTTTTTTTTTAGTTTAATGCTTAAGATGTAAATAAAGTCATTCAGAGTGGTTTGATGTGAAATGCTCTTTTCTAGAGAAATTAATTGTTCAGTGAGTCAGAATTGTTCACAGTGGTGGTGATGGAAACCAGATGTCTGAAAGCGTCTAAAAGCTTGTGAAAAGTTACTGCATGAAACGTGTGTGAATGTGCTACTTACTGCCTGAGACATTTTTACAATAGTTTTACGACAAGATTTTGGCCTGACACATTTTTTCAAAGACATTCATGGTGAAGGAGTACGTGCAGGGTCTTGTAGGGCAAAATGGTCCCCAAAGAAAACCTTTTTGGATTTATGACTGTTTTACCATCAACATTACATGTAAAACCACAAGTAGGTCTACTGGTCATTTGGGTAATGAATAAAATGACTGTATTTCCATTGAGATTGCGACCCCTGGTTCCTATCACCACCACTTTAAAGAACGTTCTGTGCAATGAGCCACTTTACATCAAACACTCTGAATGACTTAGTTTACATCTTAAAGGTTGATTTACAAAGAAATTTTGTCAGTAATAAATGGTAAACTGGAATACATTGTACTACTTTTATTTTGTTACCCCAATGTTGATGATGGTAAGAATTACATTCATGCATATTAATGAAAACATGCATCATGCTAGCAATTCTCAGTTTAAATTAATTTGCAGAAAATAGGAAAATGGGAAAATGCTTTAATATTTTCTGCGACAATGTACAGTTATATTTTAAGATTTAGATTTTTTTTAATTTAAATTCTTTTATGGTGTGTTTTCTGCTGATTAGTTTACCTTTTCTTGTAAATTTGATGAGTGTATGTGATTTCTTTTGCAGGCCTTCAGGCACCAAGTCCTCTTCACGAGTCTTTTCCAAGCCTGTTCAGTTCAGTAACCGTAGACATTTCAAGCACAGATCTTTCCCTGAACACTTTGGGCCAGTCAGGCCTCAGCTTGAAGGAAGGCGATTCCGTCCAGTCTGTGAAAGAGCTAGCCAAGGTGGAGCTTCTTGAGGCAGCTGTGAGCTCAGACGAAAACAGTGCAGCTTTACAAAACGAGTCACTCGCAGATGTAAAAACCTGCGCCTCAGATTCCTCGCCTGACATCAACATTGTGAGGTTTCAGCTCAACCAGACACCTTTTGACTGCAAGCTGTTGAAGCCGTGCTCCGTGAAGCTCGTGAACCTGCTTGTGATTTCGGACGGCAAAAGGAGAAAGACCGAAGTCCCCGGTGGAAAAGAGTTCTGCACGCCCAAAGACCTTCGACACCACCAGCATGCCCACACCGGACACCGTCTGTGCTGCTTCACTAAGTGTGCTGATGGCGTGTGGCGTCTTCAGGGAGCCGTTTCTCACAAGCGCTCGCATGGCTGCAAGATTTGCGGGAAAAAATTCAAACGCAGGAAAATCCTCAGGAGGCACGAACGTTTCCATACGGGAGAAAAGCCATACTCGTGCTCCGCATGCAGCAAGACGTTTGCTCTGCGCAAAAGCCTAAGGAGGCACGAGAGGTTCCACACAGGAGAGCGGCCTCATAGCTGCCCTCAGTGCGGCAAAGGTTTCCGTCTCAAGGATAGCCTGAAGGCGCATATGCGATTCCACACAGGGGGAAAAGCCGTTCGCCTGCAGCCTGTGCTCCAAACGGTTTAGGATTCATAAGAATCTGCACAAACATTCTTTACTTCACTCTGTCTGATAAACAAATAGCCAGTAAACTGGTAAGGAGTGTGTTAAATCACTGGTTCTCAGCTTGTCTACAGATGGATGGAGCGGTCAGTAACTTGAGACGTCACATTCCATAACATACCATTTAACCGAGTGTAAAGATGGATTGTACGCTTCGTTCTGAAGTGTTGCAGGATGTCATTCGCCATGTTTGGCTGGTTAAAAAGTGCCAGCCTGCAGTCCATGTATGGTGTGGTTTAAAATCAAAAGAACTACAAAGTATTTCAAGGTCTCTTTTGCAGAGTACATCCTTCCTTGAATGTTCGAAAGAAATGGTTTGTGCAAAACTCGGCACATAACAGAATGATAAGCTCATTCCAACGTTGGGAAATTCCACTGATGTATGGAAGCTTTTTTTCTTCAAACTGCAGTAAACACACAGGGTCTACATGCCCATTAAAGACTTTTCAGTTCTGTAGCTGAAGGAATGGTTTGGCACAAAAATTATAATTAACCAGTTTTGATGTCAATCAACCAAGACATGTTGGGCGTCCAGATCTTCTTTTGTTCATAACTGGAGCTACAAGGCTCACAGTCACTAGAAGTCAATAGTCACCCAAATGTTTTCTGCAAAAACATCACGAAAACTTCTCTCAACCCATCCAAACCACATCCAGGTCTTCGATAAAGTTGTGTTGCTCACGACGTTCAGCTTCTCCTTGACTTTTCGTTCTGTTCTTAACTCTGTGACAGTGACAGACCTTAATGTGGTTTAAGCAGGATGAGAAGTTTAAAGGGTGCGTTTACCGAAGATTTGGGTGCCTGTTGACATTGAGTGTTTTGTTAGCGACGTTAGCTTTGAAGCCGTTATGCTGTGTATGTTGTCCTTTGTTGGACACTTATATTTTTTTATTTATATTTTTTTGGTAATTAGAATGACTTGAATACTTTGTACAATCTTTTAAGTAAACCGAAGTGCCTTTTTTTCAAATTCACTGTATGATTTCAGGTTTTGAGCATTAAAAAAGATTTAAAAACAGTGGTTTTTTTTTGCTGTGAATGATTGTGGAAAATAGCAGCAGTGCTTCATACAGTCTGAGATGCAAGTCTGGTAAATGAACTACACCCCTAAATGCATAAAAATCCCAGGCCAACTTTTTATTTATTTCATTTTTTAAAGAAAACAGCCAATGAGTACAAGCTATTCATTTTTTAGCGGGGTCAGAGCCTGTGGTTTAAAGTGGCTGCTCACAGCGCTCTCAGCTAGACAGAGAGGGTTTTTGCATTTTTATTGTTATATGGTGCCCAAAAAAAATTTAGCAAATGTGTTTGCAGAAAACGATTTTGGGTGACTGTTGACTTCTAGTGTTAGCAACACTGGCCTCGTAGCTCCAGTGCTAAATTAAGTAGGTAGAAGAAGTGAAATTTGGATGCCAAACATGTCTTAACTGTACAGCTTCCCCAAAGTCAATATGAGCCAGAAACCAAAGAAACAAATGGAGAGTTGGGCTGTTTTGAAGATGTGACTAAAAGAGAAATCTACATATAAGAGACTGAATATGCATTAAATATAGAGAATGTTTTGTGTTACTAATTAGTAAAAGTACTGTTGGCACTGTTCACTGCAAAATAATTTGTAGTTTTACTTAGTCTTTTATCTGATGTATTCGGTTCTCTCATTGAAAAATTACACTTAGCAGTAGTTTTAAACAGGCCCATTCTGTTTTTTTCCACCTATGGAAGATCTTGTACTTTACTTTGCCAAACTTTTTTTTTTTTTGTTCACATATAGTTTATAGAGACATTTTTAAAACTGTATATTACTGCTTTTTATAAGAATCTGCTACTGTAAAAAATGTTTACTGTTTTTTGGCTTCATTAATACACTTTGTACCTCTTGATTACTGTATTTACATGTTGTCCTTTGTCTTTTGTTTGACACTGAACTTTTTCCCTTTATGTCATTTGGGTTTTAGCCGTTAGGTGGACTTGAACACTGTACACTTTTGCACACTTTTACAAATGACTTTTTTAAATACACTGTACACTTTCAGAAGGTTTTGAGCATTAAAAAGGTTTGTTGCTATGAGTGATTGTGGAATTAAGTCTTCTGGCGAATGCCTACCTGTAACAGTGCTTTACACAGTCCAAGATGAAAGTCTGGTGAACCACGCTTGTGTATGTTTCACTGAGTAACACCTACATTAGAGGGCAAAAGTCAGAGACCCCCTTTTCATTTTTTACGTTGTTGAATCAAAGCCATAAAAACAAAAAACAGAAAATTACACAGACGTCTTAATTAGTAATTATCTTTTTTTGTGTGTGTTTAGTGTCCAAACTTTGGCTTTATTACAGCTACTATTCGTTTTGGGAGACTTGCTTGAAGTTGTTCAAAGAAATCCGCTGGGATATTTTTCCACTCCTCCAAAGTTCAGTCTTGGAAGTTAGGGTTATTTTCTGCTTCTTACCAACCGGAGCTGTTTGTGGCTCTTTTACTGCCCTGTTGTGGCTCCACAGCAGATTTAGAATTAGATTTGTAGATAAAAATAAAATAATCCCTCCTCTGCAGTAAAATAAAGCTCTGCTGATCGTTCAGCACAGTTTTAACAATAAATGGTCTTAAACACTGGAGTGTTTAACTGCTAATTCACCATTTAACCCTGAAGGTTGGTGCGCAGACTGCTGGTCACCATAGTAATGAAGATTACAGTCTTGCCTAGCTAGTAGATAACGAAAAGGCAAAGAGACAGATTTAAGACAAACATTGATAATTTGGAGACCAATGGACTTATTTGCATTTATAACTACTCCAGCTGGTTTCCTGATACGTTTAATCTGCAACGAGAAACCGTCAAACACTAAAAAGTCACGAGGCTGAAGTCAGTTTCTCATTTGGCAGCTTCTTGTTCGAATTTTCCGTTCCACCTTAAAAGGTGCAGCAGTTACATTTATTTAAGGGGGAGCGGGAAAATTCATACAAGCTGCCGAATGAGAAGCTGACTTCTCAAGCTCGTAAGAAGTCGAACGTTCGGAGACATTTTACAAGAAAACTGTTCTACTTTTGAGGAAAAGTTTCCTGCCAGAGATGCAAGAAAAGCAGCTATAGCTGAGTTAAGGCAGAGCAAAGTCTGGATTTTCGTTTATGTTATATTTTTAGCATATATTGGCACATCAGCACATACTGAGACATATTTACAGCCAAGATGGTGAAATGGACATAAAATGTGACTCTTAAGGCGGTTAAATATTTGTTGAAAAGACAAAATGGCTCTTCTTAACATTTGGGTTGCCGCCCTCTGAGCTGAGTAATCCCAGTTATAAATTTAGACCTTACCCTACTTCTCAACTGTTCTAGAGCAAACCTTCTTTTTGGTCTGTTTCCTTTTCTCAGTAAGAGTTTATTGACAGCTACACGTCCTTTCAGACTCTTGTCTGTCTTCTCACAGTGGAAGGATGGACAGAAACACCTGTGGATGTTTTCAGATCTGAAGCAGCTTCATTTTCTCCTCTCTGAAAGATGAAAGCTTTCAGTGCTGTTTATCTGACACTGTCAGTTTTGGGGTCTATCAGGTCTTGTTTTGAACTCCAGTTTTAAAAGTTCCGGGAGTTTCTTTCCACTTCATTTTTTCGGCAGCAGAAATTGGTTTATTTCATTTAATTTTAATTAAATGTATCTGATTAAACAAAAATTACGTTATTTTCTGTTAAATATGTTATCTCTGGCACGTATTCTATCAAATCTTTCATTTCCGTCTCTCGTGGTCTTTTTGGGGTATCTCACATAAATCATGACTGGATGTTTTTCATAAGTTTCTATGCTGTTGTCCTGGTTACAGCTGTAGTAAATTACCCAACACACATTAGATCAAGCGCAAGTGTTGGGTATTGTGACTGTGTTAGCTGATGGAGGGGAACCGAAAATGGTTTAAGACTGTTCTTCGCCTGTCCTGCTGTCCTGTCACGTTTTTTGGGTATATCTGTAAATTAGCATTTTAAAATTCCCTTTTTAGGTACGGCTACCTTGTATCTACACTCATTGTCCATTTTATCCAGTTTACTTACCCTATAGGAGCACTTTGCAGTTCTACAGTTAGACTGCAGTCCATCTGTTTCTCCATGTTAGCTTGTTCACCAATAGCCAGGACCAGAGTCAGTTTAAAAGGGAGACTGACCGCTTCCTATTTCTCTAGTTATATAAAAAACCTAATGTCAGAGGGCGCCTGAGCGAGTCCCCAATGAACAGGGGCAGATGTAGCTAAACCGCCAAAAATGAGAAGTTAAAATAGTTTCTAACAATTTATCCAGGACCTTTCATTCATTCTAGAAAGAAAAGGATGTGCTTCACTAAAAAAATCAGAGAAAACTTGCTGATTGGTTAGCATTACTGCTACTGAGCGCTGATTGCCTCACATTACTGCTACTGAGCGCTGATTGATTAGCATTACTGCTACTGATTGCTGACTGGTTAGCATTACTGCTACTGAGTGCTGACCGGTTAGCATTACTGCTACTCAGTGCTGATTGGTTAGCATTAGTGCTACTGAGTGCTGATTGCTGACTGGTTAGCATTACTGCTACTGAGTGCTGACTGGTTAGCATTACTGCTACTCAGTGCTGATTGGTTAGCATTAGTGCTACTGAGTGCTGATTGCTGACTGGTTAGCATTACTGCTACTGAGTGCTGACTGGTTAGCATTACTGCTACTCAGTGCTGATTGGTTCCTATAACTGGAGTTCAAAAGCACTTAAAAATATAATAGCATTTCATGCTGTTTGTGTTCAGAAATTAATGCATGCTTCTATATAAAAATGTTTAAGCCTTTACAAACCATGATTTTGCTCAAGCGCTCCATATTTAACCCATTCATTTTGGACTCACTCAGCAGCGCCCTCTAGCATCTGACACGCACAGAAGACATTACTGAGCAGCGATTCTCTCTACAAATTCTCTGGCCAGGACCATCACAGGGGCTACAGGCTGGGAGCCTTTTCTGCTAAGGTCACTTAGGCTATTAAACTATCCTACATGCAGTTTTATGTAGGAGGCTCCCTATACAAATGCACTGTGGGAGGACTTCGACAAGGCCAATTCAGCAGAACGCTGGCATTAAGCCATGGGTTTTGTACTTAAATCTCTACTGTTATATTGTTCTGCAATATGATCTGCCGATATATAGTATTTATTGGTGCTGTGCTTATATGGTCACAAAATGACTATGGCGCCACCCTATGGAGAAAGGAATGGAGATTCAATATGTTCTGAACACAACCAGCAGATGGCGTAGATCTCCCCTCTCCGTAACCTTTCAGTCCTCTAGAAACACAAAAGTCAGATAGTTGCAAACAATGCTGCTTGCTCAGGAGCAGAGCCAGCTAAAGGGGGGCCTGGACCCTTCAAACTGACTGCTAAGTTCTAGAGGGCGCCCATTACTGCATGGTAATTTTCCTCATTAGAAATTCTCTGGTAGCAGCCATGTGCACATACATATCTGGACAGGAGGGGTTGAGCCCCTGCCCTTTAGCCTAGTGGTTACCAGCCCTGATCCTGGAGTTCTACCTCGCTTCAGAATGCAAGTCCAACTATAATCTGCCACACCTGCTCCTGCCCATTAACCCCTTAAATGGCTTTATAACACTTTTATAACTTAAGAATAGCTCAGACAGTTTACACTGAAGTCCCTGTAATCAGTGAATAATAAGCCTTAGCATGCAAAAGACCTGGGATTTTAAGGGGGTTAAAATGTTCACAAATCCCTGATTGGCTGGATCAGATACTTTAGTATTAGGTAAATGGGATGGGGCATCGTGTTAGATACAGGTTCAAACTAAACTCTGCAGGAAAGTACCTCTCCAGGCGAAGGGTTGGTGACCACTGATTTGGCGACTCTTAGCCTGTACAAGCCCTCTCCTAGTTGGCATGTGTCACTGTTTCAAACTACCTCAGCATCACAGTCTGGCCCCAAGAATACAGCCAGTGGGTCGGAATGGGTTCCATAAGTTTCTTTGCTCTTGGACGCCCCCTCTGGTGCAGTACCAAGCAGCTATGGAGATTTCACTACATATTCTGATTTCACCTCAGGAACTACGACCTGAATCAATACATTCATCACCAGAGCGATGGAAATCCTGTTAATAAAGCACTGACAATCTCTTTAAAAGTCACAATGCATACTATGGATACTGTGAACAACAAACATTGTTAGTAACCAAAACTAGTGAGTTATACAGTTACATTTGTTTGCAAATGTTTGGGCACCCCTGGTCCTATAACATTTTGTTGATTTTCTAAGTGAAATAAGTTAACAAAATCCTCTACAGAGAACTTCTGCACATTTTAATGCACAATTACTGTTTGCTGAATTTAACATATTGGAAGAAAATTAAAATGTACAATGTGGACTGTGCAAAAGTTATAGCACATTTTATATTATGTTTTATTTTTTCCACCATGTTAAATTCAACTAACTTATATTTACCAGACTTTCTCATACAACTCCTACTACTGACACCAAACAGATAATACAGTGGGTAACATCACAGCCTGGAATGCTGAAGATCAGGGTTAAAATGCTTGTTTGGGTGGAAGTGCTACCCTTTTCGGCTGTCTTGGGAAACTTCTGAACAGCAGATTTGCTTTCCTTTGAAACAGAGTTACACTCTCTTTGAGTGTGAACACGCTGTAAACTGAATCAGGATTAATTCACATTCAGGTTGTCCTTTTTTCCTCCTTGAGCCCCCAGAAAGTCAGTGCAGGGGCTTGCTGAAGCCCTTACTTCATTCATGCAGGTCAGCTATGAAAAGTATGTTGCACTCAAGGAATAATAATAATACCAGTTTGTAAATGCCATGATATTATAATTCATGTTAAAAAATTGGCGACAGTGTAATTTTAACATAAAAAGATTTTGGGCGTCACGCGCCGAAATAAGAACAAGACTTTTGATTTGATGGTCGATTGTTATTCATGTTTACATCACAGAGACAGCTGGAGTCAATTCATCAAACAGGAATAAACTCAATTTTTGCATCATTGCAGGCATATTACCAACTCTACACTGAACAATAAACCCATTAGTCTCGGTTTCAGTATCTAACCCTGAACCTAACCCACTGCGCCCTCCCCAATCCCAAAAAAACAAAAATAGGAAAATAAAATAAAATGTACACCCAATAAATGAAAGCCATGTTCTTCACTTGGTGAACTGGGTGCACGAGCAGCCGCAGTTAGGTTGAGGTACCACCATGGCTCAGCACAGGTTAGTATATAAATATGTACTCTTCAGCATGACGTTCAACAGACAGTCCAGCCTGAGGTTCCCCACAGCCACAGAACATGAAGGGAATGCTGAATGATAGTTCGACAGACATGAAGGACATACATTTTAATTTACTGGGCGTGGAGTTTACACAATGGGCCGAGTGAAGAGTCAGTACAGAGTAAATCAAATGAATGATGCCCGTCATCGAAACTACTTAAGACAACTTTGCAAAGACTGAAAAAAAAAAATCATCCATAATTCCTCAAAAGCAAGAAGAAATAATAACAGTAACAATAATAATATAGTCATGTTTGTTTTGGTGGGGAAGGGTAGATATAATAAAAGAATGTCATGATCTATGGGGGACTACATCAAGGGGACAGGTGAGACGTGGTCAATCCTCCGAGCTCGAGGAAGAATCAGAATTTTTAGGTGCCATGATGACGTCATCCAAAATCGCTTCCCTATCGGAGCTGTCGTAGCCACCCTGCGACAAACCGTCTCCTCCGTCCATGTCGAGAGATCCAGCCTCCATCTTTACGTCATAGGCAGGCGTCAGGAAGTGGTGAGTGGAAGTGAGGTCACCGCCGTCCAGGTCTTCATCGTCCATCATGTAAGCTCCATCAGAAACCAGCGTCTCGCTCTCGACTCCCCCGAGGAGAGGGTCGGGCTGGGCCGAAGGGGTGGAGAGGTAATGGTGGCTCTTTTTGGGGAACGAAGCATGCAGGCTCAGCAGTCTGTGGAAGAAACTTTCCGGAAGGAAGCCCTGAGGAAGCAGGATATACGTGGTTAGCAGCGGTATGCTAAAATGTTTCGGTGTATTATAAAATATACTGTGTAATGTGTATAACAAGCTAAAAGGCATTTGTGGTTTATCCTTCAGTCTCATCTATTTGACAGGTTTTACAATTTCATATCCTTTTTGTGTTTTTGTCTGTCAATGTTTCCTTACTACAAATCCCAGCATGCACTGCACAAATGTCATACATACATCCATCAGGAATCCCCTCTACCCATGGCAATGAAAGATGTAGACTGTGGTACATGTACCCCCAAAAATTCCAGCATTAATCTTCATTTAATTAAGCAATAGAACACGAGAGGGAGGGAGTTATCGCCAAATAACATCACGGCATTCGCGATAACACACAACCTCGATCTGCTTTTATACAACAGTTAAATAAATAAAGTAAGAAATTAATAAACTGGGCAGTGAACGTGGCATTTAATTTGATTTAATGTTTGCAGTTCCTTGCGCCAAATTATAGTTCCTTAACTAGCAGCTTGTTGCTACGTCAGAGCAACGAATTCCGCTCACTCGCTGCACAGCCGGCAGTTCGCTCCCCAGCTCCTTACACTGAATTCCGAAACTGTCGTTACCACTGAGCAGCTTTTCAGTCGGCAGCTGTGACAGAAGAACAGCTAAACAACCTGGAATCAGCCAGAAATGAACCGAATACCATTCGCCAAACGTGTAGTCTCATCTTCAGAGTCTGGCCAAATCGGACTGAGCCATAAAACTGCTGCAATATCAAGTTTAGCTCAGTTTTGTCAGTTTTTGCCAGATCAATATTAATGTCATTTTATTTCAGCCAGTCTGTAAAGCATTTTACAGTCCATTTAGTTTGGCGAATGGTGTTGGGTTCATTTCTGGCTGATTCCAGGTTATTTAGCTGTTCTTCTGTCACAGCTGCCGACTGAAAACTTGCTCAGTTGTAATGACAGTTTCAGAATTTAGTGTAGTCTCATCGTCAGAGTCTGACCAAATCCACTGTAGGTCAGATGTGATCTTAAAAGTATCCATTTTCTGTTTGTGCGCAAAGTAAGAAGTAAAAACGTTTAAATGGCTTTAGCGTCTCCTACAGCTGTCAAAGTCGTTGCTTAGCAACGGCGTCTCAGAGGAGTGATAGTGTTTGTGAAAAAAACGTGATGTTATGGCGAAATAACAGCGCGGTTAGAACACTTCTCGACCAATCAGCTTGCATGACCAGAACTAATTGTTGTATAATATAACAAGCTAGCTCATGATACACTTCCCTGATATGAACGACACAAAATTTTGACTCTGGTTTGAACTGAATTACCGTCAAGTTTCCAGGTAAAAGTGAATGTGTAAGTGGGGCTTAAACACTGCCATTGCTTATGAACAGAACTACTGGGACATGTTATTATATTATAAGCATGAACTCAACTATATGTAGTGCTGAACAAGTCTTTTAGTTAGACTGTCAATGGCCTAGTTGTCTTTCGTCAGTCACTCGGCTACAGTTTTTTTTTTTGTTTTGTTTTTTTTGTGTGAGGTGTGGAGCCAGCCCTGCATGCTACAATAAATGTGATGGGACTGACCGAGTTGCGAACAGCATCTGCCCATTCTGGTGCTACAGCATGGTCAGGATTCTCTTCCAGATACTCCTTCAGGTTTTGAAGTGGAGGTCCATATATTCCACCGTACTGAACAAAGGATCCACAAAACACAAAACTAAGCAAGCCAAGAGCCACAGTGCATCTTTATGACATGTGTTCAAGCATTCTTCGCCAACATTCAACAACATTATTCATATTACTTGGTATAAAAATATACCAGGAAATAATATAGATATAGTTCCTTGGTGGCCCATTTTATTGTATTATATTGGTGTATTATCTTGGAAAATGAACTAGCAAAACTTTTCAGACAAATATAACGAACAGCATAGAGTTTGACATCTCAAGGGTAAAAAGTATGGTAAGGAAGATAACCTTCTTTCCAGTTCTCATGTCTATGACTTTAATCCTCTCACTGCCGGTTAGGACTGCTTCCTTCTCTATCTTCTTCTTTCTCCTCTTCCTTTTGGTCCTGTTCACAAGCAGCTGCAATATAAAAAGTGGCCATAAATATGGATCACATGATGGGGCTTGCCAGGTACAGGTTGCCATGTTAGCATAAGCAAGAACAAATCTGAACAATTTAACTGACTGGTTCATGTACCAAACAGTTACTATGACTTGGACAACTGTGTTGCCTATGCCAGAAGACCAGGGCAGCCAAACATAATAGGGCTGCAACAACAAACTGATTAAATCTCAAACAGTTGAGAATAAGTAGTTGGTTGACTTGGCAACAGTAAAAGGAGAATGTTCTGTCAGTGGGTTAAACTAAATGGAACTGAAGTGTGCTTGAAAAATAAGTGCTACTCACCTCTAGCATGTCACCCTCCACCTCATAGTCTGGGTTTTCTTTCAGCCAGTTGGGCAGGTCCCGCTTACGAGGAGCATGAAGTACTCCGCCTGACTCCGTCAACTAAAAAACAGAACGCATGGAGTCTCCACCAGTACAAATGTGTATGTGACACTGAAATGTGAACACTTATGAGTACTGCTGGACTGTTGGTACCTCTTGGTCTTTGCGCCTTCGACGACCACTTGCTTCGCCTGCTGACCCATTAGGCAGTAAAGCCTGCTTGGAGAACGTCAGCTTCAGCCCTTCCTCCTAAAAAAGTGCAATTAGACGGAGAATTTTTGAGTAAGACTAGTGTTGTGGTACTCTTGAGACCATAAATTAATGGTCTCTGTCTCAACATCATTTGGAGTCTTGTCTCATATATCATTATTGCAAATCTAGTATAAATAATGATCATCAATGGACAATGTAACACAAAATCATTTCAGTTTTTTCCCCTTTCTTTTTTTACTTCTACGACCTGAAGGACTTCTCGGACTTGTCTCGATCTCAGCCACTCCAGGTCTTGGTCTTGACTATAACACTAGTACCTCCTTTCCAATCCTAGAAGTACCAGGTCTCATGTCCTGCAGCAGCTCCAGCTCTCTTTGAGCTTTTTTCTTACTTTCTGTACTTTTCTCCTTTTCTTTTTTAAGTATTTATCTTTTTTATTGTTTGCCAAGGGTTTCTGCACTATGGACACCAAACCTGGAGAGTTTGCCCTGGTCCTCACTCTACTTTTTTCTCTGTTTACGACTGTGTCTGGAGATCCCATACAGAGCCCTATCAATGCCTTATGTGCAATATTCCATGTGCTTATTATCTTATACTCACTTTCAAGAGTTTGACAGTGAACTCTGTATCCTGGCCATCTGTGGCCTCTCCAGTGAGGGCGCTGTTGCCTCTGCGTGATACACGAGAGTAGCCCAGGTCATCTCCAAGCCCATGTTCATCAGAGGCCAGGGTAAGCTGAGGATCTGAGGTGTACCGCCGCCCTGACTGCCAGTGTCCCGTCAGAACCAGAGTAGAGAGGTTATCTATTCGGTTGATCAACACACGATCCTGAGAAGGGAAAGTATGTTTGTAAGTAACATGATCTTCAGCAAGCCTGCTCAGCAACTCCAAAACCTTACGTTTTTCAATCATCAGTCTATTCATCTATAAGAAGGATAATTAGACTCAAGTACCTTAGGCCAATCCACTCGGTGGGAGTCACTGAGGGATTCTGGTGGAGCTCCATCTTGAGATGGTGTAAATGAGAGGGTGCTGTTCTCTTCATCCACATCACACATTTTTAAAGCTGCTGCAGAATGAACAGAGAAATCAAGCCAATATTAATAAGGCAATATTATGTTGCTCACAGGGGAACCCTTAAGGATCTTCTCAGCCTTCAAAGAGAGTACCAGAGAGAGGCTGTGAGTACTAGTAGTGGCCTGAGCAATGTGTTTCTGTGAGCTCTTTTCTGAGTAACTGTAAAATTTCTACATAGGAAAATGTATGTTAACATGTCCACTACAAAAGAACAACAAAAATCCGTATTAAAGGGCCTTCAAAAGTCCGTATTTAAGCTAGAACAGCCAAAAAAGGTTCATACACACCAGTGTTAACTTAATGCTAGCTTAACGCTGACGGACAGAGACCTCGTATCTCCAAAATGACAACTTTACAGGAGAAGGAAAAAAGATACTTTACTTTTAATGCAAGTCAATGGAACCAGAATTTTTTCCAAGTCATTTTGAGTCGTATCTTTTGATCCATTCATTATGAAATTTACACAGAATGTAAAGGGCAACAGGCATTTTTAAATTATGTCAAAAACAGAAAAACGACAAAAATGGAGATACGAGGTTTTCTTCCGACAGCAGCGAAAAGCAATTTGTACATTTAAGGCCCAAACTGAAGGCCTAGTTTAACAGTCATGGTTCACCACTGATACATACTTCTATTTTACTCCTTGTTTTTTTTCGTTCAAGCATTAGCTTCCCTATTCCTCAAGTCACTTCATCACCAATTGCAGCTAATTCAGCTACTATTCTGATGTAGACACAAATTCTTCTGTCTACACTGTGTCTTCAGTAGAAATACTACAACCTTAACTGAAGGACAAATTTGGCAGTTGATCTTTCTGAACATGTTTAACCATGTAGTCTAAAATTACGTTACCACATATGACTACTACATGCTAAGGAATGTGTTAGGGCAGTGATATAGCCTCAATAAAAAGAGACACCTGTTGTTCCTTTAAGCAGACCACAACCAAACCTGAGTCTCACATTCGGATTTAAATTCAATTTAAAGTTTAATACTTAAGATGTAAAAGTCATTCAGAGTGGTTTGATGTGAAATACTTAATTTGACATGAACTTAATGGGAAGCAGGGGTTATGATGATAAAACACAAATGTAGACATTTTATTTACTATTTTAAACAACCACATCTGAGTTTTCGTATGTAACGTTGATGATGGTAGGAAGTTTTCTTCAGGGACTATTTAGTCTTACAACTACCTGCACGTACTGCTGTACCATGAATGCGTGCATAAAAAAAAATAATGCCCCATTAAAAATATTGTTACTAATGTCTCACTCATCAGGCAGCGTGTTCATAATCATTTCATGTAATAACTTCTGTGATGTAGCTGTTTGAGGCAATAAATTCTTCAGACGTCTGGTTCCTATCACCACCACTTTGAACGATTCTGACTTGGTAAGTTTCCTCTAGAACAGAGCATTTCACACCAAACCACTCTGAATGACTCTGAATGACCATTTTAACGAAAGAAATAAAAAAAATAAATAAAAAAGCGTAATTCCTCTTAAAATTGGTTTCAACATTTAGCACATACACTACTGTTGTGCACAAAGCAAAACACTAAACTAGTTCAAATTGCAGCTGAAAACCGACATGTATCCGATATGCGGCACATGCAACTCTGAACAGCCCAATCAAAATTCACGCGACTTATATGTCAATCTAGCTCAACCTTAATCATAGTTTCGCGCTGCCGAGACCTCAAACATTTAGGCTGATATTTCTGTACAAAAACAAATTAGACGGCTCTTATCGCAGCCGCTTTTCGTTCTAAGAGATTTTGAAAGAAATGTCCGATCATGGTCGTAGGAGAACGAGGCTGCAGCATCAAAGAACAGTTAAAAGTCTGAAAGTGAAGTTTAAAGAATCAGAGGACACAAACCAAAAAAACGACTGTGGTCGAATAACGTGGCCTTTTTATGGCAAGCTCGAACACATTCTGGGTGATGAGCCCAGCTGTCAGTCAATGAAGCCTCATGATGGCTCCTGTGATGCTGGTGAAGATGAAACTGAAAGCTCCAGGAACAACTGGTGTTCGTTGGCAGTCGTGATTGTTTACCTCTGGATGAGCCACATGAAGCAACGTGGAGCAATGTTCTTTTGCGCACGCGGGTCAGTTTGGGAGGTGATCTGTTCAGACTAATGTTGCGTACAGGTCACATTTAGAAGCCAAACAAAAATTAGGCTTTAGGGTCATTCGGATTAGGGTCACTTTTACCTGCTGTGTGAACGCAGCTTTACACACCGGTTAGAAGTCAGGTACCTTACTGAATTACCTACTTAATTCTAAGTAGTTGTTAGTGTAAATGTGAGCAATGTACCTTAACAGTTAATTCATTAAAATCTAGCTGATTTTAAATGAAGTGCCTTAGTCAAGTAGCACTGCAGCGAGTTTTGTTCATCGAGTTTGTGCTGTCAGAAAAGCAATCTGTACAGCTGTAAGTAAAGACAGTAATAAGCCAACTACATACAAAAAACATCAATGGCTGTTCCAAACCTTAACCTAATTTAAATGAACTCTAACGCCTTTTATTTTTTAGATCTTTTGAATTTCCTTTAATGCAAAACTCAAAGATTTAAATTGATCATGCATTTCATTTTTGTTTTTTTAAATAAAAAACTGCAAACAATCCTGTCCCAAGTTTTCACATCACTACTGAAACACAAAGAGTTTTAGTTTGTAGCCTTATTTTAGCCACAACCCTGCATTTTAGAGCAGGATGTGAGACTGCAGCCTGTCCCTCATGGCCACATAGTGAGCAGTTAGATCTCATTGTTTTAGAGTAAATGTGTCCCAAAGTCTGAAAATCAGTGTGGAACATTAACAACTGTGACTGCTGAAACATTTTCTGCAATTAAGCAAACTTTTTTTGTGTTTTAACAAAAATATTACGATTTGATGTGAGTACAACTGGTCAAAGCTGTGTTTGGGAACCTATCACCATATTTTACGTGAAAGGTAACGGCACGTGGGCGCTTTAGACAGCCAACTGTGCAAATTAACATTTTGTTAAATGAGTTTGTGATTTGAGTTCTGGAAAACCAGGTCAGTTTTTCAGTTCTGTTTTTAATGATGTAAGTGTTAATCTGTAAAGTCAATGGCATAATAGCTCACCTTGCTCTCTCTCCGCGTCACTGTCCCCACTTTCATCTGAGCTGGCGGAACAATGAGAAGATGTCGACGAACCAGAATCAGAATCTGAATCAGAGTCTGATGGTTCTCCACCAGCTCCATCTCCTTCTTTCCTTTCTCTCCCTTTAGATCCCCTCTCTCTGCTCTTCTTCCAGTCCCAAGTAGACTGCCCTCTCCCCTTCCCATCGGAGAAGGAGATCGGAGCGGCTGGAGAGTCTGACTGACAAATGGACTCCATCCCCAGCAGCCGGGCCTCGTCTTCTAACCTCTCTTCTTTGATGCTGGTCTTCTCTGGTGGTTGGTTGTGCATCTGGATTTGGACAGCAGGTTCCTGACGGTTCTGCTGGTTCAGGAGATAGTCCTGACGGGCTTGGCTAAAGGAGAACTGTGGGTCAGAGAAGATCGACTGCTCCGTGCGGCTCACGCCGTGGTGGGCAGCGCCTAGGAGTAGCTCGTGGTCATGCTGGGGGATAGTCCACCAGGTGGGCAGGTCAGAGCTCGGCGGCGCAAGTTGAAGGCGCTCCTCCAGGGAGGGGTGGGGAAGGATGCGCTCCCGCAGCCGGCACAACAGGCTGATTCTGTAAAGTGTGCGTGAGGCTCGCTCCTCCGTAATGGGAGCTAAAGACTGGGACAAGTCTTGAGATTCTGCGAGGACAAAGAAGTAAAACAGAGGCAAGTTCCACAATTTTACATTAAGACACATTAACACAAAAGCCAAGACTGCAATTCCATTCAACCTGTTCGAACACATCATTAAAAAAAGGCTAAACAAGGAAAATTAAACAACATAACTACAAGACAATTATGTATAACCCATGTAAAGGCTTTCAAGGTTATAAAATACTTCCTTTTAAAGATGTAATTGAAACCATATTAAAAGTAGGGCTGTCAAAATAAATGCTATAAAGGGGGACTCAATCCATTTTTCATCACTTCTGCTTTATTAAATTGTCAAGATGTAAACAGTCATTCAGAGTGGTTTGCTGTGAAATGTTCTGTTCCATGGAAACCTATTGAGTCAGAATTGTTCAGTGTGGGTAACAGGAACCAGACGTTGGATTAGTTAATGCTTCTAGAAAACTACATTACAGAAAGATATTAAATGAAATCATTCTGAATACTTTTTATGATGCCTTGGGGTTTGTTTTACAGTCAGTTTGAGATTCTTTTCTTTAATCTGTTCATGGCAGAGAGGTACATGCAGGGTGTTGTGAGGCAAAACGGCACCAAAGATTTTTTTTTTTCCTTTGCTTTTCATATGTAAATCTGTAATGTTTTATTTCACAATCTCAGATTCCTATCGTCACCACTATTAAGAAATCGTCAATAAGAGTCAATAAGTTTCTCTACAATTTATCATTTCACATCAGCGCTCTGAATAACTTGGCTTAGATCTCAACCAATGAATTACACAAAAATACAGAACAACTGGTGAAATTCTGCTTTAATAACACATTAAACTATTAGTACAAGTATATTGTTTTCCGAAGTTTGACCCTTCCAACCATCAGCAGTACAGATGTAATCTAAGAACACAGCTCTCTCTTTCAAATACAGCTTTTAAATAACTTTTAAAGCATATGGTCAGAATATGCAACCACTGTTGCTCTCGCTTCATGTCAGTGATGAAAACTGGAAAATACTTAAATACAATCAGTATCTTATTTTGTCCACTCGGGTTGCTGTAACAATGCGCTGCTTTTTAAATGAAGGGAAAAAAAGAACCTTTGTTCGGGATTGAAATTTGATTAATTACATTAAATAAGATGATTAAGACTGTTTAATAGCCCTACAAAAAACACTGGAGACAAAAAAATAAAACGCATATAAATGTGTCTATCAGGCTCTATTTTTCCACACGACTTTGCACTCTAATCACTTCCAATTCATCAAGAACATAAAAGTAATCTAAAATGTAGTCATTTTACCAGATCTAAACTCTAAAAATAAATGAGTAAATAAATAAAAATCAATAACCGAAGTCACAGTACCTTCTCCACGGGCAGGTCGCAAGTGACACACCCTTCGGCACATGGCCACAAAGCAGCGGAAGTATCGGCTCAGACTCTCGTCAGTTTTCTTATCCAGCCGTGCAAATGTGCGGAAGCGGGTCCAGTCCAGTTTGGTCTCTTCCCCCTCTTGTGCTTCCCCCTCATTTTTTATTCGCTCAACACCAAAAGTGGACACCACTCGATAGAAGTCACACTCCTCTCTACGAGTCCACCTGAAACACAACAGACGGACACTATAAATATGAAGGAAACTAAAACTGTCTTATAAAGTAAGAATATGTAATAGTTTTTTTTTCCAGTCGGCATAAAATGCAATTGCCATCTGTTTTCTAATTTTTTCCTGTATGTAGTTTTCTTTAATAGTGGTGGAATACCTTTGATGGACGTGAATTTACATCAAGAAATTTCACTCGCTGATTGGATCATATTTAAAGAAAAAGATTTCTGTTTTTATTTAAATCATTCAAAGCATTCAAAAATATGTTTAAATGATTTCTACATCTAGTTTTTATATTCTGCAGACTCCACAACAACACGTACGTACTGCAGCTGAAATATTAAGCTAGCAAGGTACACCCAGGAATCGTTAGGGCTCTATTGGTTAAACTGGATTTTTTTTTACTGTAGCAATTTTTTGATATGAAGAAAGCTACAGCTGCGCTATTTTTTTCCTGTACAGCTGTCTTTGTGGAGAGGTGTGAATTGTTTTCATGGTATGGGGGTCCTCACCCCTCTCGTTTCATTCCTCATTGCTTGCTTGCAGCTTATTATATTTATATAATGATTATTTTATTTGATTATATTAATTAAAAGTCCAAGTCGCCTACTATGAGGCCTGTAGAAAGAAACTAACAGCACAGGAGAACATACCTCTGCTGTCGTTCCTGCCGTGCGATCTCCTTGAGCTTGGTGGCCTGCTCACAGCGCCGGCGTCGTCGATCCCCCTTTTCTGCAGCCTCGATCTTGAGCTGCTCTCGTCTATAGCTGCGCTGGTATGCTGTGATTAGCCGCCGTAGTCGTGCTGTGAGTGATGAGCTCGTCGGCCAGGTCGTTGAAGAGGACTGCACTTCAGCTGGGACTGGATTCATATGATCGTCCACGCAGATTTCATCCGCATTCCTCGAGTCAGCCTTGGGGGTGAGGTGAGTACATATAAGTGATGTGTGTTCGGAATACAAAGTCTTATTTTAAAATGTTAGCATTTTACAGGCTTTGAAAACTTGTTGGGTAATTGAAGCCTCATTCTCAAAATCATAATTAAGCTTACTTCAAGTATGGTCGTTTGTTCTTCTATACTGTTTATTACCCAAAATACTCCAGTTTTCAATTTGTAAAAAATCATTTTAATACATTTCTACATCTCTGTTTACGATGGATGCCCCAAAGAGGCAGAGAGACAGATGTGCTGTAATGTTATGTCAGATAAGGAAGTAAGTCTTTCCACGGCGTTTCTAGTGTAATTTGTAGACAGTCACAAAGCTCTCAGCGGTCCAGCCAGCCATTTAACGTCTTCTAGCAGCGGGCACTCGGAGGCTCGAGTGTATGGGACGCACATGAGACAAATGATTCAAGAAATTAAAAAAAGTTGGCTTCTTATTCCAATTTCCCACCTTAAATGGTGCAGCAGTAACTTTCAAGCGCCTGTACAAGTGCCAGAATTCAACTGCTGCTCCATTTAAGTTGGAACGGAAAATTCCAACCAAAAACCTGCCAAATAAAAAGCCAATTTCAGCTTTGCAGAAACTCAAGATTCAGAACTCAACATTTAGCTTAACTTTGTAGGAAAGCAATACTGACAGACTAAATATTGTTCAGGTTTTGTTTTTTGTTATACTGCACAATAAAAATATTTCAGATTTACTTGTTTTTACTGATTATTAAAAATATTTCTTATTAAAACTAAAAAGGGTCATCCCAGAATAATTAGGCATGGTTAATCCACAAAAAATAGGTTTCTTTAATCATCAAGGGTTTTAGTTAAAAATATATAGACTGTTATATACTTAAAATTGATGGAAATTTTAATACCATGACAAACATTTGGCTATTACAGATAAAACAAAGTGGTAAGTGGAAAAAAGAAATCCAAATACCTGAAAAAGAAACCAACGTCACCACTCACAGAGTTAGGAGTCGTGCTGCCAAAACATGGACTGGCTATCTATGTAAATGTAACCATGGACCTCACCTCTCCAAAAATGTCTTTACTGTGCCTCATCACAGGCTTGAACTCTGGATCCTCTGAATATTTGTCAAAGTCAGCTCTGAAAAATAAAACTCATGGTTAGTTCAGAGATCAGAGTCCACTTAGAGAAGGGGTAAACAGACAAACAATCAAAAGAAAATCAGCAGATAAAGCCGAAGTGCAGCTTACCCATCTCCCAGATCTGGATCTGCTGAGTGCTGTTCAGCCTTGATGTCCTGATCATCAGGGCGACCACATCGCTCCACGAAACACAAACAGGGATCAGCACGCATGGTAGTGTACATCTCATACCCTATGGGAGATGCAGGACAGATTACAGGTGAACTTTTAATAGATTTGTTTGTAACATCAGCTATGCTGGGCATTCCACCTCTGGGGTTGCTGTTTCAAAGTATTCCACAAGATACTAAGGCTTACACGCAAGACTGCAACAACTCATCGTCAGTATCAATAATATCAATAATTATTGGCAAGGAATCAAGTTATTGATTAGCTTGATATAGGATTTCAGCTGCTCAACAGTTCACGGGTCTCCTTTGCCGTATTTTTCCATTTCATAAAGAATGCAATGGGTGACAGGTCTGGACTGCGGGCTGGTCAGTTTAGCACTCAAACTCTTTCACTACAGAGCCATGCTGTTGTAATATGTACAGAATGTGGTTTGACACTGTCTTGCTGGAATAAGCAGGGCCTTCTCTGAAAAAGACGTTGTCTGGATGGCAGCATGTGTTGATCTAAAACCTGTATATATTGTTCAGCATTAACAATGCCTTCACAGATGTGCAAATCAGCCACACCATGTGCACTAATGCACCCCTATACCGTCATGGATGCTGGCTTTTGAACTGTGCACTGATAACAAGCTGAGTGGTCTTTAGCCCAGAGGACGCAGCATCCATGATTTTCAAAAATAATTTCAAATTTTGATTCGTCGGACCACAGCACAGCTTAAATGGGGCGGCGTTTCTGGATTCTGTTTATATATGGTTTCTTTTTTGCATGGTACAGTTTTAACTTGCATTTGTGGATGCAGCGACGAACTGTGTTCACAGACAGTAGTTTTCAGAAGTGTTTGAGCCCATGCAGTGATTTTCTCTACAGAATCTTGTCCGTTTTTAAATGCAGTGCCGCCTGAATGCCACCCGAAGATCAAGGCCAGCCAATATTGGTTTTCAGCCTTGTCCTTTGCATACAGAGATTTCTCTCGATTCTCTGAGTCTAAAAATGTAACGTTATTCTTGAATTGTTGCACTATTTGGCCGCACAGTCTTTCACAGAGTGGTGAACCCCTCCTCATCTTTACTTCTGAAAGACTCAGTTTCTCTGGGATCCTCTTTTTATACCCAATCATGTTACTGACCTGTTGCCAATTAACCACCAGGTTAACTTTCCCAGTCTTTTGTTGCCCGTCCCAACTTTTTTGAAACATCAAATTCAAAATGGGTATATATGTTTCAAAAAACAATAAAACTGCTTAAGTTCAACATCTGATATGTTGTCTTTTTTACTATTTTCAATTAAACACTGGGTTTAAATTATTGGCACCTCATTGTATTTTATTTGCATTTACATTTTGCACAGTGTCCCAACTTTTTTGGAAACAGGGTTATATAAAATAAAGTAAGTAAAGTAAAAAACAAAACACACTCACCATGTTTGAAGACCCCAATAAGCAAGCAACGGTCAGCCTCTGCATCCCACCATGCTGATGGAACGTCCTGTTGTTCCATTTCAGGTAACCAAATATCAATATCCCTGCATAACACGACAAGTTTTATAGATGTACATCTGCATGTAAAATCTGTGATGAAATGTAAACATCTTCAATAAATGTACTGCTGAGTCAGACCTGCTATCAGCTCCTCTCAGTACAGAATCCGCATGATCACCAATAACCTCCTGCTTCAGGTAATACAGCATACGTACTCGTAGCAATACTCTGAGAAAAGAGAAAGACAGAAGGGTGTTTACAAACAAAAAAACCTGAAAATGAACCAAATGTCTTGCAGAAGTATTCACTTTAATTTCTGGCTTTTAGAGTGTGGAAATACTTGCATACCTGTTACTTACAATATGTGAACAATACACATTAAGTCATCATTATTTTGTAAAAGTAAATGTGGCAGATTTGGCCAGATGTCCAATATTGATTTTAGTCCCTGGGCAACTAAACATTGCTTTTCACATATGCAACAACACAAATCACATTATAATTATAATTATACTATAATAACATAATTATAACATTAAATAACGCTTAGTTACAAAAGGCATTTAACTAGACCTATAAAACACAAAACAAACAACCAGTTTACAAAGACACAAAACATATGATATAATCAATCACTCGGTTGGCAGATTTGAGCACCTAATGGCCATTTTGTAAACTGTTAAACAGCCCAATAGTTCTCAGGCTTCTTAAGTCAGAGAGAAGAACATTACAGTAATGTGATGCACAAAACGGAAAATGCAGCTTGACCAAAAACACTTGTTGTTTTGATGATGTTGAATCAAGGACATTTTCACACACCTGAAAGTCCGGACCAACGTCCAGACCAAGGTTCATGTTTTGGTTAAATTGTATACATTTGATCCGGTTAGTTTTCTCTCCATACTGCAATTTAGTGAGCGCACTAAAGAACTTTGCATGGCACACCTACGTCCTGTAATCACCACCTACGTGGGCTACGACTCCCTAGACCGGACATTGCTTGATTGGTAGAGCAGCGTGTCTTACGTTGACTAGGCAGGTAGCATTTTCCGTTTGAATGGAGAAAAATGAATATCCTCTGTCTGTCATCCTCTCAGAAAATACGGCATAAGTTTCTGCATTTTTATGCTTATTTTCAAGTTGACTTGTGACTTTTTCAATAGACCAATTCACAATTAAATATATCGCTGCTGTCAGAAGAAAACCTTGTATCTCCATTTTTGTCGTTTTTTTCAGTTTTTGACATAATTTGAAAATGCCTGTGGCTCTGTACACTGTATTTCACATTTCATGATGAATGGACCAATTGAAACAGCCCAAAATGACTTGGAAAAAAGTCTGGTTCCACTGACTTACATTAAAGGTAAAGTAGGTTTTTTCCTTTTCCTGTAAAGGTACCATTTTGGAGATACAAGGTTTTCTTCTGACAGCAGCGATATTTTATCTCCTCCTCTCTCTGTGTGCTACTCTGGCTCGTTTTTTACTTCCTTCTAGTTCTTTTTCCTCTTCTGTTACTTAATGGATGATGATAGCCTGACTCAACTTCCTGTTATTGGACTGAAAGTCTGAACCATCAAAAAAAAGTTTTCACACTGCAAACAAACCAAACCATGGTTCAGTTTGATCTTGACCGAGACCACCTCTTTGGGTGTGACCAAATTTTGGTCTTTTAGTCCGGACCGTGAGGCACCTTACACACCTCTTATCTTGGTTCGGACCAAACTGAAAAGTAAGAAAATCCAGAATAAACACGGTAGGTGTGAAATCACTTTCTAGCCTTGTTTACAGAATGTCTAAATCAGGTAAGTAGTGTTACATGTTTGTGTCCAGCTTGTCTGACAGTGAGTAATGTAAGCAAAAACCATAGTTTTCATTAACAATTTTGCTGCCTGTGTTGTCTACCAAATCTAAAATCATAAGCAAATATAAACAAATTACTAGGAGTATTAGAAGCTTATTTCCATTCTTTACTTGATATGTTAACAATGTAACTGACTGATTTTTTCTGCATAATTAAATGGTCGAGATGTAAAACAAAGTCATTTTGATAGAGATTTCAATGCTGAACGAAATGCTTCACTATTAAATTTCATTTTAAAGTTCACTGGTCTCTTTGGACAATAAACAAAATGCCAATAGCCATCAATGTAGACATCAAAACTCCTGGTTCCTAACACCGGTAAGTGTCACTATAACGCACAATTTCACATTAAACCACGCTGACCGCCTCTACTCAACAACAGAAGCTAATGTTAGTAAACAGTGACAGATATTAATCAAGGTAGACATACTTGTTACACTGGTGTTTGAGGTGTTTTCGGTAACTGTCGTCCAGCAGAAGCGTGTCGGGGTTGTACTTGCGGATCCACTCGACCTTCTGTATGTCGAAAGAGCTCTGAGCCTTCACTCTTTTTCCTTTCCTCCCACGAGGCACAGGAATGGACAGACCTATAAAAAGAATGCAATAGTCATTTAAAAATGTTCATATTAAGGCAACTCCATACACAACCCACACACAGCTTTACTGGCAGCACCGTTCAGACTTCAAAGTTCAGTTGAGCTGCTGACAACCTGTTTATGCTGAATTCCTAAAATTGTTTATTTTTCTTCACGGGAACAGGAGGCAAGACCTTAAGCATGTACAAATCACATGTGCTTGGTCACAACACTCACTAGTGCTCCAGACTATCCATAGACGCAGTGTCAGCGTCTCCCACTGTTTGCTGGGAGTTTAACGGACTGAGTTTGTCAACAACAGCAGCTAAGCAGCTGTAGATAAGCCCAAGATCACCATGTGTATGGCCAAGCACCAGCTGGAGTGGTGTAAAGCATGCTGCCTCTGGTCTCTGGAGCAGTGGGAACGGGGATGAGTCACCCATCACTATCTGGCAATCTGATGAGCAAATTTGCACTATGTAGGTGTGGTCACGAACCGACAGCAGTAAAAAGGATGTTGTGCTATTTGAACAGTTTCAGTGATGAGTGATTCAGGAGAGCAGAGAAGATAGCATCTTTAGAACCATCTTAAAAACAGGTCAGCTATTCTTGAATGTAGAAGTCACCATATTTCCACATAATCAACCACTCAAATACTGCTTTATACTGCAACATGTGCTAAACGTAAGCACAGACTTAAAGCAAGTGCAGTTTGAGTAAGTTTCCTCATACTCTGGACAACTAGCTAACTAGAATGTTCTTTTTTATTCCATGAAAATAAATGCAAATGAAAGCATGCCAGCTAGCCATCTAGATCAGCAGAAATCGCATTTGGACTGCACCTGGTGTTATAAAAAGATATGATCTGAAATTAGAACTCAAAAACAGATAGTAACTGAGTCTCACAAGCACTTCTGTGTGTCCAGAGTCCTGTAGTTTTGTCTCACAAAATGTAGTGCCAACAGAAAAATTTGGTAGAGGAGGGATAATGGGATGGTGCTGTTTATCAGCATTTGGTCTAGATCCCTTAGTTCCAGTGAAGGGTAATATTAATGCTACAGCATACATAGCTGAAAAAAACAACCCGCTTTGAATTTGTTTAATGTCATGAAAAGTTTTAACTTAAAAGGAGTGTTTTACTCCTTTTTGAATAAGGTACAATACAGGGTAGCCAGTCAGGAGGGATGTCATTTACACATATACAGTCTAAAAGGCAAGGAAGAGGTTGGAAAATTATAATGTTAAAAATCAGGGGGGAAAAAATGCAATTTTTTAAAAAATCATGGTTCATGCTGTAACAACACAGTGTGAAAAAGTGCAAGAAGACAGGCGTGAATACATTTTATATGTACTGTTATAAACTACCTGCATTTTAAAGCCATCACAGAGTTCAGAATGAGACTGACAGCACAGTCTGGAACTTGCAGTAAAGGGTTGGATCTAGGAGTGAGGGAAAGCGTACCAGAGTGGTTTAGGAGAGTGTTTGGTTCTTGGCCATTCTCTGGTGGAGTGATGAGCTCCCAGATGAAGCTTTTGATGTTCTCATCTCCACGGTAATGCAGCAGACAGAAGACCAAGATGACCCTGCAGATGGTCTCCACATCTTTCTCCCCTAGACGGCGCTTACACCGAGCATGACAGAGGATGTCCCGCCAGCGGCCCCAACTGGAGAAACATGGCAAAAACATTAAATACTACAGGTAACAGCCTCTGAACAGAAATGCTGACTAAACTGAAAAACATCTGCCACAGACAACAGATGTGTTCCAGTTTTCATTTTAGCATTAAAAATATGAAATACCCATAAATCAGCAGGTGTTTCTCCACTCTGAAACAGTCCGTGCGACCATAGCCTCCCCCGGCCTGACGCTCGGAGCGGCGGGAAGCTCGGGCTTGTCGAGAATTATGGGGTGGATACTCTTCATCGCTGTCCAGGTCCGAAATATCACCACCTTCCCCACGCAGAGAGGAAAACTGCCGTGTCTGCTTCCGCACTCGGGGCGTGTCTATCACAAGAGTATTCTAACAGAGCAAGCAGAAGAAAAAGCAGACGAACAAAACACAAATAAGAGAAAGAGACATCTGATAAGTCAGAATAGACAAAGTAGTGCCACATAAAAAATACTCTCAGACATGATAATGATTTGTATTCAACATTTTACATATAACGCCACACTAAATCAAATTAAACAGAAATAATTATGCTCTCTTTTTATTCAAACATGAAGTTGGGAAAAGTTAGTGTTTTTTTAAGTATGGACAATATCCACAATATTAAAGATCTTGTTGGTGTCTTTTACATAGATTTTTTTAATTTAATTTTTATTATTAAAAAAAATAATAATAAAAAAAAATTAAAAACTGTCCTACAAAAAATGCTCAGACGTTTTTATTTCACCATCCTAACATCCAAAGTTTTATTCCATAGGCGGAGCCTTAATTTAGTCACACCCCTGCATTTTAGAGCAGGAAGTGAGGCTGCATGCCTGTACTCCATGGTCACATGGTGAGCAGTTAGATCCTATCATTCTAAACTAACTGTCACAACTGAAACACATTTTCTGCTTTCATGAACTTTGCTTGTTATAATAAAAACTACTGTGATTTTTTGTGTGTACAGCTGGTCAAAGCTGTGTTTGGTATTTATGTACTGGCTAGTGTTTTTGAGTTATGTTACAAATTAGCTAAGAAACTGTAAACAAAAAGTTTAAGTCTTTAAAATTTCAGTAGTGTTATGATTGTTTTGGCAGTGACAAAATGTCATGTTCAACTGTTTACACTAAAATCTTTTTGCTTTGAGTGACCCTATACCTCAATTCTGTTTACTTTATTAAATCACCTGAACAAGATATAGGGTCACTCAAAGCAATAAGATGTAGTCTAAAGTCATAACTGTCTGAAATGTCTTTTCAAATCAGAAGCAGTTTGGTAGAATAATACAACAAATCTCGTACTTTCACTGTACCATGCTGCATGTTATTTCATGTTGTTTAAACAGGAAAATTATTTTTTTTGGCTTGAATTTAAAATGCCAGTTTGAGTAATTTAAATGAATGAAATTGAACTTGAATTAATTAAAAAATGTATATCAATTTTAATAAATTTAAATCACCTCCCTCTTCATTAGACTTCTGATCACTTTTAACTGTCAGCACTGCCACTGAAAGTAAAGTAATAACTCAGCTGCTTATTATTGTAGTAGGTTAGAAGAGATGCCTGGAGCAAGTTGTCACTTGCCATCATGTTAACTACCGTTAAATTGTCCCCATTTTAACACCAGACCACATATTCCTTTCACTTGGGGGGTGGAGCAGCCCCAGAGCCCCAAAAATATCAAAGGCAAGGGGCCACTCGGTCCACAAGCTCTGCAGTTTTAATGGCCAAAATGTTGTTGCCGTGGGCACCAGGCCATAGACCACACCCCTGCCGTTACAAACCAAACTGTAAGCAAAAGCAAGTGCCTACCTTCCTGTTGATGCTGTCCAAGTCTATGTCTGCTTTCTTGGCCCACTTTTTGCCAAAACTCTGGGTCGTCTAGTGCAATATCAGTCCTGTTTTCAGAGGCCACAAAACTGGCCTTGGAGAAAGTGGATCCCTTTCCCTCACTTTCAATGGTGATGGTGGTGGCTCTCCTCTGGAGGATCTGGTCAATGTCCTCCTCACAGAACCGACTGCCTTCGTCATTCTCGTCCATGATAGCAGCATAAGCTCCTTTCCGCAGCAAATCTTCAATTTCCTTCTTGGAGAATTGCTGAATCTGGACAAAAGTTTCATTTTTTAAAGCTATTATTATCCACATGCTTTCATTAAAAAAAAATAACATGAAATATTCATTATATATAGAACATCTGCCACATCGCCTGCAGTCTTACCCCGTTGACATTACTGTCCTTACTGCCACTCATGCTCTGAAGCACAGCTCTATCCAGTCCCAGTTTCAGACTGGCTTTGTCCAACATCTCCCGTTCATAGGAGTTTCTGGTGATTAGACGATACACCTTCACTGCCTTGGACTGGCCAATACGATGACAACGTGCTTGAGCCTGGAAGTGGAACAACCATCAGAGGTGAATAAAAGGCAATGCTCAGAGGGTCAGCCAAGTGCTTTATTTATCAAATAAGAGAAGAAACCCACTTGAAGGTCGTTCTGCGGGTTCCAATCGGAGTCAAATATGACACAGGTGTCAGCAGCGGTCAGATTTATGCCCAGCCCTCCGGCACGAGTACACAGCAAGAAGACGAAGCGGTCAGAGTCTGACTTACTGAAGCGATCAATGGCTGCCTGTCGAAGGTTTCCCCTTACACGACCATCAATGCGCTCATAGAGATATCTAGGGAACAAAAAAAAAAATCAATTGAAATTAATTTCTTTGAATGACATCCTCCAATATTATCAAACCTAACTTCTGCTATTTAATCACATTTAAGATTAAAGGCAGTCTAATGTAAAGTTTTTCAGTCAGTCAGGCTTTAGTATTTCATAATTACGTTGCGTCATTTCTATGCTGGGTCTGAACAGCCAAATAAACATAGTCCACCCTCTTATATTTTAAAGGGGCTCACGGATTGGTGGTGTGGGATCTCACCGACAGGAAAGAGGGGAAAAATGGCTCTGTAGGCTGATCACTAAGCTAACGTTAAGTTAGCCGATCAGGCTACAGATCCAAACACCACAAAACAGGTTTAATTTCACCTTTCTGTCCCCTCAGCAGCAGCTGCTCAACTTCACCCCCTCAGATTTGAATCATTATCATCTAAACTTGTGTTTATGCTCAAGTTAGCCAGAATCAAACCTGTTCTTAGTTGTTAAACAGTTTAACGTTCATTGAATGATTTGAAAATCATGCACTGCATTCACATACTTGGTAAGTTTTTGATTATTTTCGATTTTAAAATAAAGCAGGATGAGCAAAACCTGAGGTAAACGTATCTAGCCAGAAAACTAATTACCTTTTTTTTGGATTTTTACCAAAATTATCTCCCCGCCCGCTAGTTAGGACTCCCCCAATCACACAATACTACCTACGCTAGGAGGGTGAAGGCTAACACAGGCTTCCTCCGAGACCTGTGAAACCAGCCACCGCTTCTTTTTGCTCACGCAATGTGATTGGACAGCTGAACGCGCTCGGAGGAAAGCGCCAACCGCCAGATCTGTTACGTCAGCTGACAGACGGCTGCGCTGACTAGCATCGCGTTGAGTGATGGGGGGAGAAGGAGGGGCCATCCTACCCACCCAGAGAGAGCGAGGCCAACTGTGCTCTCTTGGACTCCCGGCTACAGACGCCTGTAGCATCACCAAGGATCGACCTCCTGATCGTAGGGCCAACACTTAGACGGCTGCGCCACTCGGGAGCCTGCTTATTAGCTTTTGACAGATAGCTGATAGTCTGGTAGCTAAGTTAGCTAACATTAGCAACACCAAGAAGAAAGGACTATGTAGCTAGCTTCTGCTACACATTTCTAGCTTGAGTGCATGAGGTTGTGAACTGAGCACGCTAAAAAAAATAAAGGCTAGCTAGAAAACGTCAGTGAAGGACCTTTTTAAAAGTGTTAGTTATGTAGCCAAGTTCTTTAAGTCATGAAGCACAGGTAATGCCATTTTGTTGCAAGTCCTCATGTAACCGTAAGACTAAACATTAACAAATCAGTGAAAAAAACTTCACAAGAGACTGTTTCAGTTACGATCTTGGTCTGAGTGTGCCTGTTCACTGTATATTTAAAATCTACCTCTTGTGGATGAGGTAGTCCTCCAGGATGTCGAGGCAGCGCACCATCTGAGAGAAGATAAGTACTTTGTGTCCACCAGCCTTGAGACGAGGCAGCAATTTGTCAAGCAAAACCAGTTTCCCGGCTGAGCGCACCAAGGCCTGAAGGTGGAAGTCTGGAGCCATGGGGTCATACCTCTCCCTCAGCTCAGCTACTATCTTCTCTTCTGCACCTATACAAAGGATTTAAACATATGATAGGGAGGGCATAATAATAAATGGCCGCGCTGGTGACAAATGTCGCATTTTAAAATAAGCAAAAAGCTAATTTCTTAAAGGGGTGATTAGACATATGTTTCATATCTTCACAACTTCAGCTATTTTTCAGGTCAAGAGTTTGATCGGAAGCAACTGATGGTGCAAAATGATCTGGCAGTGTAAGAGGAGAAGCGAGTCACTCTTCAGCCTTTGACTTTTACGAGTCAAATGCTCATGAGTCCAGTTGTGTGAGACGGTCAGTAATGTACTCAATGAGTGATCTAGGCAACAGCCAATGAGAGAGCGCTGAGGGGGGGGGTGGTTAAGAGATGTGTATGCATGCCTCGCGTGGACAGTGGAGACAGAGGCTGCTTGATGAACAGAGGCAAATAAGAGCCTTTATTAGATTTACAGTGTATGGCAATTTCAAGTCAGCTGCCTGATTGCAGTGAAATATTCTCCATCTCTCACTGTGGTATCAGCATGTCTCACCCCCATATTCATCCCCAGTTTATGTTTTTGTTATGTATAAAAGCACGGACATGACCGGCCCGGGTTACCTTTGTTTGTGTCACATGATAACAGTGGAGCTCTGGGAGTTACTAACATGACATGAAATACACTTCCTGATGCCAGAGACACTGTTTAACGATAGTTTTGAGAAGTTTTTGCCCTAAAATGTATAATTTTTTAAAAACCATTCATAGTGGAGAGGTGTATGCAGGGTGTAGCCCCCAAAAGAAAACTCTCTCTGCTTCACCAGTATTTTACCACGTCACGTCAACTTTACAACAATAGCACTACATATGCAATCAACGTTACATTTCCAATGGCTATATTTGCCTTGAAGATGCCACAAACTTTGGTTACTATCACCACCACTGTAAGGAAATCAGAGCTGGTAAGATTCTCTACAATGCACCATTTCACTTCAAACCACTCTGAATGACTTTGTTTACATCTAAACGATTAAATTATGCAGTAATTTTGAAAAATTGGTGGTATCTCCCTTTTAAGTAAAGGCTTGTTTAGGTCAGCCCCTTATAAACTGTTTTGCCTAGGAATTACTGGAATAGTGGGTGTGTGTTACAGACCTGTTATCAGATAAGGGTGGTTACAGCATTTGCGGAGCTCCATCATGGTGTTTAGGAGATTGGGGACGTTGCTGTTTGAATTAGCTCCCAGGCTCAAAAAGCTGAAGTTGCGCTCCAAAATGGCACGGTAGTACTTCTTCTGCACATCAGTTAACTCCACCTTCAGGAAACATGAAATCAGCATTTGTATGCTCTTTTTGATTCAACGTATTCAAGTTACCGGAAACAGTAATGTATTCAGAATACTAAATTAATTCAATTTGAACTCAATTTGTCCACCACTGTAGTTATAGTTCACCATGTTACAGCAGCGCTTGTTCATTAAAGTCGCATAAAAACAAGATCTGACTGCCCTGAGAGACGTCTGAACCTCTTGCATACCTCAATGATGGTCTCCTGCTTTGGTGCCAGGTTCTTCTCCACATCCTCCTTCAACCTCCGCAGCATCATGGGTTTCAGAATAGCCTGCAGTTTCTGGACCTGAAAAATCAACAGGAAGCGTGCGGATTAGAATCTGCTAAGGCTCCATCGGATGTACACTTATGGTCAAAAGTATGTGGACACCTGGCCCTCACAACTATAAGCTTGCTGGAAAACCCTCTGCAAAAACATATGTATTAATATAGAGTTTATTCCCTCTTTGAGGCTTTAAAACCATCCACTCTTCTGGGGAAGGTTGTCCACAAGAGCACGTCTATCAGGATTTGTGGAGCATGTCTACCATTCAGTCAAAAGAGCATTTGTGAGGTCAGGCACTGATGTTGGACAAAAAGGCCCAGTCGACATTCCAATCCATCCGTCTTTATGGACCTCGCTTTGTGTACTGGGATTCAGTCATGCTTTAGTCAGTCTGGAACTCTGTATTAAGTGATACAAGTCGGGGTCAACTGCTTTGTGGCTTAGCTGTTGTTCCTAGACGACTGCATTCCATAACGATAGTACTTACAGTTGACCAGGGCAGATCTATCAGGGCAGCAGTTTCACAGATGACAGTGCCATGTTGAAGTCAATGTACTCTTCAGTACGACCCATTCTACTGCCAGTGTTTGTCTATGGAAACTGCATGTCTATGTGAGTAAGGCTAAAACACCTGAACTCAAAAATTAGGAGGGGTGCATCTATACTTTTGCCCATATAGTGTGTGTACCTGTCCATGAACACAAGGGAACGTACCTGCTCCTCTGTTTTGAGATCTCCAAATTCACGCAGAAACTCAGTTTCTGAGGGAAACTGTGCAGGTTCCAGGAAGTGCAGCAAACTGAACAACTCCTCCACTGTGTTCTGAAGAGGAGTACCTGTCAAAAGCACTTTATGCTCCTGGAGAGGGGTTGTTGAGAAAGGAAGGAAGAGGAAGATGCAAAAGATTAAAATAAGACAATTTTTTGCTGTTTGCATGAGCAGGATACAGACACAGTTCATTCTGATCTGTTTGCACAAGTGCCTTTTTATGATTTAAGCATTTATTTTGGACTTCATTTGCGATATGAAGACAACTGATTTATTTATTTATTTATTTATTTTGAGAGTTTTGTGTTGCCCTTTTTAATAACAGCAGAAATCCTGTGTGAGGTGTGAAGACTCCTACAACTGAAACAAGACTTACAAGTCTTCCCAGAAGCACTTATCAGTGCATGGTTTCTGAAACCTGTCTAATTTTGTAAATGTGACTACATGCTCACCAAGTTCAGCATCTTCAGGCTGTCAAGAAGTTTGCAGTTTCTGTTCTTCAAGCGGTGAGCCTCATCGATGATCACACAGCGCCAATAGATCTCTCTCAGCTCTGGGCAGTCAGACAGAACCATTTCAAAGGTGGTGATCAGAGCGTCAAACTTGTACGCTCCTGGAATCAGGTGCCCCTGGAGAGTGGGAAAATATCTCAAGTTAATGTGAAGCCATAATTAAGCAGCACTTCATGAATGCATTTCTGCATTGTTACTGACTGGAACGTACGGCCTTGGTCAAAGTGTGTATTTCAGTGGTACAAGAAACCTTACAAATGTTACATTATTATTATCATTATTTTAATGATTACAGTAAAAGAAATCTGCATTTTTGACAAACAAAAAAAAACTCTAAACACTGAGAAGAAAAGGGCAGGCTTGAAAACCTGAGAGACACAGACAACGGCCAAATCATTATGGCCAGAAAACTGGGTCAAACAGCAAGGCTTGTGGGGTGCTCCCGGTCAACAGTGGTGAGTAACAACCGACAGCGGACCAAGGAGGGTCAAACCACAAACCAGAGACAGGGAGATAGGCGTCCAAGGCTCGGTGATGCGTGAACGCAATGAAAGCTAAGGTCTGAACCAACAGAGGGGCTACTGTGGCACCACCGAAAGCGCCTACAACGGGTATGCGAACATTAGACCCCTTCATGGCAATAGGATTCCCAACGGCAGTGGCCTCTTTCAGCAGGAAAATGTGCCCTATTACACTGCACACATTGTTCAGGAATGGTTTGAGGAGCATGATGGAAAGTTCAAAGTGTTGCCCTGGCCATGGGACATGCTGGAATAACAAGTCTGATATGCAGCAGCTCTACCTTGAAGGCCCTACAGGAGCTAAAGGATCTGCTGCTAACATCTTGGCACCAGATACCATAGACCACCTTGCAGATCTTGTAGAGTCCGTGCCTTGGCAGGTCGGAGCTGTTTTGGCGGCACACGGAAGAACGGCAGCATACTAGGTATACTGGGCAAGTTCTAAATTCTGAATACGACAATAATACGTTTAGAGGTCAGTGCTGGGAACTGTTTATTTGAGCTTGAGCAGTTTTTGTCAGCTGCGAAGTACTAAGTGTTGACAGCTAGGAAGCAAGATAATCAGCCAAATTCCCCACCTTAGTCTTGCACTATAATACTTGCATAAAGACAATTAAATTGTTATTTATATGGCAATTAATTGTCAGCTAAACTTTCACGATTGTGACAGGTCTAGCAATAAACCTGAATAGAATTTACATTTAAATGTAGCAAGACCCAACTTGAACAACAGCACATATGCATGAGGACACACACACACACACACACACACACACACACCTTATCATCTTTGCAATACATCTCATACTGCTGGATCATTTGTCTGCTGGCCAGACTGCCATGATAGACGATAGCATTCATTTCGGTCCACGTGGAGAATTCTCGCTCCCAGTTAGTGATGGTCGAGAGAGGGGCGATTATCAGAAAGGGTCCCTGAACCCCAGCAGCGAACACTTCAGACAGCAAAGCAATTGACTGGATAGTTTTACCCAGACCCATCTCATCTGCCAGAATACAGTTCTGCCTAAAAAGGAAAGAGAACAAGACGTAAAAACAGGGAAAAGACTGGTATAACCAATCTTTGCATTTGTCCTTAATAATAACACACTTGTACAACATTCCCACACACTGCCAGAAAAAAAGATACTGTGCAGGTTCATTTTTGCGAACGATGTAATGTACCCTCAATGACACAACAATGGTTTTGAGGTCCAATTGTGTATGTTTTTACCAGGGGAAAGGTTTGTATGTGCACCTTTCCATAATTTAATGTTTTAAGACTGAACAATAAATTGAACAGCATGGTGTGCGGACAGGCTGTACGCAGTCACTGCAATTTAAAAACTGCTATGGAATATGACGAAATTATGTTCCCTGACTGAAGATAATGAAGCAGTACCCTTGAGAGCAGCACCCCAGTGACTGTTCTGTCACTTTTTTGAGAGTATAGGCATTTATAACATTATGAAACAATCCTGCTGTATGAAAGCTGCCCAAACATACATTACATTTATTTAGGACTTCAACAAGCATTATGGCTGATATCACAGTTGGCGTTTGGAAAAGCCAGACTGATCTGAATTGCCGAGTGTATTTTGTGAAGACTTCCATACCAAAATGCTGTACATTCATTTGTAACAATTTTGGATGTGCGTTTTGGGGGGAGGGGCTTAAAAAGATATGACAGATGATGTTAATGGAAAGTGTATTTTCATTTCTCTAATTATAATTAATCATAACTGAGCACCAATATATCTTGTATGTGTAAAGCCCACTCCCAACGCCACATGTAATGAATAAAAGAAAATTCAGTAAAACTTTGATAGGATACTGTTCATAAGGCTGCATGACACCTACATAAGCCTGTCATGACAACTGACATAATTCTACATAAATGTTTTTAAATGCTTATTCCAATAGGTGTTGTCTGTCATGAAGGCTACTTTAGCTAACTAAGCTTATGTAGGTGTCGTGTAGCCTTATAAACACTACCCAACATTGAAGCGTCACCAAAAATTCTTTAAAATTGGTTTTGGAATTTTTGGAACGAAACCTTTTACGTACACTCATACACTTAAACTGCCATTGCTTTTAAACCTAATTTCCACCCAATTTTGTCATGTCCAGCCCCATCGGTTAGTTAGGTCCAACCTCATCACGTAACGTTACCAAGCTGAGAGGCTGAAGGCTAGTGTGGGCTCCTTCAAAGTCACCTGAAGCACCACTGCCACTAACGCATCGTCATTGGACAGTTCAGAGCACTTGGGCAACACACAAACAACAGAAGCAAAATTTGGACTCCAAATATGTCTTGGTGGATCAACTACATCTGGGGTCAGTTAAAAAATTCTGATTTATATTTGATTGTTTGACGCAACTGTTCCTTCAAGTCAAAGGCTTTTGGAAGACAGGGGCTCAAGCATGGCTCAGGAGAGCTTACCCGCTGCTCTAAATATTAGCCATGGCTCCTAATGCTAGATTCCTACCAATCCAATTACATCACTCTTGCGCATCATTAGCAGCCCTTATGGATGTGTTCATTGTAGAAACTTACATCACGGTGACAAAAACATGATTCATCGTATGATTCGTCCTATTCTGTACATGTAATGGCGCTCCTTGATATTTTGGGTGTTATCCATATTGATGCAGGTACCTGTTATACCAGTTGAAGAGCAGCCAGTTGACTCCCTCTAGTTGGTACTCTCTGAGCGTGTTCCCGTTACGGTACTCCCGAGACTGATCCAGCTTCTTCCAGGAGCCTGCAGGTGGCCGGGGCTAATAGCAAAGAGATTTTGGTCAGAATATAAAGCTCAACTCTGATCACTGATATGATGACATGTTTTTAGTTAGAAGCCTCCTTCATCTGGCAAACTGCATTTATTTTTGGTCTTGCACTGTTGTGCCAGATAAAGAGCACAAAACATGAAAACTGCTTCGATTAACAAGGTCCAGTGATTGTCATGAACTCACAGTTCTCTTGATTCTCGGTTGTCGACTCTGGATCTTTCCTGAACTCCTCTACTTTTCCCTCATCTACATCTTCTTTCAGCTCCCAGGTGGCGTCTTCGTAGGGCAGAGAGCACCACTTCACTAGGTAGTACACCACGGCTACGGAGAGAACAGTGGAATAAAAGCTTAACTCCCTGCAATGATGCACGTTTACAAGCCTTCATAACATCTCAGGCAGCCCAGTAAATCACTCTTTTCAGCAAAAATAACTAACCTCCCCATTGTCTTTGTCTACACTGACGGATTCATCCAGGATTCGGTCCACCTCCACATAATCTGGATTGAAAGGCTCCTCATCCTTAGATAAAGACAAAATTGAAATCTGTGAAATTAGGTTTTGGATGGAAAATAAAGGAACTCGCTGCACAACAAACCACTTATATGGATTACACATGGATTCTTGCATAATATATAAAGGCGCCACCTCATGGAAGATATGTCTCATTTGAGCCTGTTTCGTCTTGAATCTCTTCAGCTTCTGATGGATCCTCTTGTCCCTTTCAAGCTGCTCCATACTGGCCCATTCACAATGCAAGTAAGAGCTGAAAAGAGCACACAAATAAAGGTTTAACAAAAAAGCACTACTTTTTATTAGAGATGCCCTGAGTGACCAGATGCATTAAATAAAATCCAACTCCACCAAAACCCATATATTAACCATTCCACTCTTTCTTTTGGATTATGGGCCATTTTGTTTTCTTGTTCTATTTTGCACAACATTTTACATTAAAAAGCCAAACTACGCTTTATTTACGTTTAGTGACCCCTTTATTTTAAATACAGGGTATCAAACAATGCCATACCATGCTTCTATGAATTTTATACACAAAAAAACTCAATAAATTACAAATACTTCAGTAACAAAATAAAGGCAATCAAGAGACTGACAGTCTTTTTGCATTGTTTGATGCACACCTATAAAACATTTCCAGTCCGTTCTGACGTGTGTGAACACTGCAACCCCACTGAAACTCACACTAAAGAAAAGAACTGTGGTCCAGCAAAAATTGGGTGTTTCAGTCCACTTCCAGATTAAACCTTCAGTTCGCTGTTAGTAGGAACACGTTTTCCCCCCAATGGACCGCAGCAAGAGAGAGTATTCCACATTACAGCATGCTTTCCTGTTCCTCCAGCAGCATGTCAGTGCTGTACTGTCCACATCATGTGTGTGTTTTATTGTCTGACTCTTGAAAGTCTCTCATGTTGCAGCATGAGCTGCTGCTATTACCAGATTAGCCATAAAATAATAGTGAAGCTGTGCGTTTGATTTTGGCAGATGGATCGCGGAATGCATTTTAGGCCAATCATCAGTAACCTGACTGGTCAAATTCAAATTGACAAACCAATCATAAAGAAGCAGATATCAGATTTTTTTTGTTGTGTTTTTGTTTTTTGTCTTTCTACTTTCATGAGGGCAAATGTGAGAGTTGCAAGTTTATATATTTGTTGTTAGTCCAGTTGTTTAGCTAGTCAGTGGGTTTTAATCAAATCCTGGAAAACTTCCTTCACTATGTTAAGAGAGTTTTTCCCCATTTTATTATTAGCTTTTCATATTGCAATTAAACAAATCAGAAGCAACCAAATACCCACATGCTGTGTACATGACAACACAACCACGACTGCATTTATCCGTGTAGTTCAGTCTCCTTGGTCCAGACAAAGCGCAAAATGATACATTGCTACATTTTCGTTATGGTTTGCTTAACATTCACACCAATGTATTTATTATTTATGTATTATTGATGTGCATATCCAGTAATTTATAATGACTTCAAATGTGCCTCAACCTCCGTTGCAAATTACTGATTCAGAGCTTATGAAGAGATTGAAAAACACGTTTGTAACGAAACAGCATCTTTTTCCATGAACCAAAGAAGTTCTGCAGAGAGGTCGGATGGCAGTGTTTTCACTTGCTCTAACAAACTGCATTAAATGAGCAATTGCAGCAGGGTTTATTTAAATCGAAGCAAACCTGAATGTCTGAACACACCCTACGTGGCACTTTAGAGCATGGTATAGATACAGTGTTCCAAGCCAAAAAAAAAAATGGATATGCTTGGCCAAAACACTTCTAAATCACAGTTGAAATATCGGTCAGAAAAATCGCAATTAATTATTTTCTCCAAATTGGTAAATTGTCTAGTTATTAGTCATAACTAATAGCTACAAAATGCACAAAAATCCACAGAAAATTTACATGAAATCACTGACTGAAACATCCCTAGTTATCATATGCCTGTTCAGAAAAAACCGTAAAACAATAAAGAAAATAAATAAAAACAGTACTTACTAGTTTTTGTATTTGACAAAAAATTCCTCAACGGTGATATACTGTCCTGGGCACACCTGTGACAGGCAGAAAACATCATTTATCAAACAATTATATTGTTTAATAATAATAATAATAATAATAATAATAAATTATTTTGGAAATATTTCTAGGTGCTAACTTGCCTCCTTTTTGGTCAGACGCATAGACAAAACTTTATCCACAATCGCAGCATCTTCCTCACTCGGATTTTCCTGAATTCCACAAAGATAAAATCTATTTATTTTCTTTAATTCAAAGCCAGCATTTACATCAAAAAGCTCCCACAAACAGCCTTATAACGGGTAGCCTTTTACAGCCTTTAACAGTGTTTTATAGAGAATACATAATTTTACACAATATTCTTATGGATACAACAGTAAAGAGAAATGTAGGTAAGCATAGTGGAAGATATTTGGCTGTTTGCACTCGTCATTTTCTGCTCTTACCACAAAAAACTGCATGCTGGGAAGGCCGTCCGCATCTTGCTCTTGAAGCTCAAGCCCGGTAGACTGAGAGTGCCCTGCAGGCAAGACTGCTGGGGTGGTCACATCCACATCCTCGTCTTGCTCATCTTCATCATCCGTGATTTTAATGTCCAAGTCCTCCGTGTACTTCTTTCTTTTCACTTGACGATTAGAACGTCTCATCTGTTAGGAGACAGATAGGTAGGAAACACAACAAAGCCACATTATAAAAAAGCCAGTTTAACAGCAACATTCACTGATTCTATTCAATTTCATCCCAAACAAGAATAAAAAACCATAATCTGTTTAAAAGGGGGAGCTTATTACATAAGAGAAGAACAGCAAACAAAAGAAACACAAACAATAAAAATGTGGGAAAACATCAAGAGACTTAGGGAAGAGTGGGGCACAACCTAACATGGGGTAAAATGTAACATGGATATTTTAAGCAGTTGAACAGGTTTTCAAGGGGAAGTCCACCGATCCTTCAAAAATTGCACATAATTAAATGTGTAAGATGTAAACAACGTCATTCAAAGTAATTTCATGTGAAAGGCTCCCTCCTAGAGTCAGAATCTTTCACAGTGGTGGTGACAGGAACCAGACGTCTGAAGAGTTTAATGCCTCAAAGCTCCCTCACAGAAAGTTATTACATGAAATGGTTAGGTATACGTTGCCTGATGTCTGACACACTGTTGTACAAATAGTGTTGTGGTAAAGTTTTGGCTTAAAACGTATTTGAATCCATGTACTTTAATCCATTCATGGTGGAGGGTGCATGCGGGGTGCTGTCGGGCAAAACAGTCCCCAAAAAGAAAACTCTTCAGATCTATTTTAGCATTATCAACATTACCAATAAAAACTCAAAAGATGTGTGTAGGTTCACTGGTGGTTTTGGATAGTAAGTAAATTTGCTTTAATGTGTGTCGTAGGCATGGTGACCCCTGGTTCCTATCAGCACCACTGTCTGTAGTTTCCCCGGGTTTCTCTACAATGAACCATTTAACATCAAACCACTCTGAATGACTGTTTACATCTCAAGGACCGAATTATTCAGAAATTTTGAACAACTGGTGGAATTGCCCTTTAAGGGCCTACATGTTTCTTTATTACACGTTTGTGTGGTTTGATGTACCAAAAATTCATTTTCAAACATCCTTTTCAGACTGCTTTTGTTTCTGTGCCTTTAACTGATGTAACTAAATGACCTCTGCTCTGATTTCGTACTGGGCCTCATTCAAAAGTCAAGGCTGAAACTCTCCTTGTAACTTCAGCGTGAATGTGGCCAAACTGCTGAACTGGTCTTCCTGACATGACAAACAATGAATTAAAAATGGGCTGTTTTTACAGTTTAATTTCCAAATACTCCCATACAACATCATACTTCAATTTGCCTTGATATGGGCTCATGCTTTTAGTCATCTTCTCACATTCCCACACTGTCATCTGCGAATTTGGACAGAAACCAAACAGATATTTTTCAAGATTCACACTGAAGACTGTTTTTGTACCATAAGTGTCACTTTTTCAGTGTTTTTCCATTGCTGAGTTGTGTATGTAACTCACAGAATTCAGTCCTATATTATTTTAATCACTCTCTGTGTCTATAATTCAGTGCTGTTTCAAAGCATGCAAACAATTCAGCATCAACCAACCTACAAGAGTGACTGGTTTCCCCTGCTCACACCATCAATCATCCACTGACCTGGACATTTGCTTTGAGTTGCGAAAATTTGTTGGAAGGGGCTTATCAACGTTAAAATCAGGCTACAAATCATGTAGTGCAGGCCAAGCTTTATACAGACGTGCCACTCAGACACCTCTAAGATTTATTTCATGCTAATTGTTGTTTTGTATAGGACTGTAAGCTGCACTGTTGCAAGTGATAGAACGGAAATGAGCAACACTGACCTAAAAGAGAAGCATCATCATGATAGCAAGCATTTTTGTGTGATTAGAACGAGTTTAAATTTGTACTCAGACAATTCACACGTGGTTTAGGTGCACAAAGTTTAATAAAAGGTATTTTTATACCTTTATTTTAGTTTTACCATGTAGAAATGACAGCACTGTTTATGCAAAGCCCCTCTCCACATTTTAAGGCACACTGTGCTCCACAGATGTGATTACTCAGGTGAGATTACTTGCTTCATTAGTGCAAGTATAAGACAGTTTTCAGCATCCAGTCTTGATTCTAGGATTTCGATCACCTTTATAACAGTATAAGACATCAACCACACCTAAGACCAAAATCAACTGTTTGGAACATAATTAAGAAGAAAGAGAAAACTGGAGAGCTTAATAACCATAAAGGGACTGGTAGGCCAAGGCGGACCTCCACATATGACAGAAGAATTCTCACCACAATGAAAAAATATGCCCATACAGCTGTCCGACAGGTCAGAAACACTCTTCAGGAGGTCGATTTGTGGTCCGCAGAGGACCTCATGAACGGAAATATTGAAGCTACGCTGCAAGACGCAAATCACTAGTTAGCCACAAAAACAGGATGGCCATGTTAAGAGTTTGCTAAAAGGTACTTAAAAGAACCTGCAGAGGTCTGGAAAAAGATCTTGTGGACAGATGAGACCAAGTATTAGTCAAGAAGTTGAGTGTTATGGCTTGAGCCTGTACGGTTACCACAAGAACTGCCTCACTCAGCCACTGATGATGTAACTGCTGCAGCAGTCTGGCAGTAGCGAAACAAGTTCTGAGGTGTACAGAAACATCTTATGAGAAAGTTCAGGAAACACATCCAAACTCATTGGTGCTTCATCCCACAGCAAGACAATGATCCCAAACACACTGGTAAAGCAACAAGAGAGGTAAAAATGTCAAATTCTGAACAATTCAGTCACCTGATCTGAATCTCACCGAGTTTGTCTTCATATGCAGAAGAAAAACTTAAGGGGACTGGCCCTAGAAACAATTAGGAGCTGATGGCTGTAGCACAATCCTGGCAGAGCATTAGCAGACCAGAGAAGATGCTCAGCATCTGCATATGCAGAGGATATGCAGCAAAGTACTAAACACGACTGCCTGAAGAGCGAAGTGTTGCTGATTGTGATCTACAGTGTGATTCACCAAAGAACAAGATTTCTAAAATCGCTCAGTTCATGTCTGGCTTAAAAAGGACAATCAACTACAGCTCAACCAGCCAACAAAAGACTCCAACAAGTGGCAAATAGACTATAGATAGATCAAAACTATGAAATGTACTTTACTTACAGCTACACAGAAGTGCTTTTCTGACATAGAACAAAACCCACTCTTCTCCACTGCAATGCTACTTGATTGAGGGTAACTAATGTAGCAGAGCTAGCTAATTCACAAAATTTTATATCAGATAGATTTTAATGATTTAACTGTTAAGGTACATTGCACTCATTTATACTAACAAATGCTTAATTGTAAATAGGTTATACAGCACAGTATCACTTAAAAACCATGGATTTGTAATTGGTCTGTAAAGACTGGTCTTGATGCATCACTAACATGAATTGTTTGAGTGCAAATTTAAGTGGAGTGCAGAAGCAAAAAATTAAATAAACAGAAATAAGCCTTTGTCTCAAACATTATACAGGGCACTATACAATCTGACGGCTGTGATGACAGGCAAGGGGTGTCAAATTTTGAAACGAAATCAAAAATTGATCCAAACAAACATTCGATTTTGATTCTCAAACAAAGAAATCGGAGGTTTTTACTCCATGTTTTTTCCTTTATCATACACAGGGCACTTCATAGGGTTTAAACACAAAGGTTGCATGTGTGCGCCTGCGTACCGCACATAGTTTGCCCACCTTATTTCTTTTTAAAAGACAGTGGCAGAGTGTAGTGTCTTGCTTTCATTTTTGCAAATTATCAATCGCATCATCTGGAGCTATACAGAACAACAAAGACTTCTGCATTGCCACAACAGCAAGATGCAATCAGTGCTGTGCCTTTGTGTTCCTCATTGTTGTGTATAAAAGACAGAAAACTGAAGGAGCTCTGTATGTTTGTTCCTCACCTCCTTTTCCAGTCATTTTCAGACATATTCACCTAATGCAGCCACTTAATGAGCATCGTTACAATTTTGATCTAATTCCAAGAAAAAAAAAATACAGTGCAAAATAAATACTATGCATTACCTGGGAGAGATCCTCCTCTTGTGTGCGAGGTGAGGCAGGTGGGCTGAGTTCCCCATCTGAATGGTCAGAAGACGCATTCCTCTTCCTTTTCTTTAAACCCACCAGAGTAATGGTGCTAGAGAAAGGGAAGAACAGTGAAGCGAAAGAAAGTGAAAGAGACCATAATTACAAACAATTGTCACAATTCCTCATGAAATCTGATGACAAGCTGTAGGGTTGGAAGGTATAACGGTTATTATAAATACCACGGTATTTGAAAATCATGATGGTATTTCAAAATAATAACGTCAATTTATTTTTTCACGTCTAAATGGCCAAATAAACACACTGCACTCATTTATATTTCAGAAGGACTCACTGACTGGTGGTGTCAAAATTCACTGATAGAAAAAACATAAAAATAAGTGGGGGGAAAAAAAAAAACACTCCCAAAATCTACGCTTGGTAGCGGTTCAGGGACAGCTAATAGCTAAATGACAAAAGCGAAAAATAAGAGCCAAATTGAAAGAAAAAAAAAAAACCCTCACAAAAACCAACAACAGAAAATCTAATAGAGGTTCAGTGACAACCAAAAGCTCTACACACTCCAGAACATGTTTAATTAATTTCAGCTTTCACTCTAACAAGTGACTTGACTTTTGATGGCTTGAACATCGTTCACTTCTTTGGCAACTATGCAGGCGAAATCGACTTCTTGATTTTTTTTCTGATTTTGAAAGAAAACAGGGCAAAATGGTACAAAAGCACACCAATACCTTTATGTCACTTAGGGCGCATTTACGCCCACCTCCCTGTGATGCCATATAAGGCAGTAATATTTGGAGGCAGTTTGAAGGTATGAAACAAGCGGCTACTGCCATACCCTAACAAACAGTGCCTAAAGACCCGTTCAAAACCCATGGAAACACTTCAGGCAAACAGCTTTGCTTACAATCAGATCACTCAAGATGGATGTTAAAGTCAGGGCCTACGCTAGGGTGGGGTCAATAGACGATGCCATCGATGGCCGATGGACATCACGAAGTGAAGCCAGCATTGTTATGCCACCTGCTACCTGTCCAGCCCACCACTGAGGGCAAAATATGTCCAGTTATAAGGAAAATAAAATGCGTAAAAAAGTTAACATGAGTCTGTTAGACACAAACTGTGATGGAGTTTATCATCTAGGTGCATTTAATAGACACAGATTTCAACGCTAACAACTAGGCTTTTTTAAGGGTATGAATCCACATGCACAAGTCTGCTGCAGCTCTGTGCTGTTCATGCTTGTAACGCTGCTGTTCTTGCCATAATTTCATCTTTACTCGGCTGTACTGACAGTACAATAACACCCTGCTAATAGCATTCCCAACTAATAATGTCCTGGAACAGGTCGGAGACATTTAATTAGACAAAAACAATAACAACAAGCTCACTTTTTTGACTTAGCCAAAAATGGTAACAAACAACACTTCTGTTCCAACCAAATATTTCAGTCACGATCACTAAATGCAGAGGTCACATAAAAAATAAGGAGTTTACAGAAGAAAGATGGAAGAAAAGTAAGGAAACAGCGGGTGAGTGGGGAGGATGGGCTCTAATTTTAATGGACCACCCACCCCCGATATCATCCATCCATCGCGATATTTCCCAGTAAATGTCACCCAAACCTAGCCTATGCCATATTAAATATACAGGGTGATTCAAGAAGATTCATCCGATTGCAAAGCGCCATATTTTTACAACCGTGAGGCGCCTAGGAACCAATCACAAACCAATTGAAAAAGGGGATTCATAGAGTTTCTGTTCTCTCCCTTCAGTCTGTGAGGAGATGGCGACCCCTGAGCAGAAAGCGTTTCGTGTTCTCCACTTCAATAAGAGTGAATCCATCATAACTGCCCTGCCGGCAGTGAACCTACAACAGCTCAGAGCGTTTGTCGTTGGTTCCACAAATCTCCGAAATTGCTTTGAAAGAGTCGTGAGTGCAGTGACACCCGACATGCTCAATGCAGTATGGGATTAATCTGACTACGGCATTGATGTTGTCCTTACAGCTGGAGGAGCTGGTCATACTGAGCACTTGTAAAATTACATAATAAACTTTATGGTCAGTTAAACCATTTACAATTTACTGCATTGTTCTGTAATGATGTACAGTGAAATAAATAATTTTGAAATCAGATGAATCTTTTCAATCACCCTGTATGATATTGCAGCTCCTACATCAGTCCAAATGTAGGTTGTTGGCGTTTCAAAGGTAGATTTATGCATTCCAAACTTTATGCGTAATTTGATCCTTAAGAAGTAAAAGTCAGAGAGTCACTAAGTTTCTCTACAATTTACAAACCACCCTGAATGACTTTGTTTAGATATCAGCAACTGAATTATGCAGAAGGTCCACTGAATTCCCTTAAATGTCCATCCTAAAGCTAACTCTAAAAGGAAATCTGATACTTTATGCAGCCACTGACGTCTAATATTGTATGTGTACACATGCAGACACTTACTTCGGCTTCGCTTTGCTTTTACTCTTACTGCCACTGCCTCCGCCTCCTGCTCCTCCAGCCACCACAGCCCCAGCCGGTTTCACCTTAACCTTCTTTTCTCCACTGGCCGCGACTTTCCCAGTGGCACTTGAGGTAGGGCTTTTCTTCTTGCTCCCTCCTCCGCTTTTCTTCTTGGCCCCAACGGGAGTCGCAGCACCCTCTAGGTCAGCGGAGGTCTGCCCAGTAGGCAGTTCGTCCTGGTTGAGCACGCGCGGGATGTTCCTCTCACCTCTGGCCTTGGCCCTAGCAATGGCCTCAGCCACAATGCGATTGGCTTTCTCTTGCTTGCACAGGGTCTCCACTTTCCGTAGGGGCTCCTGGGCCTTTACCACACGTACACCGGTCGAGGCAGCTGTGGTGCCAGAGCTAGCAGCAGAGCCAGCTGAGGTATTGATGACTTTGACCACAGAAACAGCACCCCCAGCACCGGAAGCTGAGCTTGTCTTTAGGAGAAACAAAGTAGAAAGAAGGAAAATGTCAGTGTAATTCAAACAGGGCTGTCCCAATCCGATCCAGGCATATTTTAATGGATAAGGTATCGGCTATATTAAGTCTTACCCAGTTCCAACTTTGTGTTGTACTTACACCACCACTGTAGACGTGACGTAAATGAACATCATCCACAACCAGCAGAATTAAAGCATGTGCTCAGAAGGTAACCAAGAGATGCAAATGTCTGCAGTGTGGAACTATTTTACAGAGGAATATATGAACTTAATATCTGCTGGGCAAGTGTTTTGACTGTCTTTGAGCAAGCTACGTTTTGTCCAAACCAGGGGTGCCCAAACTGTTTTATCTTGGGGGGGAAAGGTGCAATGTTTGCAGTGGGCTTGTATTTCATGGTTGTACTGTCTATAAATTAAATAAATGAAAAAATGGTCCCTGGTAGGCAGGTTTTCATGTATTTTAGAATGTTCAATTGTATTTTAACACTCATTAAATGGCGTATTTATAAAGCTATAAAATGGTTATTACATATAATAACTTAAAAACTCACAATCACACAAATGTGATTCAAAAGTGGTTTCACTGCAGAATATTAAAGTACCTGACAGTCAAATCATCAGGTAGGATCAAATTAAATTGACCTAAGTCATAAAATGGTAGTTTTAAAAATAGTAGTGCATAAAAACACAACATATCTGTCCAGCATGTCACATTGCGCACATAAATAAAAATGAAAGAATGAAGGAAACTACGGCATCAATTTGCCCTCTGGCTGCCAATTTATATGGCTGTATCATCTGAGAACATTTAGGTACTTGGATCAGATCGGGGGAGAGGAATAAATAAAATCAATGCTTTAATATTTTATGTGTCTTTTCAGAGTTTAAACAAGGACAGAGACATGTTACCTTTTAATAAAGACAGTTCAATAATATCCCTTTTTTTTTTAATAAGGACAAGTCCACCCATAATGATTCCCAACATAAACTTTACTCCTGACCTGTGGCTGCAGCAGTAGTTTAAGAGGCACCGCCACTCTCTGTCCTCCTTGGCCTTGAGAGATCTGAACCACCTGGGGGCTACCACTCGCATTAGGTGTTCCAGAAACCAGTTGAAACTGCACAAAAAAGAAAAACAATTAGTGGAGGGAGAAACAAATCAATACAGCATACTATTGCAATATGTCAGGGTTTAAAAACAGTACAGGCACACAGTGGTCCATGTCTCCATATTTTGTTTAATTAGGAATATATCAACATATTTGAATCCCACTGTTTGACTAAGATTACCAAACTCTTTTCTGTCTTATTCCAAGAGATGGCACAGTTTCTTTCTGCTGAGACTAAGGCTACATTTACACAGTAGGTAAAAGTGGCCCAAATCCGATCTTTTTCCTCAAATGTGACACAGAAGTGTGTCTGTGTGGCAGTGTGAACAGCAAAAAACGCACTGAATCTGAGTTTGAATTTGAGACGCTTTCATATGTGGTACTGAAATCCGACACGTATCCGATTTGCGGCAATGCGACTCTGTCTGAACAGCCAGATCGGAATTCACGCCACTTTCACGTCAATCCAACACGACATTCGTCATAATTTCGCGCTGCTGAGACTCAAACATTTAGGCTGATGTTTCTGTACCGAAAAACTAGGAGACGTATCGCAACCACCCCCCCCGCTCGAAGAGGTTTCGAACGGAACGGCCGAAAGGCGGCCGTGGCCGGATAACGTGCCCTTTTTGCAGTGAACTCAAACACATTGTGGGTGATGAGTCCAGCTGTCAACCACTGGAACTTTATACTCGCTCCTGTGATGCTGGCGAAGACGAAACTGAAAGCTGCGGGAGTGACTGGCGTTTGCTGGTCGTCATGACTGTTTACCTCTGGATGAGCCGCCATGTGAAGCACTGTTCTTTTGCGCATGCGGGTCGGTTTAGGAGCTGATCTGTTCAGACTGATGTGGCATACAGATCACATTTAAAAGATAAATTAAAAAAAAAAAATCTGATTTGGTAAGAAAATCTGATTTGGGCCACTTTTACCTGCTGTGTAAACGTAGCCTAAGATGTCTAGTGTTGGGTTTTCTGATCTGGTCTGTTAGTGTAGCAATACAATATAGCAATAAGAGTTTACTGATCAGAATAACCTGTCTTGTAAATTGCTGTGGATCGAAATATTTATGAAATATTTAAGGATAAAGGCTGTTCTGTAAGTTGTTACTTCACAATGGGGTTTTGCTTCGATAAAAAGACAAGTGGGATAAACAAAGGTTATTTTCTTGAACAAAATATAAATTTTCTGACAAAACGAATCCGTTCTTACAAGGTGAGCGTCTTCTTTTCCACATATTCAATGAGTTTGATTCATATTTAAATGTTATCCCCCTGGATAAAATGTAAACTCGCCCCAATTCATCATTTTACTGTACAGTTTAGTGCACTGACTGCGTCATTCTGGCTTAAATCTGAAGAAGTTCAAGCGCATCTCAAACTACTCAGAAACAAAAAGGTTGGCTTTTAGACCTGCTTCATGTGATTTTTTGCCAGGCTCTAAAGAGAACCGCACAGCATTGCACAGCAGACGTACAGCAGTACAAAGCACAATGAATGCATTGCAGAGAGAGCCAATAAACACCAAGTTCAAGTTCATGTTTACACTATTTTGGTATTTAGCAGAATACATAAAATAATGTAGCACTTCTATTACACTTAGTATCAGTGTTAGTATTAGTACTTCACAAACGAGTTGAAAAATGTGAGGTGAACAGAAAATGTTTAGATGTAAAGGTTTGATTACAAAGAGAAATAATGAACACTTAAATTGGATTTAGCAAAACAGAGTGACTGTGTGTGATGTGACTTTTTTTTTTTTTTTGGTAATATGACAGTACCTTGTTTCCTCTACCTTATCAAATGTCCAAAAATAAATAGCGAGACATATCGTGTCTTCTTTAAAAACTTCTTTAAATATCATGACACTACTTTTGTGCCATACAGCCCAGCTCTACAGCTACGTTTGTTTCTTTATTGGGTTTTACGAGTAGCTAGTAAATAATAGTAAATAACAGCTAATTATTTCTCTGCATTTAATATTTATTTTTTAATAATTTAAATTTGTCTTATCAAGTTCTCCTTTCCATTCTTACATTTACTCAAAAGCACATTAAAAACAACAAAATATAATTAATTGTATGCAAATGTTTGGGTGCCCCTGGTTAAATTACATGTGATGTTGATTTTTCTCTACAAAGAACATGCTTCTGCACATTTTTATGTACAGTTACTGTTTGTTTGCTGTGTTTAACATATTGGGGAAAAATATAAATCAAAGTACATGGCTTGTGCACAAGTTATGGCACATTTTATATTTTATGCTTTATTTTTTCCCTAAAATGTTCAATCTGGCAAATAAATAAAAATTTGCAGAAAAAAAAATGCCACATTCAAGTCCCTGTACAGGAAGTATTAACTTATTTTCAGTTAGAAAATCATCAAAACATGTTCAACTTTTGCAGATGATTATCTATAAAAACTCATTTCTTTCAGGCTTCAGTTTCAGTTTTCAACCAAGTGAATTCTGAATTTCAGTTTCAGGTACACGTTTAATTCAGTAACTTCGTTACAGAAAACCAAGTTTTGGTTTGGAGCAGTAATATGCAGACAGTAATCAATCACAATATACGCCAGCTGGCCACTTTATTGAGTTTACCTTTTTGTATCTACATTAATTGTCCATTTTATCAGCTCCACTTTTCATACAGGTGCACTTCGTAGTTCTACAATTATAGACTGCAGTTCACCTGCTTCTCTGTACACCTTGTTAGGCCCATTTTACTCTCTTGTCCAGTGGTCAGCACCTTCACAGCACCACCGCAGAGCAGGTATTATTTGGGTGGTGGATCAGTGTGTCTCTCAACATATCGCAAATCTTTAAATATCACTGTAGATATGGCTCAACTGACATACAGTGAGGCCTGCACTGATTCCCTTTCAACAGTGCAGGAATCTTTACAAACCACAGCAGAAGCATCAGGTCTTTTCACTCACCTTGGCTCCCTGTTGGTTGGGCTGTTGCTGCACTTGCAGCTGGATGGTGAGCACTTTTGGCTGTGCCCCTGTTTGACCTGCTCTAGCCTGGGTGAGAGCTGCCAGCTGGCCCCCCTGAAGGACCAGCTTCCCCGGCAGAGAGCCCAACACCAGCCTGGGCTGCTGGCCCTGCTGCCCAGGCCCTGAAGCTGGAGTGGTGCCAAGAGTCACTGCTCCTGCTTGAGCAGTCCCACCTTGAGATGGCTGCTGCAGCACCAGCGTGATTCTCTTCGCTTCGCCCTGAGAGTTGGGAAAGAAATAAAACACAATGACTTTACATGTAAAGATCTGTTCATTGAACTGAATCTTTCTAAACAGAAGGTTTGTTTCATTTATTGAAGAGGAATTCCACTTTTTAATTAATAATGTAAACAAAGGCAGTCAGAATGGTTTGATGTGAAAAGTTTTATTCAAGAGAAACTAACAGTCAGAATTGTTAACAGTGGTGGTGATAGGAACCAGACAACGGCTATATTTGTGTTGTAGACATCACAACGGCTGGTTCCTACCACACCACTGTAAGAAATCTGATTCTGTAAGTTTCTCTAAAGTTAACCATTTCACACCAAACCGCTCTGAATGACTTTTACGTTTTAACGACTTATATATACACATTTTGAAAAATTGGTGGAACTCCTCTTTAATAAACCTGCTCAACTGAACCACTACACCATGAGAATTATAGACCATATATTACTTAAGCTTGTGCAATCAGTCTTGCAAAAATATTCTTTAAAAATAATGAACAATTTCATTATTAAAACAATACACAATATACAACTACATAATATAATTCTGCAACTGCAGACCTGACAGTAGATGCTCATAGAAACTTAGAAATTGTTTTATTAGTGTCATGACACATTTTCACATACATAATCGTTGCTTAGTGTTAGAAGAAAATGTCATTTTTAAAGCATATTTAGGGTCAAAATGCCAGTTTTATTCACGTCCCACAACTGTGAATTTCAGTCTTCAAAGGCATAAAAATAAGTCATTAAATCACGATTGCAAATTACCTCTTCAATTGAAACTACATTGTATAAACATAAAATCAAAATGTTTCAATATATCTCACTGCTGTTGGAACAAAACCTCTCCAAAATGGTAATTTTACAGGAGAAGGAAAAAACATAATTTACTTTTAATGTAAGTCAATAGAACCAGAATGTTTTCCATGTCATTTTGGGACGTTTCTTTTGGTCCATTCTTCATGAAATTATAAACAATGTAAAAGGACAACAGGCTTTTTCAAATTATGTCAAAAATTGAAAAATGACAAAAATGGAGATACGAGGTTTTGTTCCAAACAGCAGCGATATACTCGCTGACCAGTCGTTTCTTATCTACAAATATATGTTCCTACCACAACACTGACCAAAATAAGTCAAAAAAAGTTTGCAAACCCAAACAAACCAAATCTCATGTTGATTTTATCACCCAACATGAGCTGCAGATGAATCATACCAGCATTTACAACAGCCGATAATTGACAATAAAAAAAAACAAAATCATGTTATGAATGCTGTGGTTTTGTAGTTTGTCCATCAAACGGTGCTCTGCAACTTCCCTGTCGGCAACACACGTGTTAGGAATGCCACAAATCACAACAATCAGCTGACCCAAGCAGAGTCGAACACAGTACCCGACGATGGACGACAACTGCCCAAGTGCTCTGTAATCAAAGCTTAGAGAGCTTAAAGTTATGAATTAAAAAACCGCCACTTAAAACTAAAGACCTTCGTTAATCGTTGTTAACAGCTCACTGAAGACCTTTTATTAGGCTCAGACCTAATTAAAAGAGGAAGCCCATTCTGTGTTCCTTAGCAACAACTAGGCCCTGCCACAGTTTTGTTTCTGTTTTAAATACAAAACGTCTTTCAGGTTCACACTATAAACACTGGAAAGTTCATGCTTTAGCACACATTCTAAAACCCTTAGAAAACAATTTCAGATATGGATCAAATCATTCAAAAATGTCCAGCTGCACTTTAAAATCTGTGCCAATGCAGGAATGTCAGACTGCAATTAGCCATTAGCACAATTAATGTTTACAAAGCTCCCTCATCTGCATTCTTGACTTGATGCATTTAAGCTGGCAAGTGAAGCTAAGATGTGAATAAGGTTGAGATGCTCAAAAATAAAAAGGCAGATTTATTTTCTGCATTTTTGGAAAAAAAAAAGATTCATAACCAATCACACACTTCTGACAGAGTCCACTGGCACTTTTTGGTAACACTATTTGGGGTGGTCCTTTGTAGGTAATCAAACTCTTAACAGATTATCAGTAACACATTTATAACATATCAGTGAAGTAGCAGTAGTGAAGCATCTGAATACACTGAAGTAAATATCTTGATGTACTGTTGATACATTAATTACATTTAGTAGATGTGTTGTTAATATGTTTCTTATGCAAAACCTAACCTTACTTGACCTCAAACAAGGACCTAATACTAACCCTGACCCTAATCCTAACCCTAACCTTAATCTAACCCCAGTGGTGGACAGTAACTAAGTAAATGTAGTTTGTTACTGTACTTAAGTAGTTTTTTTGTGTATCTGTACTTTAAAAAGTCACCAAAAATGGAAATACTTCAGTACTTTCACTCCACCACATTTCAAAGTCAAATATCTTACATTCACTCCGCTACATTTAGCGAAATCTGTCGTTCCTTTTGGTTTATGTGTGTATAAAAACATAACATGTCAAAATGAATGAAGCGCGAAGCAGCACACCAATCAGGAAACAGCGCGCACTTTGTTTTGAGCTTGTTTTGACCTGTTGGACATACCGACCCAGTGCAGCACACGGTTCAACGTCAGTGCAGCAGCGTAAAATTTTGGGAGAGTCTATTCAACAGAAATTGTGGAACTATGCTAATTTTGTGTAAATAGACCACAATATAGAAATATGTACACATATGCAGTTGTGACTGACATGTCTTTTTTCTGAATTTATATAAACATTCAATTTAAAATTAATTTCTTTTAGCTAGTTTATGTTTCTGAACAGAGACCTACAGATGTAATATAGTAAAGGAAAACTCATTTGTGAACCTGTGATTAAAGCAAGTTTTTATTAAACTTAAACTTGTAACTAATCTGCAAATAAATCTTAAACTGAAACTTTGCTTTACAAAAATGTTAATAGGACACAGTCATAATCTTTTAGTACCTTTACTTTCGATACTTAAGTACATTTGAAGGTAAATACTTCTGTACTTTTACTCAAGTGGAGGTCTAAAGGGAGGAACTTCTACTTTTACTGAAGTAATATTTTACCTTGTGTGTCTCTACTTTAACTCAAGTACATGATTTTTGTACTTTGTCCACCACTGTCTAACCCTAACCTTAACCTCAACCCAAAACCTAACCCTTACCCTGGGCCTAATCCTAACCCTAACCTTACCCAAAACCTAATCCTAACCCTCACATGTTTGACATGTTACTTAGAATCTGTTGTGTACTTGTTTCATCTAAAAGGACCACTCAAAATAAAGTGTCACCCACTTTTTGCCACCGCATTTCAGGTTCTTAATGAACCATTCACTCTTGTCTGATTGGCTAAAGGTAAAGCAGCTGCTGGACTCCTTTGCATAAAGTAGAAATCTGCTACACCTTTTTGCTGCATGTCGAGAACGATTTCACCACACCGTAAGCGGCATACACAACCCGGCAGAGCGCTCCGTAGAAATGAACAGAATGCAGCGCAGCGAAGTGGACATGTACCTACATTAGACGGACAACTAGATCCAGTATGCATTAGTTGCTTTTGAGATAGAAGACTAGCTAGTTATGACTCCGTGGCAACACCTACAGCTTGTGATACAGGATGGAAGCTCTTTACAAAATGATTATGACAGTGTCATAATAAAGAAATCTGAACAAATTAGACGCAACTTTTTGGGCATGAGCCATGTGTAAGACTATGGGGTATCAACTAGTTAATCAACATGTTTCCATCTACTTTTTACAGAAATTGCAAGTGATAAAATGAAAAATGCGTAAAATAAATACATAAATAAAACATTTTTAAAACTTGCAATCAGCTGGCTTCCATCAGTCGAGTTTTTGTGTTTTCAGCAAAATGCTACAGCTGTACGCTTTTTCTGGACATTCTGGGTTCTGCTAAAGTTGGTGGCATTAAAAATGCAGGATTAGCAGTATTAGAAGCACTAGAACCAGAGTCCATGATAAGCTTCCGAGATCCCTCATTTCACCAGTGCACTGAAAAAGGACAATCTTACATTTATTTCAGTAACACCCATGTTATTAACCCGTATTACTAACCCTACTACTAACTCTTATTAACTCAATTACTAACCCTATTATTATCCCTGCTATTAACCCTATTATTAACCCTGACGATTCATCAAGAAATCTAAATTTTACCACGATTCAAGTTGATCAGGATTGTTAGTATCTTTTACTGAGTAGTGTTGGTCTCAGTAGTAGTACTGTTTAATTTTTGCCTTTTAGAATAGCCCACGGGGGGTGGGGGGGCGGGATGTATTAGGGCTGGTCTGAACAAGCAATTTACAGGCTTTGAATACTAGAATACCCGTTCTTAAAATCACCATTATAAACAATAATATATTGGTTTAAGAATTTACCTATATATTAATATATATATGGATAATTTATATTTAATATAAGCTTTATATATTTAATTTAAGCTATACCCAGTAGGCATAAATAATTCTATCTAAAGGCATTTGCTAATGAAAGTTATTGCAGTTTAGCCTACAATTTCTGTGATTGATGAATACAAAGTGCTGAATAAGAAAAGAACTTCTAAATATTACATAGAGAAATGAATATCAATATAATGAACAAATAACCAAATAAAACAGTACAGCCCTAACGTGTACTTCATTGAATACTATTAGAGCTGAAGTGGTGCCGTTCAGTCATCACTAGTTCATTTTTTACATGCTTACTTACCACCCAATGAGGGCATAGCCAGTTCTCTTAGGCCAAGGATGGCTATGACATCCCTGAGAATATACCCTTTGGCAGCCCTAACAATGAAGAATCACTGGTTCAGAGAAGGAATCATGCAGACTGCAGCCATAAACGACTGATTTATATTTAACACTGACAGGCTTGTCACACCAGTATCTACTCAGAAAAGTTGTGTCTGATGATTAAGACCGCTGGTTCTTGGGATTCAGAACCTCTGACCAAGATATTCAAGCTCTACCTATAAAACCATATAAACTATATGGACAAAAGTATTGGGACACCAACACATTACTCCTACAGGAGCTTTTATGACATCCCATTCTAAATCCATAGGCATTAATATGGAGCTGGTCCCCCCTTTGCAGCTAAAACAGCTTCCACTCTTCTGGGAAGCTTTTACGAGATTTTGGAGAGTGACTGTGGGAATCTTTGAATCCATTCATCCAGTAGAGAGTTTCTGAGGTCAGACACTGATGCTAGATGAGAGGGTCTGGCTCGCAATCACTATTCTAGTTCATCCCAAAGATGTCAGATGAGGTTGAGGTCAGGGCTCTGTATGGGTCAGTCAAGTCCTTCCACAGCAAACTTGCTTTGTGCACTGGGTCTCAGTCATGCTGGAACAGAAGAGGGTCCTCCCCAAACTGTTCCCACAAAGTTGGCAGCAAACAAACTAAGGGGCCTAGGCCAACCCCTGAAAAACAACCCCATAGCATTATCCCTCCTGCACCAAACTGTACAGTTGGCACAATGCAGTCAGGCAGGAAATGTTTTCCTGGCATTCGCCAAACCCAGACTCGTCTATCAGACCGCCAGATAGAGAAGCGTGATCCGTCACTTCACAGAATACATTTCCACTGCTCCAGAGACAGTGGTGGTGCTTTACACCACTCCATCTGACGCTTGGCATTGTGTGCTCGGTGATGTAAGGCTTGCATACAGCTGTTCAGCTACGGAAACTCATGCCATGAAGGTCCCAATGCACAGTTTTTGTGCTGATGTTAAAGCCAGAGGAGGTTTAGAGCCCTGCAGTTACTGAGTCAGCAGAGCGCTGGTAACTTCTACGCACTAAGCACCTCAGCACTCGGCGTCCCGCTCTGTAACTTTACGTGGTCTGACACTTCAGGGCTGAGTGGCTGTGGTTCGTAAATGCTTCCACTTTTCAATACCACTCACAGCTGATAGTAGAATATCTAGGCGGGAAGAAATTTCACGAACTGACTTGTTGCAAGGGTGGCATCCCGTTCACAAATGTTTGTAAAGGCAGACTGCATGGCTAGGTGCTTGATTTTATACACCTGTGGCAATGAGACTGAATGAAACACCTGAATTCAAAGAATAGGAGGTTTGTCCCAATGCTGTGTCCATATAGTGTAACTGCCTAAACCTGTTCCAAATCTCACACACCAGTGGTCTTGCAGTTGTATTCTTCCTCCACCTTCACATAACTGTCATGTCCATTTCAATTTAAAGTTCTGCTGAACATTTGCTGAAAATAAAAGCTTCCCTAATGATGCAACACCCACGCTTAAACATGATTTTACCAGCTTTGCACAACCTGCTTATAAACATCCCGGTGTGGGCTGTGGATTAATGCTGTTATTAATAAAATGCCCATTCTCCACGATGCACACCATCACGTTTTTGCATTGCAATATTACACCATAATGATGCATTGTTACTCCTGTAGCAGTGACATTTGATAATATGGAAAATAGGGGTGGGTAATATGACGATACTGAACACCATAACATTAGGTCACATTCCAAGCATATCACGGATGTCATCAGTACTTAAATGGGAATTTCACCAATTTTTCCAAACTTTTGACATAGTTACCTACCAGCTCAGATTTCTTGGAAATCCTTTAATGGTGATGTTGGGAACCAGGGGTCCCAGTGTCTAATACAGTCTTTTTTAGGGCTGGCCCAAACAGCATTTGACTTTGAACACTCATTGGTATGTCCGAACGAGTTTTTGAATATTTGTTCTCAAAATAAACCTTAAAAACATAATTATCCGTTATTTCAAAAATGTTTGTTATTGCAGTCCAAAATATATCCAGTATAGTGTATTCACTGTTAGGCTGAAGCCGAGCAGCTGGCATGCCTTGCGTGTCTGTTGCTATAATAGAATCTGCAATTTATTAAAATACAGCTTTAACGAGCCAAATCTTTTGGAGTTTATGAGTGGTTGATTAATTTTTCATCATCAAAAAACATACTGAGGGCGACACGCAGACCAGGTTGAGCTCAGTCAAGCAGCTCTCAGGTCGGGACCTAAAGAGTCGCTGGATAGAGTCGCTAAACTCCACACCTGCGACAGACTCCTCTGCCTGAGAGAGTCCATAACAACACACTTTTAGAAATAAAGGTTCTGTGCAGGTACATTTTTCATTCATCAAGGTACAAACAATGTGAATGTTCCCTCAAAGGTACAACAGTGGTTTTAAGGTCCAATTGTGAACCTTAAATAAGTTTTTCCAGGTGAAAAGTAGATATTTGTACCTCTTCATAACTGAATGTTTTAAAACAGAACAGTAAAATAAAAAGTCTGGAGACGAGACGGGGGGTGTGGAGACAATACAACTTAGAAAATATTATTTCAATGGATTATGGTACAATTATGTTCCCTGACTAAAGGTACTGAGATGTACCCTTTTGGGTCCCACCCCAGTGACAGTTTACTACCTTTATTTCTGAGAGTGCAGCATTGCCTGTGTTGCCTTCCCCAGAGCCTTAATACTTGTAACACTCATGGCATCAAACTTGTCATGCCTCCATGGTATACATCTTATTGTACACTCACACTGAGCAACTTTCCTATTGTCCGATAATTTAAAGTGATCTTGGGCATCTGCGCTCCTTCAGCTTAAAAAGCCAGTGGAAAGTATGACTAAAGACAAACCTTCTGAATACTAAATTGAGAATCAAGTATTAACGTGATGTATGAATGAATGAATGAATACTCAAGTACTGAAATTACTCAGGCCAGCCTTAAGCCATTATATTTGCTATCCGAAATGACAAGAACCTACATGACAAAAAAGATTTTAGGCCAAAAACTTCTCAGAACTAAACACTTCACATAATAACTCGCTGTGAGGGAGCTTTTAGAGTCATTCAACTCATTCATTCATTTAGACGTCTGGTTCCTATCACTACCACTGTGAACTATTCTGACATTCAGTTTCTCTTGAACAGCGCATTTAGCATCAAACCACTCTGAATAGGCCATTCACGTTTACATATTAACCATTTAAATAAAAAAAAAGAAAAATCCGTAGAATTACTCTTTAAAGAGCGCTGAACAACTGTACACCTCAAAACAAAGAGAACCCTGTTTAACTAGATGTAGTGAATCTACTATGCGAAATACTGAATAAAGCCAATGTATTCATAGTTTTCATTGCACTTTTGAAATATGCCACTACTGATGTCTTATTGCTCCAACTTACCAAAGCTCAGATAAACTAAATATTGTGAAAAGGTCTTCAAGCATCACGACATTCTATTTTTGCCATATTATACCTGAAAAGTCCTTTTGTACAAAAGACAATGTTTGCAATTTTGGGTTCCATCACACCTCAATGAAAGAGCACAGACACTAAAAATCCCTGCCCATGTGAGTGACTACAGTAAAGGAGAAATAAAAGTCAAACTGACCTGTTGAGGGACCGTGGACAGGGTGACTCCTTGTGGTCGAACTGCTGCTGTACTTCCAGCTGTAGAGAGCGACCTGTGCTTGGGCTTGTGCCTGCACTGAGGCCTGCGTCTGGGGTTGCACATGGACCTGTGTCTGCACCTGTGCTGGCTGTGCTTGGGTCTGAAGCTGTAGCTGTGGCACCTGCGTCACCTGCGTCTGAGCAAGCCGCGCCTGTGTAGGTATCTGTACCTGTGACTGCGTCTGGGGCAAGGAGGCCATCAGCACCTGCTTGACGGGTCCGTTTGGAGACTGCACCAGCTCCTGGACACCCGTCCCAACCTTCACCTGTCCCTGTGCAGACTGGGCAGTATTTAATACCGTCCCCCCCGAGACGATGGACATTCCAGGCCTGAGAGGGGTCCCTGTCAGAACTCGAGCAATGGTGAGCTTCCCTGGTGAGCCCGCATTTCCCGTAACGCTCTGTAGCACCTGGGCCTGACCCTGAGGGCCCTTCAGAATCACTATTTTAGGAGCTGCCTGCCCTGCAGTCTGTTGCGTTACTGCAGTAAGCTGCTGGGGCTGTAACTGCTGTGTGGTCACTTGAGCCCCCGACACAGGCACAGCCAAGGGGGAGCTCAGCAGAACCGCAGTCGAAGCACCACTGCTACTGGCCATGGGGAGAGACGTCTGAGGCACTGCCTGAACGGAAACCGGAGCGGAAGCAACAGACACCGCCTGGGTGAGGGAGACCTGGGTTGTCTGCTGTGTCTGGATCAGTACAGAAGGAACAGCAGGTGCTGGAGCTGGGGTAGGGTCAGGGGTAGGGTCACTAAGGACAGAGACATTGGTGTCCGGGGCTGGATCTACAGGGGGATCCACCTGACCCAGCGCCAATTTTAGAGCTTCCTCAACTGGGTCTGAAGAACCCTGAGAGAAGGCATCCTCCGGCAGGGAGTCCAGGTTAAACAGTGGCGTGTCATCGAACAGGTCCATAATTGGATCCGCCATCTTGTCAAAGAGTTTATGAAAAACAGGAATGCAAATAAAAGGCCCAGCCTGCGATGCTACGGAAGCTGTCCACCAGATACAGAGAGCGAAAGGTTGTTTTAGAAACTGTGTGGCAAAATCATTTGAAAGTATTTCGGTACAGCCTAAAAGGACAAAACCTTGTATATCAAACCATAGAATGGGACAAATATATTCCCACTTCGAATGGAAGTTAAACACAATTAAATTCATTCAGAGTGATTTGATGTGCAATAGTTAACTGTAGAGAAACCTCAGAGACCCCGTTACATTGGTGATGACAGGAACCAAGGTGTCAATAGAACCATAGACATTTTATGTATATCAAAAAGGCCAGTGAACCGAAAAGTGTCTTTTGAGATTTAATATGTGATGGTAAAATAGTGATAGTTCGGGGAAAAAAAGGTTTTCTATGGGAACTATTTTGCCTTATAACACCCTGCAGATATCTCTCCACCATTAATGAATTTAAAACACATTTTAGGCCAAAATCTTATCAAAACTAATGTTAAACAATGTCTCAGGCATTAGGCAGCACATTCATAACTATTCTGTGTAATACCTATCTGTGAAGGAGCTTTCGGTGGCATTACACGTTCCAGCAGTCTGGTTCCTATCAGCACCCTTATAATAACAATTCTGTTATTGTCTTCATCCTAACCATTTAATATTGGAAATGAGTGGAGCTGTTCCTTTTGGTCCATTCACTGTGAAATTTGAATACATTCTAAAGGGCAACTACCATGTCTGTAAAAAAAAATCTGCAAAAAATAAAGAAATTGAAAAAATGAGATACAAGGTTTTGTCCCGGCGGTGGTGATTCGTAAGTACAGACTGTAAGGCACTTACATTCAAGTTGGCAAATCAAGCTCTCCAGTCATTTACCCTCCAGTTTTCCAAGCAGAAGTGGATGGCAGGTGGACAACGTGGTGGGGAGGGAGGCAAAGGAAAAGAGGGTCCTCCTGTTCACCCCACCCTCCTTCCTCTCCTTTACTCTCGGAAACTGCCCTTCACCAAGAAAGTCCTTCGATGCCCTGATAGAGGCAAGTGAGATCCTAGTGTGAAGTGGGGAAACAAAGGCAAGCGGACGTTTCAACTGCACATTTCAAATGGTCCACTCATGCTAAACGGATGACCGATCGCAGGATGCGCTCAAGCGGATCACTTACAGGAATAACACCGCACATTTCAAATGATCCACTTGTGCTAAAACGTTGGCCAATCTCGGGATGAGCCAAAGCGGATCACTTACGTGAACAATACTGTACATTTCAAATGAGCCACATGAGCTAAATGGCCGGCAAATCGCAGGTTGAGCACACCAACATGTCAACCATGAGGTGCATCAATACGAAATCAATAACAGTCCAATGAGCTGCAGGTAGAAACTCTTAAAAGTAAGCGAAATTGCGATGTTTGTGGTTCAGAATAGGAAAACTATTGAGATAACTGGCTGAAAGTTCTGAGACGGGGCTGCTGCTGAACGGACTCTGCACCAACCTATTAATGTTAGCAACAGCTAACGTTACATTCAACAGCCATTCATACTGCTGTGTGTACAAGAAAAGTGTGACTGGGAAGACTGCAGGCTTTTTTTACTGCTCGCCGGAGTAAAACTGAACCCTCCGTCGTTTACTTTCATCACTCTCGCTCGGACTCCCTTTCAATCCCCCTCTCATCAACAAACCGGACCAAACCAAAGGCAACGTGCTACAAAACCCATAGCCTGAGTAAGGTACGCTACGTATAGACACGGACAAGGCCGCAAAGCTGTTTCGACTCGGCAAGGTCGGTTTTTCGGGTACAATAACCACTAAAACGCTACCGTTCACTCGTCTAACTTTCTCCGTTATAATTTCGGGGTACTAAATTTACCTTAGCGTCGACACACATGGCTTTCTCCGTCTCACAACACTGTACGATTACAGGAAACGGCCAGCGTAGAGCAGGAACTATCTTTCTTGCCAGCAGCAACGTCGAAGGCGCGTCCCCGATTCCCATCCGCCTCGCTGTGATTGGACAGCACTGCAAGGGGCCGGCGGTGTTCAGCGTTTCCATTGGTCCGTGTATACGCCCGTCAAATTGGCGTGCGGAATTACTGGGCGGGCTCCATTAATCGAGATCGGTCAGAGAGCGAGTTCGGTTGGCGAGGTAGTCAATGCGGCCTACTTGTTATCAGTGGGGCTTTCCCGAGACGGCTCGTTTCAATTTACGGCGATAGATGTCAAATACTATGAGTGACCGGCGAGACCCCTATTTTATCCGAGTTTATATGAAGAAAAACGCGGGTGCATCCTAACTTACAGCAGCTTTTGGCTCAGCGTCTGATAAAGCCTATTCTGTTAAATGATATCAGCAATATTAAGATGAACCCTGTGTTGAGGCAATTAAATAAAATAATATTTCTACATTATTCCATCAATAAGATAAACAAAGTCAAACTGGGGGGTTTGATGCGAAATGCTCCATTCAAGAGAAACTGACCATGTCAGAATTGTTCGTAGTGATGGTGATGGGAACCAGACGTCTGAAGAGCGTGATGCCTCGGAAGGCTAGCTCTCTGGAAGTTAAAATGGTTATGAAAACGCGGCCTGGTGCCTGAAACGTTGTTTAAAGATAGAAGTTTTGGTCTAAAATGTCGTGTTAATGCATTTATTTTAATCTTTTCACGGTGGAGGGGTACATGCAGGGTGTTGTGAGGCAAAATAGTCCCTAAAGAAAACTTATTTTTACTGATTTTCTGCTATTTTACCATCATTAACGTCACATATAAAAACAGAGAAGACGTGTAGGTTCACTGGTGGTTGTGGAGAGTAAATAAAATGACTATATTAGTGTTGTAGATATTAGGACCCCTGGTTCCTATCACCACCACTGTAAAGAAATCAGAGTCGGTAAGTTTCTCTACAAATGAACCATTTCACACCAGACCGCTCTGAATGACTGTTTACATCTCAACAATGAAATTATGCAAACATTTTAAAAAGTCAGTGGAGTTCCCCTTTAAGGGGAATATTAGAAGGGGCTTATTAAAAGGAAATTCCACCATTTTTTATTTCCACATTACTCCGTTGTTAAGATGTAAACAAAGTCATTCAGAGTGGTTTGGTGTAAAATGCTCTGTTCTTATCAAGTAAGCGTTGTTCACAGCGATGATTATGGGATCCAGACGTCTGAAGAGCATAATGCCTCTAAAGGCTAGCTCTCACAAAGTTGTTACACAAAATAGTTATGAATACGCAACCTGATGCCTGAAACATTGTTTTTATAATAGTTTTGAGTTTAGCTTTTGGCTAATAATGTTTTTTAAAAGGCAAAATAGACCCCAGGAGAATTTTTATTTTTATTTTTCATATATATCACTATTTTACCATCATCGACAACTAAGAAGCAAGATGTAGGTTCACTGGTCATTATACATAAAAATGGCAATATTTACATGGTAGATATTGCTGTAATCATTTGTCATTAATACACATAAAACACCATGAAAACTTTAGATGTGGGCTTGAAAAGAAAAATTTTTCAGAATTCTTTTGGACATTTAAGTTAAATAATAAGAACATATACAACTTTTATGTTCACATAATAACTCTATAATATAATAATAAGCATAATATATTATTTATAAATTTTGTATTTGCATTTCATTTTTGTACAATGTGTTAAAAAAGACATAAAAATATGCACTAAAGTTTGCAGAAAATAAATGATTTTATAAAATAAATATATTATCATGCAGTTCTCACTGCCCACAATGCAGATGTAACAAAACATCTAGTAGCTAGCAGTTCCAAGATACTACAGCATAACAGGTGGTGAAACATGGACAAGAGGAGATTTACAGACCATCGATGTAAAAAAACGTCTATTCACTGAATTGAAAGCCAGTCCTTCTTATATAAGGAAATCATTAATTTAACCTCTTACATGGCCCGAAGTTTATTTACACACTTCTATAACCTAAGAATAGCTCAACCAGTTTGCATTGAAATCCATGTAGTTACTGAATAATAAGCCTTAGTATGAAATAAGCCTGGGATTGTAAGGGGTTAAAGGGTCCATATCATTGCTAAAAGCTGTGCAGTCTCCATAGACAAACACTGGCAGTAGAATGGGTCGTACTGAAGAGCTCATTGACTTCAAATCAAATCACGTTTATTTTCACATCACATTTACACAGGTGCGAAGGTGAGTGATAAAAATAAATAAAATAAATAAAAATATAAGAAAAGAAACAAAAAATAACTTTATATGTGTGTATACATTTATATACATATATATATATATACACCAGTGTTGCACCTTTCCAATATACAATTTTGTACAGTAATATAAGTTATGAAATAAAAGCTATGATATGTACAGTTGTACACTTTCGATATGTGCAATATGTGAGTCTGAGGTAGATAAATAAATAAGATGCAGGTACACAGGGGATAGAATATTGATATATAGATATTACAGATTACAAGATATGTATAGAAGATGTACAAGATGTCAATCTATATGTGCAGGTTGGTAGGTTGGCTAGATACAGTAGTTACAGTAATATCAGAGTGAGTCTGTTTGTGGTGTGGTTGCAGTGTAGATTATTCATGTAGATCATCATGATGATGACTCAGAGGTGTAGTGATGGGCTCCTAGACCGATACACTAGCACTGCTGGCTGTTCAGCAGCCTAATGGCCCAGGGGAAGAAACTGTCTCGGAACCGGCTGATTCTGGACTTTATGCTTCTGTACCTCCTCCCGCTCGGCAGCTGTGAGAACAAACAGTGGCTTGGGTGGGCGGAGTCCTTTAGAATCCTCCTGGTCTTCTTCAGGCAGCGGCTCGTGTATAAATCCAGGAGGTTTGGGAGCTGGACCCTGGTGATGTGCTGGAGCTGGACCCCGGTGATGTTACACATGACATTGTTATAAAATACCATCTTTGCCACAAGTCAGTTCATAAAATTTCTGCTCAGCTAGATCTGCCCCGGACAACTGTAAGTACAACAGCCCAGCTATGAAGAGTAGACCATGCAAACTCACAGAGTGGAGCTGCCAAATGCTGCAGTGTATAAGGCCCAAAAATCACCTCTCCTTTGTGGCACCACTCACTACAGAGTTCCAGACTGTCTCTGGAAGCAACATCAGCACAAGAACCGTGTGTTGGGAGCTTAAGTGGGTGGCCAAGCAGATGCACACAAGCCTAAGATCACCATGCACAATGCCAAGTAAAGCATGCCACCACTGGACTCTGGAGACTTGCTTTCGGAACTGAAGAATCATGGTTCTCTATCTGGCAATCTGATGGATTAATCTGGGTTTGGCAGATGTCAGGAGAACGCTAGCTACCAGAATACATAGAGCCTACTGTAAAGTTTGGTGGAGGAGGGATAATCATCTGGGCCTGTTTTTCAGGGTTGGACCAGGCCAGATATATCATGAATGAGGAGACCAGTCACTGGTTGAAATATGAATAAGGAAGCTCATAACTTTCAACATGGTTTCTGTTTACAGAGAAAATTCCTCCCTTCAGTAGAAAGAGTCAATCAACTTGCTGTTTAAGCCGCAAGTGGGAAAACCTCTCCCTCGTTGTGGAGATCTGCAGAAAATCTGAGAAAACTGAGAAATCTCTTTTTTTGTGCATTATTTGAGTCAAACAGAACAAACTATTTATGCTGGTTTTGTCAAATTTGATCAGTGATTTCAAATAATTGTTTGAAATGTTAATATATATATATATATATATATATGTATATATATATATATAAATTTTTTTTTAAATTTTGTCCAGACCTCTTAGTTCCAGTGAAGGGTAATGTTAATGCTACAGCATACAAAGACATTTTAGATGAATACATGCTCCCAACTTTGTGGTAACAGTTTTACAAAGGCCCTTTCCTGTTCAAGCATGACTGAGCCCCTGTGCACAAAGTGAGCACCATAAAGACATGGTTTGATGAGTTTGATGTGGTGGACCACGAGTGGCCTGCCCAGAGCCCTGACCTCAACCCCACTGAACACCTTTGGAATTAACTGGAGCATCCAATTCAAGCCAGGCCTTTTCGTCCAACATCAGTGCCTGACCTCACAAATGCTCTTTTGACTGAATGGGCGCAAATTCCCACAGACGCGCTCCAAAATCTTGTGTAAAGCTTTTCCAGAAGAGTGGGGGCTGTAATAGCCGCAAAGAGGAGCACATGGTTTTGGAGTGGGATGTCTAAGAAGATGTCCAGTTTGTACAGGGTAGCCAATCAGAACAGAGATTATTTGCATATATTATTCTAAAAAAGACTGAGGCTGATATAAGTAAAAAAAACACCTCTTGTTTTATGCTAAGTGATAAACAGTGGTTGGAAAGTGGTTGTGCAAAAATGAATTATGATATGGGCCCTTTAAATAAAGGCAACGTGTGAAGTGTTAATAAATAAGGCTAATAAATTGCCTGGTAGCCGTTTTGTCGTTTTGGCCTTTGGCCCACAATAAATACTATGCTTTGGCCCCTAAGAACAAGTTTGGCCACCCGTGCTCTAGGACCAGGAATGACAAAGAGTGATCTAATGTATTGTATACCTGAGAGAGCAAGAGAGAGAGAGAGAGAGACAGAGAGAGAGAGAGAGGGAGAGAGAGAGAGAGGGAGAGAGAGGGAGAGGGAGAGAGAGACAGAGAGAGAGAGAAAGATAGAGAGAGAGAGGGAGAGAGAGAGGGAGAGAGAGAGAGAGAGAGGAGAGAGAGAGAGAGAGAGAGAGAGAGAGAGAGAGAGAGAGAGAGAGAGAGAGAGGAGAGAGGGGAGAGAGAGAGAGAGGGAGAGAGAGAGAGAGAGAGAGAGAGAGAGAGGGAGAGAGAGGGAGAGAGAGAGAGTGCACATGCACATGGTTTATTTATAAGTGTGTCTTTGAACTCATTTCAGCGTAAAAGACTGATTGTGACAGGATACCCTGGTACATCCATAGGAGTCCAGCATAGGCGTGAGTGCCTGCTTGCCAAAAGCTCCATCTGTCTTCTTATGACCGGTGCCTCTGTAAGTTGTATGTGTTTTCTACTGTGCTTCTACGGCTCCCGTTACCAATTTCTGTCTGACCAGAAATCTGGTTTGCAAACAGTCTGTTTACAAATAGTTACTCTGCTATTTATAATATGTCTCTTTTTGAAAGTCAACAAATTTTCATGTAATGGAAGGAAGAAAAGCAGAAAATGTCAAATGGAATTTTACACCACTGTGCAAACGTCAGAGACCACCTTTCATTTGTTTAACTTACAGTCGCTGACTCACAGTCAAAACGGCTTTTGAGCACAAATAATTCATTTTTCAGTGTCAGGAAAAAGTCAGAAATCATATAATTAACAGAAAATAACTATCAATTAAATATAATATTCAAATTCTCACTATTGGTGTGTCCTCTCTTCTTTTCTGGAGACTTGCCTCCACACCTTCAAAGTTCAGTCTTAGAAGTTGGTTGCATTTTCTGCTTTTCACAACCCAAATAATCCCAAACACATTCAGTGATGTTGAGGTCTGGACTCTGGGGTGGTCAGTCCATTGTTCTGAGATCACCAGCAGCTTCTTTTTCATTTGCAAATCACTGTTGTCGGAAAAAAAACCTCATCTCTCCAAAATGGCAACTTTACAGGAGAAGGAAAAAGCCTACTTTACTTTTAATGTAAGTCAATGGAACCAGAATTTTTCCAAGTAATTTTGTGCCGTTTCTTTTGGTCCATTCATCATGAAATTTACACACAATTTAAAGGGCAACAGGCATTTTTTAAAATTATATCAAAAACTGAAAAAAGTCAAAAATGCAAATACGAGGTTTTCTTCCGACAACAGCGAAATTTTCATCTATTTTATTTTCTCAGTAAAGGCTTCTTGACAGCTACACATCCTTTCAGACCCATAGCGCTGAGTTGTCTTCTCACAGTGGAAGGATGGACAGAAACACCTGTTTTTTTTTCAGATCTGATGCAGCTTGATTTTCTCCTCTCTCTCAAAGATGAAAGCTTTAAGTGCTGTTTATCTGATGGGGACAGTTTTGGTTGTCCAGGTCTTGCGGGTGGTTGTTAGGAGTCCCATGTCCTCTGTAACTCAAGTTTGGGAAACTCTTTTTTTTCAGTTATTTTCTTTCACTTCCTTATACAAGTGGATTATCTTATATCTTTGCGTGGTATAACTTCTCATCAGAACAAATGGGCGAGCAAAATAATGTTTAAATAAGCAGTTAAATTTATTATTTTGCTTTACAAACTTCATATATATGTCTCAAAAACAGGTGATGGTAGAATGAAATAAGAAGAAGAGAAGTGCAACCCTGTAAGTGGAAAGAAAGCTTTAACCGAACACCAGGTTTTGTAGGTAACTGTGAAAGGGAAAAGAATATGCATTATAGATGTTTTATAACAGTGCTATCAGAAAAAAAGTCACATTCAAATGAATTATCTGTTTAATTTTAGCCAATTTTTCTATTCAACTACAAAAGTTTCTGTAGTTTTTATTCATCTCTCAAGAACTCTTACTCGAAAAAGATAGAATTCAAATAAAAATTAAAACTATAATTAGAATTAGGACAAAATCTATATTTTGCATCACAAATGTCCTCTTCTCTGATACAGACTCACTGGCCACTTTATTAGGAACACCTACCTTGCATCTACAGTCATGGGCCAATGCAGGTCCATGTTCCATATATAGGCCTTGCTCTGTTGAAGCCTGTCCAGACCACTTGCCTCAACCGAGTCAGGCTTACTGCAAACTCCTAGGATCACTTACAGCTCAGTTGGTTGAAGATCACTCTCAAACATACAGTAGATCCTAATCTCTGGAATAGCATTCTCAGAGGATTTTAGGAACGCAAACGTGATAGATGCTTCAAATCTAGATTAAAAAGATATTTGTTTAACCAGGCATATGCCAAGAATGCCTAGAAACAGTGCTGAGAATGATCCACTGCCCAAATATTACCTGCTCAGTGGTGGGCCAGACCACTGATAAGCAGGGTAAGGCTAAGAAATTAGAGAAACAGATGGACTACAAGTAACCTTAGAACTACACAGTGTACCTATATGGTACATGGAAAAAAGTATAGTAGATTCAAAGTTGGTGTATGTAATAAAGGGGCCAGTGAGTGCATTCATTGGGCTGGTTTTCCAGACAAATACATAGATTAAGCTTGAAAAAATGACATGTCAGTAGGCATGTCGCATTGAAAATACTGTTGGTCCAGGCCTAAAACTCTGGGCCTGGAAAACCAGCCACTGCTTCCACCTTCCCTCGCCTCAACGCAGCTTCTCTGCCCAGCCCTTTTGTATTTACAAGGGGAAGACCAGGAAGCCAGAGAAGGTGGAGTACTTCCAGCCTCCCCATCAGGTTGCCCCGCTCCAGTTTCAGGTAGGCCTTGTCGCCCCTCTCCATGATCACTAAACCAGCATTGGTGGCTGCCTCTCGGGTTACATCCTGGTCCCCAGCGAAGGCAGAAATCATTGGCCATCCATTGAGCATCAAGCTCACCTACAAGAGACGGAGAGAAAACAGTCATAATCCATATTTTTATTCACCAACATAAAATGTATTCATCTAGAATGGAACACTACAGTCTTAAAAACAGATGATGCTTCAAGGGTTCTTTAGGAAAGAAAATGGTACTATATAGAACCATGAACACTCAAAGAACAATCTCCATGATTGAAGGGTTCTTTGCATCATGAAAGCGTTCTTCAGACTGATGGAAAATGTGCATGAATTTGCTATAAACAGTTCTATATAGAACCTTTTTGAAAATGGTTCCATACAGCACCCAAAAGGGTTCTTCTATTTTTACAAGCTTGACACAGTGACAATAGAAGAACTCTTTTGGGTTCTATACAGAACCATCTATAGCACATTCTACATCAATCCAAAAAACCCTTCCATGAACCCTTTAATCATGCAGAAGGCTCTTTGAGTGTTCATGGGTCTATACAGAACCATTTTCTTTACTAAAGAACCATTGAAGCACCATCTTTTTTAAGAGTGTGGGATTCAAGGTGAGTTTTTAAAAATGTAAATTATAACATTACACTATATTTTCTTTGCTTAAATACTTTAAAATACACTGAATTATAAGGAAAAAAAGAATTTAAGAAGCTATATATACACACTTAAAAATGGTTCTTTAGTAAAGGCAATAGTTCTATTTAGAGCCATGATTGCTATATAGAACTATTTCATGCCTAAGTGATTATTTGCATGGTGAAATGTATCAACATCATAACAATAGCAGATAGAACCATATTGGTGCCATATAGAACCATATACAACACATTCTCCATCAATCTAAGGAACCATTTTACCATGCAAAGAACCACTTATGCATGAAATAGTTCTATATAGAACTCATGGCCTTAAATAGAACCTTTACTAAAGAACCCTTGAAGAACCATTTTTTAAGTATGTAGTACAAAAATATGTTTGTTCTGTTTTTGGGTGAGAGGGTGGGTTTAGGGTAACTTTTGGGACAAATCTGTTGTTCTAATGAGCCAGCTGTGGTACACAGGCCCACTTTGGGCAGGGCTGTTCTAAACCAATTAAAGGTTTTTCCTAGAACCATAAATCCAAGCCAAGACACATTTAGGAATTGAAGTGTGAATTACATTAGTTTGCCATTAAAATGTACCTGTATGGTTTGTCTGTTGTAAGCTTTTACTACGTGGAAGTTGAAACTGTACACCCCTCTTCTCGGAGCTAAGAAGATGCTGCTCTCCTGGTCAAAATGACCACCAACATTCACCAAAATCTGTGGACAAGATTAGGCAACAGTACACATACTGTCCACATAAAAGGACTGTCCAATAAGCTTTGCAGTCAGGCTGATCTAGTGACTTTCTTGCTTACCTGGTCAAAGTAGATGATCATGGTGCGATTGCTCATGTCTGTGGGTTCGTGGTTGGTTTGGCGTGTTGCAGAGAAAGCCACCCGGCCGGTTCCTGAGCGCACCGACATGCCCAGTGCATTATTTGCTGGTTCTGAAGATGGTGTGGAATCACAGACCACGAGACATTTCCCCTCCAGCACAATGGGCTCAGTGTCATTCTGACCCCTGGCCACCAGGGGGTCCCACAGCAGCAATAAGCCAAGGAGCAGAGTGGGCACTCCAACAGGTAATTCTGGCGGCATGCTCTTAATTGGTGAAGATATCTTGCTCTGAGATGACTATGCCAAATTATTTCTTATAACCTTATTATAGATCTTAATAATTAAGTGGGATGGATTAAGAATAAAGATGAAAGTCACGACTAATTGCTTTCGTGTCTTTTCTTCTCTGTGTCCGTTTCAATGGCTTTTGAAAAATGTCACCACTGTGACTTTCTTTGTGGGTTGTCACATTAACTGTGGGAGGCCAAGGACGTTCACAGGTTCCCTGAAACCGGAATAAAATCCATCATCAGATGATCTGTGAGGAGAGAAAAGCACAAGGAGAGAGATGTGACAAAAGTGGTGCCCGCTTACAATAATAAAGGTGGCAAAAAAGGGTCCTTTGAAGTAATTCCTCAGAAGAACCACTTTTGGTTCTCTAAAGAACATTTCAAAGGACAGTTCTCTAGAAAGCTGAACTGAAACCAGTCAGTTGGAGAGCTGGTAAAGGAACGGCTTGTTGAGACACAATTTTCCACTTGCTTCTTTAGCACTGGAGCTACGAGGCTAACGTTGCTAACACTAGAAGTCAATAGTCACCCACATCTTTTCAGTATACACATCCACAAATCCTCTCTGAAACCTCATCCAGGTCTTCATTAAGACCACACAGACTTGTCATTGTGGTTGAGGACACAGTATGAGTCACTGTGAGCTATGAAAATGAACTTCAACGAGTGGCTGAGCACTGTGGGCCTGCTATTCTAGACGCAGGTGTTGTGAAACATCTTTATAAATGGAAACTACAGAAACTGCGAATGTAATCTTTGTTTCATGTGCCTTTAACTCTGTGCATGCGACTGTTGTCTGAAGTGGCTGCGTGCTTTCAGCTACACGGTGATTTTTTTTCCCCTTTTTTATAGTTCACAGTAAAGAAACGAAATTCTCAAGGGTTGCGCGAGGCCGAAAATGCCTTCGCAAGCTTACAAACTCGCATACTTTCTGTGGTTTCGCGTTGCCTGTCGCAGATGCTCCACTAATGCAGTAGTTTCATGATTACTGGAAAACGATCCTATCACAGTTCTCACAATGGCGACGTGTGAGTCCAGAATACTGGCACCATTTAAAGTGGAATGAGAAAATTCGAACAAGAAGCCGGCAAATACAAAGCCAACGTCAGCCTCGTGCTCGTGTGACCCCAAAAATAAGATAACCTATTTGATGCTTATTACTAGTTAGTACTATGGAAAAATAGACTTAACATCTCACATTTACACTGTAAGCCCAGATAAGTTGAATTTAGTTAAAAAAATTTGAGGAAACCGGTTGCCTTAAAAAAAATTAAGTAATGTGTAATGAAAACGAGTTAGAATAACTATAATTTTTGAGTTAGGCTAACATAAACATACGTTTGCACAATTCATAAATTCTAATTATTTTAATGTCTTGAAATTGTGATTTGACTATATGTTTCATTACACAGACAAAAACTCTATTTGGGTGCCAGCTTGCTCACCACCGACAGATTACACTTTACTGTGAACCTGGTCACTGACCATAACAAACGTCCACTTATTAGCAAAGAAAACGATAATTTTCACTCTTAGGCAACAACACATGTCAGACAGCTGAGTAAAGCATATATAAAAAACATTTGTCTGAAGAAAGACAGCCTGGGTGGAATGAAAGCACACTGACGCTGAGTCAAACAAAGGGAAAGAAACACTCAATATGCAAATAGATGGAGCCAAGAGCCAATGGGAAGAAATATACGTTTTATCTAATAAAATCGTGTTTTAACAAAACAAACATGTAACTGTATTTCACAGCTTACATAGTTTCACCCAGTTTCACACATTTGTTCAGCAACTTTATTGAAGAAAGAAACAATTAAAACCAACAGAAATGTCATCATGTTTTGAATGTGGGGTTTCTGTTGCCATAGCAACAGACTAAACTAAATAGCAATAAGTTAATTCAACTCAAAAATGCCAATTGGGTGTACAAAGTCATCAAAAACGTTGCCTTAACTTAAAATTTTTGAGCGATGTGTGGGATACACTGAGTTTTATGTACAACAGACTTAATTTATTTGAGTTAAAACAAAATGCGGGATTACAGTGTAGGAGGTATTTAATAGATGCACATTTCACAGTGAAACATTGGTGTGTCTGCCAAAGTGTTCAGCACACTTCTTGCAAAACGAAGCTCCTCAAAGTCGTCCATCTTTGTTTCATGGTACGCCTCTTTTTTACCAACCAATCACAGCCTTTGTCGCGTAGCGTATTTGTCCACGGAGTCCACCCAGCTGCCATGTGTGCGACATGGCGAACGAAGCCTCCACATGACGTCTGCGGTTGTTTATTTTCTCCTCAATTACATCATATGGTTCGCTGAGGCCAGGTGAACGTCGCCTCCGCACAAAGTATGCTGAGGCCTTTAGTCACACTGTGTCTTAAACCACATTATCAAGTCTAAGGAACCTTATTGAAGACCTGGATGTGGTTTGAGAGAAGTTTTAGGGATGTATTTACAGAAAAAGATTTGGGTGACTATAGACTCTAGTGTTTACTTGCATCTTAGTGTTTGAACCAAAGATTTGAACACAAGCATGTCTTGGCTGATCAACTTCATCTGGGTTAAGTGGAAAACTGCATACATTCGATTTTTCACTGAATTATTCCTTTAAAGCAAAGTGCTGGACTGCAACAATGCCACAGTGAGCAAATAGTATATGGTATCTTACTGCTTTATTATTGTTATTATTAATGCAACAAATATCATAGTAATAGTATTTAAGACTCAAATCTTGCCACTGAAATTTTCATAAATGAACGTAATTATGAACGTAATGGCGTAAGTGAAGAAGTCAAGAAACAAACTTTTTATTGGGGCTGCAAAAATTAGATAAAAATAAAAATGATGCCAAGAAGAAAAAGCATAATGCAATCAAAACTAGGATGGCAGCTACATAATATATCATATAAGTATCAACTGTACTATCTTTTAAACAAAACTATTAGCATCAGACAAGGGTTTAGATTTGATAGTTCAAACCAATATTTAACATATTTATTGTATTCCAGATGAACAGAACCTTTAGCAGCCCTATAGAAATATATGTAAAATTCTTCTGTAATGCTAACCTAACACATGTAGTTGCAATTTATACGTTTTATAAATATGTATGTAGCAGCATTGGCAGATATGTACATGAAAAATATTGTATATCAGTATCTATCCACCATTTAGGCCCAGTGCCAGAGGAAAAACAAAACTGGGGGAGTACAGCGGGAAAGAAAAAAGGTAATGAAAACACAGGCTGAGAAACACGCCATAGATCTGTTCAAAGGAGCTACACATTCTGGTAAGAATCAATAGGAGAGCTACATTTACAGCAAATCACCAAAAGTCCACCCATTTAACATACAGTGCATCCCTAAAGTGCAGCTAACAGCCTGCAAGGTGCTCCTATTTTAATTAGTGTAGCCTTTTATAAGCTTTCATAAAGCTTAGTTGCTTGATTTTTGCTGCTTTCCATTATAGAACCATATACAAAATATTGGTGGGGCATTGCCCCACAAAATAGCTGGACCTGTCACAGTTCCTATATCAGTGCATTCCTAAGTGTTAATGCTCCAAAGTCATTGTATGCAGGGAGACGCTAGCGAATGAGGCTATAAAGCCGTCCAATTACCATTTGGAGATAAAACATTCCTCCAAAATAGAAAAACATTGACTAAAAACAGACCTAAGGCAGGAAACCCCTTCCATAACCCCTTAACAGCCCATGGGCCTGTCAACACGCCCAGAGTTTTACTATACACTTCAATAACCTAAGAACAGCTCTCCCAGTTAGCACTGAAGTCACTGTAGCTACTGAATAATAAGCCTCTGTAAGTATTAAGCCTGAGATGTTAAGGAACCAAGAGTAGGTCTTCTACAGCATCGCTCCAGAGAAGCCTTTTGGCACCTTCTCAGGCAGCAGGTTATGAGAGGGAGGAGGAAGAGGAGAAAAGGAGGGGGGAACGAGGCCGTGTTGGATCATTGTCAGCAGAGGGAAGCGGCATGCAAGGACCGGGGAGAGAAAAAGGAACAACTCCACTGAGAGACCATCTGTCTTTCACACGCGCCCTTTCCCTCCTGACGTTCCACAACATGCAGCCCACTCTGTCCTACCACCCACCCACATACAGCTTCCACTCTCTTCGCCGTTCCTCCAGCATGCTGCTTCAACTGTGTCTCTCCAGTTTCTTGGCATGCTGCTTACAGGCAACTCTAATATGCAAAAGCTTCAACTATGACATATGTCTCCAAAAGGTGTCTTACATCAACAATCGCACTTTCAGCAGACCGCTAACGCTGTCCGAATACAAACGACAAATACGACGTCATACTTTAATATAGTTCTTTCTTTTCTGTGATGCTCGAATATCTAGTGTTAGAGAAGCCTTTCACAATCCTACATTAATAGAATTAGCACTCATATTACCTTTAAAATAGACTTAATTCCAGCGTTTATCTAAATTTCAGGAGAACAGTGTAACTTAATATGCTGCAAATTGAATATTGCAATAGTTGTGCACTTAAAATTATTTCAATGTATCAAACTCTCATTGAATCAAACTAAATAACTCAGAATCTCAATAAAATAGAATATTTCCTGAGGCATTTCTAAGTGAGAAAGAGAATAGATCACCTGTTTGATGTAGCGGTATGTCCTCTGGACTGGAGATAAGGCAAGAGACTGGAGAAGCAGTGCAGCTCAGCGGTACTTATCCTGTCTGCCAAAGACCCTCCCCACAGCACCAACTACATCTCTCTCTCTCTCTCTCTCTCTCTCTCTCTCTCTCTCCCCACCTTCCGCTCTATGTCCCTCTATTTCTGCCTCAAACCTAAATGTACGCCTGGAAAATAAGGTGAAAATATCTTTAAAACTACAGGCAACCAGACCTGGTCAAACAGTCCTGTCAAGTGAGCCTGTTAACTAAACCACATTAAATGCTAGTTTAGCTGATGGAACGCTCCCTGACTTGGTGGTGGCGTGTTAGTGTGTGTTGCACTGGTATGAGTGGATCAGACACAGCAGTGCTGTTGGAGTTTTTAAACATTGTGTCCACTCACTGTCCACTCTATTAGACACTCCTACCTTGTTGGTCCACCTTGTAGATGTAAAGTCAGAGATGATAGCTCATCTGCTGCTGCACAGTTTGTGTTGGCCATCCTCTAGTCCTTCATCAGTGGTCACGGGAAGCTGCCCCTGAAAGCTGGATGTTTTTGGTTGGTGGACTATTCTCAGTCCAGCAGTGACACTGAGGTGTTTAAAAACTCCAGCAGCACTGCTGTGTCTGATCCACTCAGACCAGCACAACACAGACTAACACACCACCACCACGTCAGTGTTACTGCAGTGCTGAGAATGATCCATCACCCAAATAGTACCTGCTCTGTGAGGGTCCATGGGGGTCCTGACCACTGAAGAACAGGGTAAAAGGGGGCTAGCACAGTATGCAGAGAAACAGATGGACTACAGTCTGTAACTGTAGAACTACAAAGTGCACCTATACAGTAAGTGGAGCCGATAAAATGGACAATGAGTGCAGAAACAAGGAGGTGTAATTAATCTGTCTGCTTGGTGCATTTTGGCAAACAGAATTTGGTGAGCAAAAAAAATGTTTATAAAAGTATATTTAAAGTGTTTAAATGTTATTTTTTTGCAATAAGCCCTAGTTAATCTGATCAGGGATTTGCAGGAAAAAATATTTATTTGATTATATAAATTCAAAATATCTGAATCGATCTCCATCCCACCAGCAGAAAGGCCAGTATGGGGCCTAAAGAAAGAGGTTAACCACTGTTCCACCTACATTATTTCAAGAAACTCTGATTACTTTTCTCACAATAATTTATTTGTGATGGTCACTGTAAAAAGATAAATTGATTTGTGTTGTATTGAAAAGTTAATTGAAAAGTGTATCTTAGCTTATATTAAATATTGCAAAAGACAAATTGCAATTAAGTTATGGTTATGTCGGCCAGCATTTCATGTTCGCTGCATACTCCAAGCCTTTTACATTTTGTGAAATCTGCTTGCTATCTCATGTCAGAGTGGGTAATCAGGAGAGTCGGGAGAATTCTTAGTGGGCCAATAGCGTTTGGCCTAGTTATTTTGACAAGCACAAGAATAACAACTTCAGTTGTTCATTGACAACACTGATTATTTTAATTGTTTACATCTAATGTTGACATCTAAATAGCTGTTAAATGAATAGCAAACAAGTCATGCAAACTAGCACCAAAGCAGTAATGCAGCAGTTAACACTGCACTGATTTTGAAGGAACAGTTGCTGTAATGTAACATAATATCTAGAAATTCAACATCAGTCGGTCTACTCTTCGCCCACATGCTCATGTAAATCATATGAAGAGGGATTCTACTAATTTTTCAAAACTTCTCAATAATTAAATCATTAAGAAGTAAATAAAGTCAACCAGATTAGGTTGTGAAATTTGTTGTTTCTAAAACTTACCCAGTCAGAATTGTTCATAATGATGATGATGGGAACCAGAGGTCTGCAATGTTAAGTGCTTCTAAAAGCTACATCATAGAAAACTTTTAAAGAAATAATAATAAGTACACTGCATGGTGGGGTGGCACGGTGGCGCAGTGGGTAGCGCTGTCGCCTCACAGCAAGAATGGCCTGGGTTCGATTCCCGGCCGGGCGACCAGGGTCATTTCTGTGTGGAGTTTGCCTTTTCTCCCCGTGTCTGCGTGGGTTTCCTCCCCCAGTCCAAAAACATGCAGTCAGGCTGATTGGACATGCTGAATTGCCCCTAGGTGTGAGTGAGTGTGTGACTGACTGACTGTGTATGTCTGTCTGTCTGTCTGCCCTGCGATAGACTGGCGACCCGTCCAGGGTGTATCCTGACTTCCGCCCAATGACAGCTGGGATAGGCTCCAGCACCCCACCGTGACCCAGGAGGATAAGTGGTTTAGATGATGTATGTATGTATATACATTGCATGGTGCCAGAAAAAATGTTTCATTATAGTTCTAAAGAAAGGTTTTGGCCTAAAATGTATTGTGACAAATACATTAATGTACACACGAGGAAACTCTTTTTGATTCACCCCTACTTTACAATTATCAACCTTTCATGTAAAGCTCATAAGTCACATAGGTTCACTGGTCATGTTGGATAGTAAATGAAATGGCTATTTTCCTTTGCAGACATTGTGATGCCTGGTTCCTATCACCACCACTGTAAAGAAGTCTGAGTTTGAACGTTTCTCCACAATGAATCACTTCACACCAAACCACTCTGAATGACTTTGTTTACATTTCAATAATTAAATTATGCAAAACTTTTGAAAAACCAGGTGGAATTCCCCTTCAATTATATCACATTTCAAGTCAGCATAGGGTGGAATAGCAGTTATAGATTATAATAATTAATTGCAATAGCAATGAATGCCAGGAGTGAAAAAAAAAAACGTTATAGTTTATGACTGAAAGGCCAGGTCATGTTTTTCTGAGGATGGAAATCCTGCTGTTGAGCTCTGGTTTATAGAGGCCGAAGCCCAGGCACACAGGCTGGGAGAAGCTGGTGCTGAAGTTGTACAGAGGACGCAGGGCGGATGACGGCCCCACCTCAGAGAAGGTGATAGAACCAGAGGTATAGTCCAGAGAGACTGCCAAACGGTTTCCAGACATTTTAGCCGAGAGCCGAGTTTTCTTTCGGTTGTGCCAGGCTGCAAGCTTTCTGTCATGCTGCTGAGTCAGGCTCCATGATACCTGCATCAGTCAGGAAAATAATCAAGTAAAAAATCAAACAATCATCCAAACAATCAGTATTCCTTCTGCTGAGAAAGCTACAGTACGGCAGTCATAACTGTCCGATTATACTCGATTACTTAAAGTAGACATATTTTACATCTATTCTTTTCTCTGTTTAATGTACTTCCTCATGCTCTTTGTGATGAGTGCGGGCAAAATGCTTTAATTTGGCTTAGAATGTGCTTGAAGCTGGAATTTTCCTGATTTGTGAAGAAAGGGTTGTTTTCTGGGCGTTGATTCGATATTCAAACAAGAAGACTCTCAGTGGGCAAGTCCATGTGGAGGTGGGGGGGGGGTGTATGACTGGGCAGAATATATGCGGGGGCTGTAGGCGACCACAGCACTGTGAGACTGTATAGTGCAGGGGTGTCCAAATTTTTTCAAAGAGGGCCAGATTGGACCATGTCAAAATAACCATGGACCGAAATATCACTGACAAATGATTAAAAATCTTAAGTTTTTCCAAAATCTGAAAATTGTAGACTAATGAATCAAACTTAGCATCTTGCTGGCAATCCATTTCGAGAATTTGGTGATGACCCCTCAAACACAGATAAATCTGCCGCCAGAGGAGTTATAGCGAGTGCGTGTTCACGCTAGTCCGAGTGGTCTGTGAGCTACTGTATAAAAGATGCACAAGGATCCATTTATTGCTGGATTGCTCAATCGGAGTAATTTGGATTGGTAAGTTTGTGGGAGAAGAAAGACTCCCAAACTATAGCCAACCAGTGTTGTGCATTACAATGTAATTCAATGGTAATGTTATAGTATTGGTTGGTGGGCCCCTTATAACACACTCTAAAACATATGTCTGCAGGCTGTTTTTGGCCCTGGGGCAGGACTTTGGACACCCCTGGTAATCTGGTATAGCGTCACATAGCAGAGGGGTGCTATAGAACTCATTTAAAGAGGTTCAAGCTCATTTTTACACTCTGTTCATGTTAATTAAATAAAACTTTCAACAGAATTTATAACACTTGGAATCAGTTAACTGCCTCTTCAGAAAGTCACTGTTTTCAAGCTGAAAAATATAAGCTAATGATGTTAGCTGACAGACAGTAACATAACAGACAGTTAGCATTTGCCTGTTTATATTAAAGACTGACTGCCTTCCTCTGTGTGAATTTCAAGCCACATGTGATCTTCTGTGGTCTCGAAATGACTTTAATTTAATATAGTAATGGCAAAATGCTGAGTAGGGCACTGAGAAAGTGAACAGTGCTCAGAGTCAGTCACACAGTGTGGAGTCAGAGAGACCGAGGGGGCCAACCACCGACCAGGCAGCAGCAGGATGTTTACAAAGGGTAAAGGTGTGTGTTCACATTCATAGCCTGGTTTCGCTTTGTGAGTGTATGGTGGTTTATTGACAGTGCTATCTTGCTGACTAAGCAAATTCTCATTCTCTTACAGTAAGAAAAAGTCTGGTGGACACACCCATGCAGTTTTTATGTTGTTATGCTTTAAAAAGCTAGGCATGATTTGTATTTTATTTATGCCCTTCTTTTGAACCCTGATTACTTCATTAATCAAGTAATTAGTGGGTTACTTAAATAATATAAAGAGTAGTGAAAGCCCCACATAACAGTATGAATTACATAATATCTTTCCGGCTACATGCTGGATTGTCGTGAAAATGTTCAAAAACTACTATATAATTTATGCAACCGTGCAATATTTCAAAGCTGTGCTCTGAATAGTTTCTTAGTTTGAATTTTTAAACAGTTCCCCATTTGGTTCTCAAATACAAGATATCTAAGAGATTCTGTGTGTGACAGAATTCCTCAATAACAAAAAGTACAAGAAAATATTAGCTCTTAAAATGAGAGAATAGACTTCATAATAAAGGTTTTTGTGGAAATACAATATCTTTCTATTTATATTTTTAGTATTTCTTTATATTGTGGCTTTATATCAAGCACATAATGTTCATGTTTAATCATGAAAGAGTCCTAGCACATTTGTATTTTTTATACATGAATCAGACATAACTATTCTCATAAAAAAAGGTTTTGAAGAAATAGAAATAGCACCAGCTTTAGACACTGTATGCATAAATTAATATTTCATAAAGTAATACATAAAAACTATGATTTGCAAAAATAATTTTCAAGCTGACTGAAATATTATGTTTTGAAAATAAAATATTGAGCAATTTGACAAAAAATTACATCCTCCATTAAATTCACCTGTTATGGGAATTTATTTACATGAAACCTGTTTGAAGTGAAATGTTGTTGTTTGTGTTGTATTGATTTCCCAGGTAATATTTTAACTTAATTCAGTCATTTTGCATGTTAAGGGCAATATTTAACATGCATTTTTACAACCAGATGGGACAAATTTGAGAAAATCATAACTAAAAATCTATTTGGAGCACAGCTTTGAAATTCTGCAGAGTTTTATGAATTAAATTGTATTTTTTCTTGATTTTTTCATGGAAATCCCTAACAAGCACTAGGTGAATTTGCATGGAATGACCCTAATAGAGCTTAATCTGAAACCGTTCGACTTTTCAAAGACAAGACTGGAAGATGAAAGGAATGCTGTACCTTATTGCACCCAAAGGCCGTCCCCTCCTTGCCTTTTCTCTCAATGCTGTGGTAGGTTATAGCTATATCCCAGAAACCTTCTGCTTCTAGTTCCCAGTAGTGAGTTCCAGAGGAGAAGGTTTGGTTGGTGACAACCTGAGACCAGTGGTCAAAGCGGTCAGGATGATCAGAGTTTGGTAATCGATGTTTGACCCTCATTACTGATCGTAGGTCATCAGAAACATTCAGCAGTGGATGGGCAGAGTTGGTGTCCAAGGTTAAAGGACTACTCACTGCAAAAGAGATAAACATGAATAGGATGAATGTAACCACTAGGGGGCGAATCAAAGCTGACTTTCTGCTCTTTATAGTCATAATTTTATTTCATATCCAAGAGAGGAGAGCCAAAATAACAGAACTTGTCTAACTATCACATTATGATAACATGCAGTAAACCCTCTCTATACAGGATGCTAAGAAGCTGGTCTATGCCTTTGTCTATCTTTGACTATCTATGGAAATAATTTTGTGCCAAAAGTTTCAAATAAAATAATTAAATTCCACAAACAAACTGTAAAGTATAAAAATGCTCAAAATATGTTGCAAATATAAATAATGGGAGCTCAATCCAACTTAATTTTTCAAAAATAGTAAGATTTTCACTCATTTTGATATAAATTTCTAATTAATTTTGCTAGTCTTCGCTCCAGTTTTTTTTATTTGCTGATTTTACTGATACATTTCTTCTTTTTCTTTTTTTTTTGCTTTTAGCACCTTTTCACAGGGGACGGGTCTTAGAAGAGGGTGTTTATCTGTTGGTCATGGGGATAGCCCTAGCCGTTTGGGACTCCTACCAGCATGGTAGCTGATTTAGAGTAAAATTAGAGGCTAACTAATAACAGTAACTACCATAAGCTGTCTAAACTGTATACACTTGTAACGGGCTACATTGTGTATTGCTGATGCTCATTTTGGGTTCTAATAAGTTATAGTTTTAACTACAAGAGTAAAGTTCACAAACTTTTAAACTCCTTGAGACCACCGGTGGTTCCAAAACGCACTTCGTCATATTCTTAATCACTTTCATATTGCATAAGCTACATTCAAAAGGTGGGTGTCGTATGAGAGCTGTAACTGTCTTCTGTCCAGTCAAATAGATGGGTGATGTAATTTGAAACTTTATAATAAAAGAAGCTGAGCTCACAATTTTTTGTCTACTGAAAGTCGACCCATTTTTCCACAAATCTGGGTTATAAACTATAAACAGATGGCGTCTCTTCAGTGATCTGCTCTGTAAAAATTATTTTTATAAAATAATACAAAGAGCGTCTAAGATTTTTGGCTTTCAGCAGTAGCTGTAAGCATATAGCAATATGTATATGATCATAAAACACATGTTCTGTTAATTTGAGGGGAACTTTTACAATAAATAAATAAATAAATAACATAAAAATTTACATTTATTTCATGCAGTTACTGAATAATTTGCCTCACGATTTGGTCCTGTAAATTCAGATGGAAAAACTAAAATATACCCTCGAGCATAAGAGGATAAACAAGCTTCAAGTTAAACTTTAATGTAAAAACGTTAAAGCCGTTGTAGACTGTTTTTAACTTACATAAGTTTATTTAGCACATCAACACATTTAAGTTAACATAATTTGAAATATTATCTGCTTAAACACAGCATAAACAACTCACTATCTTCAACCATTCAATACTATGCAAACCTCATTAAGTTAATAACAGTTAAATGTGCTTTTTCACTGTTTGGTTGTTCAAACATGGTGTTCCAGGTTGTTGGGTAGGGTATTGTTAGGTGGTTATTAGGGTGTTGCTAGGCCATTGCTATGGTATCTTAAGTGGTTGCTAAGGTGATGAGCCATTACAGTGTTATCCTAGGCAGTTGCTAAGGTGTAGCTAGGCCATTGCTCTGGTGTCCCAGGTAGTTGCTAAGGTTTTGCTAGGTCATTGCTATGTTATCCCAGGTAGTAGCTAAGGTTGCAAGGCTTTTGCTATGGTATCCCAGGTGGTTGTTAAGGTATTGCTAGGTCATTATTATATCTTAGGTAGTCGTTAAGGTATTGCTAGGCCATTGCTTACCCCAGGTCGTACCTAAGTTTGCTAGGCTGTTGCTATAGTATCCCACATTGTTGTTAAGGTGTTGCTAGGCCATTGCTATGTTATCCCAGGAGGTTGCTAAGGTGTTTCTAGGCCATTGCTATATTATCCTTAGTGGTTGCTAAGGTGTAGCTAGCCCATTGCTATGTTATCTTAAGTAGTTGCTATGGTATTGTTAGGACATTGTTATCTGTTAACAATGTTATGTGAAGTGGTTGCTAAGCCTTTTCCCTCTGCTTCCCTTTTTCTTTTCCATTTTTCAGCTCCAGATGCGTCTGTTCTTTTATCTGAAATGTGATCAACTAGGTTCTCTTTTGCTCTCACTCGAGCATCTTAGACAACAGAGTAGCACACTGTTAATCTAGAAGTTGTTAAGGGGCTTATTATTATTATTGTTATTACTATTATTTATATGTTGTGAGGTAAGTTTGGGCACTCACAGAGATCTCTCTTGAGCTCAATAAGGCATCGCAGTGTTTCAGATATGAATTCCCTGTATTTCTGCTCCACGTGCTCTAGAGTGCGTTTCTTATCGAAGCTTGGCAGTACTGGTGTAAACAGAGGCGAGTTGAGGTCATCCACAAGCCTGCAATATATAACACATTTTACACATTTACATCATGAATCCCTCTTTCTGAAAAAGCAGTCAGGCCTGAAATTAGACACACATATACATGCGTGTGTGGTATAAAGGCTTATTACAGAACAAAGCTGTCATTATTATTCACAATGAATAGAGATAAGTAAAAACTTACTTTGAATTCTCTGTTTGAAATGCCTGCAAAGAAAAAAAAGGATCATTGAAACGTCTAATATTCTTTTGAAAAGCCCTGTTTTCTGAGTGTGGGTGCACACACAGCATAAGCCTTGCCCCCCTCCCCACACACATTGCTCTGACAGGATGCATCCAGATGCCTAGTTGACAGAAGAGACAAATTTTGATACAATTAAATTCACACAATAATGATGTCAGTACATGTCCAGAAACTGGGCGTCTTAAACTGTGTTCTCTGTGAAGCAGGCAGATCAGTCACAATGCTTGTAATTGCTAAATTAGATCAGTGCAGATCAGATCCAGATTAGATCATGTTTAGTGTAATTTCAGCACCACAAAATCCACTTCTGGGAAATTAAGTAAAAGCAATTTTGTCATAAAAGGTGATCAACTAGTGTACAGTGCTTTCTAGAAGTACTGGATCATTGCAGTAAATTTATTGTGATTATTATGATTATTATGATATATTATTAGCATTTATTCATGGACCTCTCTTTGTGCACAGTGGTGCTGGCTGAAACAGAAAAGGTCTTTCCCTAACCTAATCTACAAACTTTGAAGCATGCAATTCTCTACAATGTTATTAGGTGCCATAGCATTGAGATTTCCCTTCACTGAACCTATGTTCCAATGTAAAATAGCCAAAGACAATTATTCCTCCTCCACCAGACTTTACAACTGGCATTATGCATTTGGGCATTTTCCTGGCATCCACCCAACCAGATTCAGCTGACAAAATTCTAGATGGTGAAGCCTGATTCATCACTACTAAGAGTCTAATGGTGATTTTAGGCTGATATGTGGCAGCTCAGCCATGGAAACTCAATTCATGAAGTTCTCAACAAACAGTACTTGTGCTGATGTTGCTTCTAGAGGCAGTTTGGAACTCAGTAAGTGTTGCAACCAAGGACAGACAATTTTTATGTACTACTTCAGTATTCATGGTCCCACATTTGTGGCCTTTCACTCTGCAGCTGAGCTGTTGTTACCATTTCACAATTTTGCTCAAATGTATCAAATGATTCTGTGTCAGCATAATACATGAAAAAATATATATACTTTGACCTGTATTAAAAACAAAAACAGTACAAAGACAAGATATGTAATGTTTTACTCCATCAACTTCGTTGTTTTTTGTAAATATGTACGTTCATTTTGAAATTCATGCCTGCAACACATTCCAAAAAAATTGGGACAGGGACAATTTAAGACTAGAAACATCGTGAAATGTTCCAAAAACATCCTAAACAGGTGATGCAATCGTTTTTGGACATAAAAAGAGCATCCAGGAAAGGCCTACTCCTTAATGAGCAAGGATGGGTCGAAGCTCGCCAAGCTTTGCCAAAAATGCATCGGCAAAAATCCAACAGTTTAAAACTAATATACCTCTGCCAGGAATTGAAAGAACGTTTGGTTTTTCACTGTCTTCAATACATAATATCATCAAAAGTTTCAGGGAATCTGGAGAAATCTCTCCAGATGCGTAAAAAGCAAAGCCTGTTACCTTTGACCACTCAAACAACATTGAAAACCAGCATTCTGATTCTGATGGGATCAGGAATACATTGACATATCATGGTCAATAAACCCCATCAGTCAGTGAATCGACCAATGTAAGTTAATACTGTACTATGCGCAGAAGCCATTTGTCAACATTGCCCAGAAATGCTGCCGACTTCTCTGGGCTCAAGCTCATCTGAAATGGACTGATACACAGTGAAAACATGTATTGTGGCCTGACGAGCCCATCTTTCAGACAGTTTATGGAAATAATGGACATTGTGTAAAGAACCATCAGATTGTTATCAGCGTGAAGTTCAAAAGCCAGCATCATATGCTGCCTTTTAGATGCCGTCTTTTTCAGGGATATCCATGCTTATTTCAAAAAGACAACACCAAACCACATTCTATACATGTTACAACAGCATAGCTGCATATCAGAGAATGTAGGTGCTAGACTGGCCTGCCTGCAGTCCAGAACTGTCAGTTTAAGACAGTTCAAACAGGATGTACTAGTCACTGTTTTGCATACTTCCCAGACTATCTTGGAATTCGTTTGATAACACAATTAAATGCTTCATCTTAACAAGGCTAGATGTGTTAAAAAGCAAACTATTTATGTTATAATTTACGGCCTGGAACTTCACAAGGGACATCATAAACTGACAGAAGAGTGGTGACCCTAGTGGTATGTTGACCCGGTTAATTGCCCTGCCCATGTGCCAGCCCTGTAAAACAACATGTAATTTTATAACAAGATATCTCACCCAGATGAGCAGGAAGGGGTCGGTCTCCCGGAGCAAGCTACCCAGATAGTGGTAGATGCTTTCTGTCTTCTCCAGGCCTCCTTTCACTCTGCTGAAGTCCTCCTGCAGTTGGTCAATAGCCTGCTGCCTTTCCTGCTCATTTGCATTCCTCAGGGCCGCAACCAGTCTGTCAACCTGGTTCTGTAGAGCTGAGCCCAGCCAAACTACCTGAGAGTCATCTGCCATAGAGGAGCTCTGAGATGGAAGCCACATTCACACATTCCAGAAAGTACAATGAAGCCAGTTAAATTATGGGAAAAGCCCCTTAGTAAGCCCAAACTAATCCAAGACAACATATTTCTATTATGACGTTTTCAGTTTTTAGTGATATATCTTAGAATGAAATGATAAATCTGTCTTTTAAGATGGTAAAAAATCTAAATGAAAAGTCTGGACTGTGCTTAAAGGGTCCCTGTTATGTGTTCCCAATAAGCCCAGCCAAGCTTCAATTTAAAAGAATATATAAAATTTGATAGTTATCAGGCTTATGTTGACACATAAACAACAACTCTCTTTTATGAGATGACTAAGTGTGGGCAATATGGCAACTATATGATATCACAATACTTTGACATTTTCACGATACACAATGTGTATCACGATATTTCATTTTTCTGAGGTTTGATAATTTGATATACTGATATTTGTTCAATGTTTGCCAGTTAATCAGGACTAATTATGCTCTCTTTGTAATAATACAATGTTCTTTAAACGCTAATGATATCTATGATATGTGTAGAAAAACACATTGTGACATAATTTAGCAATAAAATATCACCACATTGCACACTTCTAATTTAACCCTCTGTTGCACAATGTTGCCTCAGGGCAACAAACTCATTTTCCTCTCTTTGCAATAGCATTAAACATAATTAAAGATAATGACCAGGTTAACAATAAAGAAAAAAGATTGAGGAAGTCAATAAAAAGCATGTAATTGGTCATACTATCTTTACTATCTCAGCACCTTTAAACCTCTTTTTTAACATTCAGTATCACTTTTTATTTGTTATGAGAATTTGCAGAAATATGTTTGTTGCCCACAAGCAGCACTGCGCAACAGTGGAATGGATTTAGCCAGTCACTTCAGGGAACATGAGTCTGTATCATTTCTTCTCATTGTCTCACAATGTTGCCTCAAGGCAACACACTTCAAAAGGACCCCCTGCACACTTTTTTGTTTGTTTGTTTTTATATTTAACAATCAAGCCCATTTTATGCAAGAAAAGTGAATGGAATATATTTTTTTAAAAATTGCTCTCATAATGTGTGCAGCAGAGGGTTAAACTGGAAACCATCGTTAATAAAAAAAAATCCAGCATTTTATGCATGCAAGCTCGAGCTGTTCCCAGATTATTTGACTAGTTGTCTAATTAGTCCTGGTGAACTAAAAGTCAGCTTCTCTCAGTCTGCTTATTAAATTTACTGACTTATTCATGTATTTATTTATTAATTTTATTTTACAAAATTGCAGAGATTTCTGCAAATGGAAGTTTGTACCATGTAGCTCTGTTTAAGTGCAAAAGAAAGTGCAATAAAAATGTTCTCAATAACATACATAGCAAAATAAAGGGTTCCATTTAGGTTGCAAACCAGTTTTACCAATACAATGTTATTTATTTATTAGTGTTTTACCAGAAATTGGAGAGATTAAGGCACTTGAAGCTGAAAATCAGGCGCAGCAGCATGTATAGCTAGCCAACACTGCTCACTGATGCTTTCTATTTCACACCATGTCACGTTTATTTAACTTATTTCTAGACATTTTTTGCTTGTTTCAAGTGATTTTAGTAAGGCAAATGATGTCACTATATTGGCAGATAATATAGTGGCAATATGGTGAGATCATTTTATAGAAATAAGTTAAATGATCTCATAATAAGATGACAACAATCTCAAAATGAGAAGTGTTAACCGGATTTAAGTACATCACTTAACAAGATGCCATTTTTTGCAGTGCATTATTTTTTAACTATTTCAATTTTTTTAAATATTTTACATTATGTCTGAATGTGGGCTTACAGGGTATGTGGTAGAGCTGGGCAATATGACAATATTTATCGCTATCGTGATGAATTACATCACAATATGTCAGAATATGCTTTTCTGAACACATTGTGGATATTGTCAGTACTTAGAAACACTTACCAACTTAATGTTTGATTACCAAGACAGTGTAATTAGTCCTGTTTAATTGGATTTAGTGCAGCACAGTGTGTAAAATGTTGAATACAAATAATTGAATTGTTGAATTGAATACTTTTTGATAGTATTTTTAAAATGTGGGCTTATTTTGTCTGTTCTAACTTATCAGACATCAGGAAAAGTAAAGTACTTGTTGTATCGTGTATCATGAAATGATATTTTGCCATATCGCCCACCTCTAGTACGTAGGCTTTCCCTACTTGTTTACTCAGAGTGTGAAACTAAAGATTCTTTGTAGGATGAGAAACAGAGGATGGATTTACTCACTATTATGGTGCTGCTCGATTTCTCATGTTCCTGAAGGATCTTCTCACCACACTTTATCTTTTCCTCTGCTTGCTGAAGAAGAGCCTGTAATGTGTCCTGTGAAAAGACCGTATTTAAAGATTATGTCTAAAACTTATAAGAACAGCGATTTGGTGTGATGCTGTCAAAGGGGAATTTGTTTTAAAAAGTCTGCATAATTCAATCATTGAGACTTAATCAAAGTAATTCAGAGTGGTTTTATGTGAATTTGTGCATGGCAGAGAAACTTACAGACTGGAAATCTGGAAAAAAATATGTTTTCTTCAGGTACTATTTCTCAAAACTATCCTAAAACAATGTCTCAGGCAGCATCTTTGTACCCACTTCACATAACTTTCTGTGAAGTAGGTTTTAGAGACTTTGGATGTCTGGTTCCTATCACCACCACTGTGAACAGTTGTTACTTGGTAAGTTTTTCTAGAACACAGCATTTCACATCAACCCACTCTGAATGACTTTGTTTGCATCTTAACCATTTAATCATACAGAAATGTAGTAAAATTTCAAGAATTCCTCTTTAATACAAAATACACTTGAAATACTGTGTTTTCTGATGAACTGACCATTCTAAATACCCAGATATCAAGAAGAGAGAGGGCCACTGTTGGCACACTGATGGCAAAGCTGGCGGCCCACTGGCTTTTTGCTCAGCATTTTTTGGGTGGCCCACCAGTGGTCATGGAGAGTATTACACAAAATGTCACATTTCATCATTCATTTTCCACTCACAGTCCAATTAACCTACTTTTATTTAATTTGTTATCCTTTGTGAATTAGTTTAGTAAATAATTTTAACAGTAATATCATGAGTAAAGCCAGTTATAAAGCTGAAACCAATCCAGCACAGTATCAGCAATATTATCCACAAAATTATTTTATATTAGACCTAGTCTTTAATTTTTTTCTCTCAATTGTTTTTGATATTTGTCTTGGTTTATTTTCCGAAATAAAAGATGGTGCGCATTTAAAATCTGTTTGAGGAGATTAAAAAATAGTTAGATCTAGTTAGATATGCGGGACACTAATCTGGGTGGTCCCCCTTCTGACCAGCAGTGGAGCACAGCCAGTGGGGCGCCGGCGTTTACAAGCCATCGGACTGATATAGAGGTTTGCTATCTGGGCAGATGCATTAAAGTTACAAACTTTTTCCCTCTTTTGTAAATTTTTGGGAGTGCTATTTTATTATAACAGTGACAATGGCCCTTATATATCAAACTTGGGTACAGTCAAATCTGATTGTGAAATGAGTGCACACAAATTTTGACTGTTTTATTATTTATCAATTTCACATTGGTTATATCTGTATGATCAAACTAAGTTAAATATGTAATTTCCGGAAAAAATAACACTACACATCAGTGCCGGCTCTACATAATCTGCGATACAAGCAGCTGCTTTAGGGCCCAGAGGCTGCCAATAGTAGCACCACCTTAACAGCCACCTGGCATACCATAGGAACAGCCTTAGCAACTACCTGGGACACCATAGCAATGGCCTAGCAAACACCTAGGATAACATAGCAACTGCCTAGCAGCACCTTAGCAACCATCAAGGATAACATAGCAGATTAACCACTTACAAATGTATATAATTTACATAGCATGTAGACAGCAATGAGACGTAGAGTATTTCATTTGTCATTAAAGGCACTCAAATCTCTATTTTATTACACAATGTTATTATATATTACTATATTATATATATTATTATTATATTACTATATTATAAATATTATTATATTTGACATTTGTGGTTCCCACCTTGTAATCCTCCTCCAGTTTTCTCAGGCCCTTGACCTGGTGCTGAGCATGGCTGCCCTCCAAGATGCAGTCTGCGCAGATATACTCCCTATCGTCCAAGCAGTAATAGCGAAACACCTCCTGATGGGCAGGACACCTGCGGCGGGACATGTCAATCAACGGCTCCACCAGCAGGTGGGTGCTGTACGCAGGGAACTGCAGGTGTGGCTGCAGGTGCTGCTCACACAGCGAAACCTCACAGCGCATACAGCTCTTCACAGCAGGACACGCGAGTCCTCCCTCCCCCTCCTCCGGACAGCAGTCGCACACCACCACACCATGATCCTCCTGACACTGCGGGCAAGCAAAGCGCCCCCTGCTGGAGCTGGAGCCCTGAGTCTGCCCCCACATCTCCCACACGCAATTGGGACAGAAGCTGTGGCCGCAGGGTAAGGGGTAAGCTGGACCAAACAGGTCACGACACATGGGGCACGTCAGCTCCTCATCCATGGAACCCATAGCAGTAGATGTTCTATCTGAGAATTATTTTAAAAATGGAAAATTAACAGGGCAGTTGGGAATGTTTTCATAACTATAAAATGAATTAATTTTGTTATTCAGTTGTTCTGAGTAAGTTTTAGAGAAGAAGGGACAGAGATTATCCTTGTCATTATTTGCTTCCAAAGGTTACAATGTGTTGTTGGACTAAGATTATAATGTAATATAATAATAATTAGTAATGTTTTAGGCTATATATTATTGAGTGCTATATATGATAAACTATATTAAGGTATATAACATTATTGATAAATACATATAACGTATTAGGAATGATAATAAATTTACAATGAACCGCAAACTAATGTCATTTTCCCCCCCTTTCCTTCTTTTTATTTAATATCTGGTTTTGGTGTTGTCTCGGTCTCTGCCTTGACTTGGGTTCAACTACTACAAAATCTCAGTCTTGACTTGTACTTGATGACTACAAAGTCTTGGTCTTGACTCTGGCTTGACTACTACATAATCTCAGTCTTAACTCGGCCTTGGCCACTATAAAGTCTTGGCCTTGAGTCTGACTTGACTACGATAAAGTCTGGGTCTTAACTCAGAATCGACCACTATTACGTCTTGGTCTTAACTTAGACTCAACGACCACAAAGTCTCAGTCTTGACTCGGACTTAACAACTACAAAGTCTCGGCCTTGAATCTGACTTGACTACTATAAATTCTTGGCTTTTAACTCAGACTCGATCTTGACTCAAACTCAACAAGTAAAAAGTCTCGGGTTTGACTCAAACTCGATGATTACAAAGTCTCTGTCTTAACTCTGACTCAAATACTAAGGAGCCTTAGCCTTGACTTGGACTCGACTGCTATAAAATCTCAGTCTTGACTCAAACTTGACGACTACAAAGTCTTGGTCTTCACTCTGACTCAAATACTATAAAGTAGGTCTTCATTTGAACTTAACTCGTACTGTAAAGTAGGTCTTGACTCGGACTCAAATACTACAAAGTCTTAGTCTTAACTCTGACTCGATTACTACAAAGTCTCGGTCTTGACTCGGGCTCAATATGTCCAGGTCTTGGTCTTTACTCAGACTCACTTCTAGGGGTCTTGACACAACCCTACCCTGGAGATCATGATATCTACACAAGCACATATGTAGCCCTTTACTTTGCAATAAATAATAAACCTATATGTGTCTTCTGAGTTTGTATATATAATATTGATGAAAAAATTAGACGTCTGGTTCCTATCACCACCACTGTGAACAACTCTGACTTGGTAAGGTTCTCCAGAATGCAGAATTTCACATCAAATCACTCTGAACAACTTTACTAACATATTAATTATTTAATTATGAAGAATTTGAGAAGAAAAAGCTGTAAAGTAAGTTGCCTTATACTTTTAAGTTGACTTATCTTGTCATTTTTTATAGTGCCATTGTGTTAAATCTTTTTGTGCTAACCTAATATTTAGAACAAAATAAATGTTTTTCAGCACCACATGTTCTAAAGTAGAAATAATGGAATAATAGCAAAACTAAGGACACGCCTGCTTAGAATAAGTACAACTGATGAGATAACCCCAGATCCAACTACTAGTTTAATCTGTTTCCTAAATAAACTACTTATAGGATTTTCCGTTTGATTGCTCCGTGATTAAGAGAATCTTTGAGTTCTTGTATCATCTGCTAGGAGTAGGAGCACTTCCAATGGTATTACATCAGTACCAAAACATTTCATATTTGACTACCCAAATACCATATTTGAATACCTACATCTCACATCTTCCTCTGTTACAAAAAGAAGGCCATACAATCCGCTTTGAAGCATCCTATCCTCCTCTTTCGGGCCTACTCTGGACCTCTCTAGACTATTCAAAGGATACTAAGAAAGAAAGAAAGCTACTAACCTGTTCATGTCGTGATGCAGTGCATTAAAATGCGATCATTGTGAAAGCAGAACTGTTTCAGACTGGAGCTCCACTGTGTGAGCACAGCCGCCGGCTTATCCCACTATAGTACCTTCTTAATCTGAAAGACTGACCTCTTGGCATGGAGTGCTGTTAAGCTTTGAGTCAGTCACATGACCCACTTAGTAAAGGGTGTGGGGCTTATGTGTTATTTGTTGGTGTTTGTTTTGGTTCACTATGTACAATGTTGTGATTAACTATGTAAATTACACTCTTAGAAATAAAAGGTACTAAACTGTCACCCTCTTGTCACTAGGGTGGCACCCTAAAGGGTACATCTCAGTACCTTTAGTCAGGGAACATAATTGTATCATAATCCATTGAAATTATATTTTCTAAGTTGTATTGACTCCACACCCCCCGTCTCGTCTCCAGGCTTTTTATTTTACTGTTCTGTTTAAAAAACATTACGTTATGAAAAGGTACAAATATCTACTTTTCACCTGGAAAAACCTCTTTAAGGTTCACAATTGGACCTCAAAACCACTGCTGTTCCTTTGATGGTACATTTACATTGTTTGTACCTTAATGAATGAAAAATGTACCTGAATCTTTATTTCTAACAGTGTAGGATAGAGCATGGTTTCTCTACCATTGGGCCGCAGACCACAAGTGGGCTACGAAGCACCCTCTGGTGGTCTTTGGACCAATACTGAGAAAGAGCCAGTGGTCTATAGTGGGCTCAAAATGTTTTCAAATGGGAAACAATATTAATACAAGCCATGTAACAACGATGCACAAAGGCAGCTTTGTCTATTTCTAGAAACTAAATACACTGCCCCGAAGTTTCAATCATCCAGTCGCATTCAGTCTGATTTCAGGTATAAAACAAGCCTACGTCAATATTTTACATGCAGTGATACACGTTGCATTTTGTGGCAACCAAACAGCTGATTTTGAATGTTGAACATTTCCCCAAAATTTTTTTTGGTGGGCCTTCATCCTTTTTAGCAATTACTATGTGGACCTTGGTGGTTTTGAGTTAATAAAATAATACTAATAATAATAATAAATAATATCTCTATTTATAGAGCATTTTAATACCACTGGCAGCTAAAAGTGCTTTACGGACAGGTGATAAAGGTTAACAGTAATAGACTAAACTATGAGTATCAACTATGAACATTGGCGGCCCGGTCTTTAAAAGGCACGTTGAGCAAGTGTGGATGGTTGGAGGCTGCCATGAACATCCAGCACAACAGTGCATGATGTCCTGTTCTTTTGAACAGTTAAGTGTTCGCAGATTTGATCAATTGAGTAAGAACAAGGGGCAAGCCATGAGAGGGCAGCAGGTGTCCACGCACTGCACTGTCACACTGGATTATTAAGGTCATCTGGCAGCCAGATACTCTGAATGCACAGCCACTGTGTGTCGAGCATCAGTTTGGGGCCTTTTCACATTGCCTGCATCTTACTGTTAATTGGAAGGGTTCTATACTGTAAATAATGGAACAGGGCAGAAGCTGATTTAACCTATTTCTGCAGCCCCCCTAGTGGCAGAATGGAAGTCAATGCAAATGTTTTAATTAACCCTCTATTTTATAATGTTGCCTCAGGGCAACAAACTCATTTTCCTCACTTTACAATAACATTATACATACTGGACTTGGCCGTACTATATTTTAGTGGACACTTTTAAACCTCTTTTTATTCAGAATCATTTGTTTTTTGTTATGAGACTTTACAGAAATATGGTTGTTGCCTAGAAGCAACATTGTGTGACAGTGGAATGGATTTAGCTAGTCACAAGCCAGGTCTCACCACTTCAGAGAACATGGCACTATGTCATTTCTTCCCATTGTCACGCAATGTTGCCTCAAGGCAACATACAACAAAAGGGCCACAGCACACGTTTGAATTTAATAATCAGGTGCTTACGGTTTTGTAAATTATACTCATCCCCATCATACAAAAACACTACACAGCCAAAAGTATGTGGGAGTTCAGGTGTTTCAGACACACCCATTGCTAACAGATGTATAAAATCAAGCACATAGCCATGCAGTCTCCATAGACAAACACTGGCATTAGAATGAAGAGCTCAGTGACTTTAAATGTGGCACTGGCATAGGTTACCACCTTAACCACAAAGTCAGTTTGTGAAATTTCTGCCCGGCTAGATCTGCAGTAAGTGCTTGTAGATGACTTTGCTAGTTTGTAGCATACTTCTTAAAACAAGCAAAATTATCTGCCTATACAGTGAGATAATTTTACTTAATAATATGACTTAAAACAAGTACAAATGTCTAGAAATAAGAGAAATTTTAGATATATGGACAAGATAAAAGACCATTTCAATTGCCAGGATAACATTTTTTTGCAGTGCAGCTGCATTTTAGACACGCTGCAGTCCAAAAAGTGGTTTGGCAGTACCAATAAACAAGATGTGACAAAGGCATGAATGAACACTGTCAATGTCAATTTTGAAACTAAACAGACAAGATATGACAGATCTGCAACCAATTAACATGACCTAGGTCTTCTCAGAGTCAAAATTAGGAAAATTGTCATTAAATCATCATTTTATATCATGCAAGCTGTCAATGAAGGTGGAGGTATGGCTGATTTAGAGTGGGCACTAACATAGAACGTGACAGTAAAAACAATTGCGGCAATGAAAACAGATTATATGACCAATTGGATACATGTAAATAATAAAAAGAACGGGTCCAAGAACCGAGCCCTGCAGGACACCTTGAGTAACAGGAACAGAGGAGGATTTGTGGTTCTGGAAAGAGATGAACTACTGTCTGTTAGAAAGATATGAAATGAACCAGGATAAAGCTGAACCAGTAACACCAGTATTGGAAAGACTGGTGAGAAAAATAATCATGGGAGATTGTGTCAAAAGGAGTTTAAATCCAGGAGTAGCAAAATACTTAGCACCCCAGCGCATTGTCCTTATAGTTTCCAGTGTTTGACAGGAGTATGTGCCTCAGAAGTCATTTCTGATGGCTTGATACCAAGCTGAATGACTTTGTTTTGAATGGTAAAGAACAATCTTGGCAACCCACCTATATAAACAATGCAGGTGATAAAAGAAAGACTTTTATAAATGAGTGCAGCAACATGAGTGCAGATGCTTCCAGACTGATTTAGTGTATGATATAATTAAGCAATTAACATCCTACCATGCTGTGCAGCTGAGCAGGCCCAGTTGGCCTCGATTTTGGATCAAGATGGCAATAGGTAAAGGTCTAAGTCAGGGGTGCCTAATTCTGGTCTAAGGTACAAATATCTACTTTTCCACTGGGAAAAACTTATTTTAGGTACGCATTTGGGCTTAAAACCACTGTTGTGCCTTTGAGGTACATTTACATTGTTTGTACCTTGATGAACAAAAATGTACCTGCACAGAACCTTTATTTCTAACAGTGTAGGTCCAGGACCAGGATTGAGCACCCCTGATTTAAGTGACTCTGAAAGCAGATGGCAGGAGCTTCAGTCAGAAAAACTGTTCAACTAGCAAGCATTTCAATAGGCACAGTGGCTAAAGTGACATCTGCATTTAGATCTATGGGACAGACTTCAGTAAAAAGGGTTGGATGTAAGAAAAAGCAGAAGAGTGGGTGAGTGCATGTGCAGCGAACACCAAGAGAACATTACGGTGACTGTCTTATGCTGGGGGAGGCATTTTGCTGGCTCGCTTTAGGGCCACTTACCCCTTAGAAGGAAGGGTCACTATGATGATAATATGAATATGAAGCTGGTCATGATGTCACTAACAATGGTGCACATGCAGACACAGGCTCTCCTTGTCAGTCAAGAGTCACTTCCACACAAAAATCACTTTGGACAGAATGATCCTTGGCCTAGTGTTAAAATCTCACTAGCAGCAGTTGCTTATGATCAAGTACCACCAAAGTTTAGACTGTTTTATCATTTCCTCTTAAAACAAGCACTAAAAAGTTCCTTCCTGACGTCGCATCCACAGTGTTTGATTGACAGGAAGCCTCGTTGACCGTGCAAATAGGGTTGCAAATACATTTTAATTTTGGCACGACAATGAGGAAATGCATGCGCAAATGGGTGACTGTTTTTCTGTTTTTGATATGACAGAGTCACAACATTAAGACAATAAAAATAAAATGTTGAAAACACTTTGCTTTTCCATATTAACTTTTTTCCAGCCATTATACACAGAAATGCAAATGCACATTTTGTATTTGATTTATGTCTCAAATAATGCACACTTACATGGGAAATGCACGATTTAATTAGCATCTTCACATTTGCATTTGAATTTGAAAACAGTTTGGAATATGCTGCCATTTGTATCAGGTAATGTGTTGCACAGAGGCAAACCATTTCTTTTCATTTAAGTTTTCTGGATAAAAAAGGAGGCAGCTGCTCCAAGTATACAGGCCAGGAAGTGCTCTTGATGTCAGATGGATAGCATCATCGTTTTTCTTTTCTTTTTCCCCTTTTTTATTTTTATCCAATTTTCTCCACAGTTATGGCCAGTTCCACCCACCACCCACTGGGTAGGTGTCCTCCATCACACAGTGTTATCAAGCTGGGAGGGTGAATGCATACGCTTCCTTTGGGTCACATCAAGCACCACCACCCCATGTTGGCTATCATCACACTGATTGATGGGGAGAGGGAGCCTCCCAGAAAGAGCGAGGCCAATTATGCTGTGATGGACTCCCCAGGGTTGAACTCACTATCACCCAAGCCCAGACTGTTTTTCAAATGAGGCACAATACAGGGCAGCCAATACAAACAGAGGTCTTAAATGTACAGTAAGAAACACACAAACATCGTATGTAGACGTCAGGGAAAAAAATAAAATAGTAGAAAAATGTAGGATTTGGCCCTTTAATGTACCCATTTGTTGTGGTTTTCCTCCTTTAAAGGGATACTCCACCAATTTCTCAGAATTTCTACACAATTAAATGCATAACATGTGAACAAAGCCATTCAGAGTGGTTTGGTGTGAAATGACACATTTAGAGAGGTTTACTGAGTCAGAATCGTTCACAGTGGTGGTGATGGGAACCAGATGTCGGAAGAGTTTAATGCCTCTAAAATTTCCCTCACAAAGAGATTATGAATACGGCGTCTGATGCCTGATACATTGTTTTTCGATAGCTTTGTGATAAAGTTTGGGCACAAAACTATGAAGCCCTGCTGGCGACATCCCGTAAATATAAATAATAAAAATAATGTGTGGCCATGACTTAGTAAGGCATGGGAACGAGACAATTAAGCCTTGATCGCAGCTTAATAAGGTATGATCTCATTCTCACACCTTACTAAGTTGTGGCCAAGGCTTAATTATCTCGTTCCCAGGCCTTACTAAGTTGTGGCTACAACTTAATTATCTCATTCCCACACCTTACTAAGTTGTGGCCATGCATTAGGATCTCTTTCCCACATGTTAATATGGCCTGGCCATGCATTATTTTTATTTATACAGGATGCCACCAGCACAAACCGTACAAAACGCCTTGTTAATCCATGTATTTTAATCCATTCATGGTGGTGCAAGGGGTACATGCAGGGTGTTGTTAGGCAAAATAGTCCCGTCAAAAAACTGTTTCACTCTTTTACCATCATAACCATTGCACATAACAACTCGTAAAACACGTGTAGCTTCACTGGCAGTTTTGGATAGTAAATAAAATGACTATATTTGTGTTGTAGACATCACAGCCCCGGGTTCCCATCACCACCACTGTAAAGAAACCAGTCTGTAACTTTCTCTACGACCATTTTACTTCAAACCACCCTGAATGACTGTTTATATCTCAAACACTGCATTATCCAAAAAAAAAAAAAGTGAAATTTTGAAAAATCGGTGGAATTCCCCTTTAAGCGAACAGACAGGATAAACACATCAAAATCAGTTGCCAAACAGTGTGTGACACAGTTGAATGTGAGCAGTTCTTTTTGTCTACGTGTGGTCAAATCCAGGCGCCAGTCTCTGTTACTTGTCATGAGAGGACAGAGGGACCCGTGGACAGACCCCCACCGATGCTGCAGAGTAGAATAGTCAACAAAGGCTCCCACCACGGAAAGGGCCTTTTTTTTCCAAGTACAAAGGGAGCTGGTCGCCGACGGGAGTGAAAGACCGAAGGAAAGACAGGAAGACGGAGATTTTCTTCTTTTTTCGCCATCGCTATACGTTGTTCAGCTAAACAAAGACGAAATCGGAGGAAGACGACGTTGTAATAACGACGACGCTGAAAACAGTTCACATGTCTGGCAGGCAGCTTCGGGCTAGACACGACTGCGCATCCGAGCGCCTCAGTGGCGGATGTTGATGTGCTGCTGCGCGGCCGCTCGTCTCTCCTATGATTTCATATTCAGCTATGAAATAACTGTCATCCGGTAAGTAGTTCACTAGTCCGATTCCGAACCACAGCACGAGCACTGAACCAATGGATGGACCGGCTTAGCGCGTTTTGCGCGGTCATACGAAAATATGAATCATAACTGTTTATGATCATAAAGTATAGTGGGCGGGGACGCAACAGGTCGTCTGTACAGTAAGCCGAAGACGAGGCTGAAATTGGCTTCTTATTCGCCAGCTTCTTATTCGAACTCCCCGTTCCACCTTAAGAGCTGCAGCGGTTATATAGTAGCGCCTCAGGCGTTAGAATGGAACTGCTGCACCATTTAAGGTGGAACGTGGAATTCGAATGAGAAGCTCGATGCTAAAGTTCTAGCAAGACAAAATTCTGCAATGTGTAAAACACTGGGTAGCTAGCGAATGCATCATGAAATAAAGGGTTTAGATTGACTGATAGGACTGTTTACATTATGTTTTCCTCTTATAACCGGTGTTTCAGTATGGAATTTGTGCTTTTTGAGCCTTTTTTTGCTGCTAAATGAGGCAATGTCGTCAGCTCTGAGATGATAAACGACGAAGCTAACTAAACTAGCTGTTGTCTTCACTCAGTCAGGTTTCACCGTTTATTTAGGTGTGTGTGAACAGAGGGCCAGGCTGGAACAGGAACTGGGGGCTATTGGTGATGTTAGATATTTTTCATGTACATATCTGCTGATACTGATACATAAAACATTTTTTAAAAATGTAGAAATTGGAAATATAGAGCTATTTAGATTGGCATAACAGAGATATCTAACATTAATCTCTTATGGAGCCCTGCTGGTAACATCCCTTGTTAAAGGCGAATTCCATCTATTTCTCAAAATTTCTGTTAGATTTAGTCATTAAGATGTAAACAAAGTCGTTCAGAGTGTTTTGATGTGAAATTATTAATTGTGGAGAAACTTACCAACTTAAATTTCTTTACAGTGGTGATGGGAACCAGGGGTCTCGATGTGTACAACACAAAAATTGCTGTTCCGTTTACTATCCAAAACCACAGTTGAACCTATACTTGTGTTCTTATATTTTAATATGTTGTTGATAATGATAAAATAGTGGTAAATCTGGAAAATATATTTAGCTTTGGGGACTGTTTTGCCTCACAATGGCGTACGTGTACCCCTCCACCATGAACGGCTTTTAAAAATATATGTTTTAGGCCAAAACCTTACAGCAGAACTTTCATAGAACAGCGTCTCAGGCATCAAAAAGCATCTTTTTAACCATATAATATGATAACGTTCTGTAATGCAGCTTTTCAGAGGCATTAAACTCTTCAGATGTCTGGTTCCCATCACCACCACTGTGAAAGATTTGAGTAAGACTTGGTACGTTTCTCTAGAATGGAGCATTTCACACCAAACCACTCTGAATGACTTTGTTTATTTCTTAACCGTATAATAATTATACAGACATTTTGAGAAATTGTTGACAGGAGCTTTAATAAATATAATGCGTGGCCTTTTCTAATTGACTTCTTTGAAGGAATGGACAAACTTTAGTCAACACAGAATTAACCTTTATCCCATTTTACACTGCTGTTCGTTAGGGTTATAACTGTACACATGTTTTCAGGTTAAATACAATTTGAGATTCAGTTTATAATTACAAATAACAGAAATAGTGTGTCATCCATGTTGTACTGTTGTTCAATTGCTCAACGATAAACCTTTCAGCCATTCTGTGGCCCCTCTTCAGCCAGTTTACTACATATGTAGTGAATAGTGGATGAGTTCATGAGTAAATCATTCTAGATACAGTGCAAATTGTTTTTTGATAACAAAATAAGACCCAAAAATTGCAACCCGTTACAATTATTCAGCAACCTTACTTTGATAGGATGTACTTGGATATCTGGTTTTGATCAGTGGTGGTTTCCACAGTGAACACACAGTGGTTTCCACAAAAAATGGCAAATGAAAGACTCAGACTCGGAAAGACTGGCCTCTGGCTGAATTTTCGGCCATTTTTAACAGCCTTTTTTTTGATTAACGCTTACTAAATGTTGGTTAAATGAACACATAAAATTACATTTTTAGTACTTTTTATTAGCCAAACTTGCAATATAAGCAACATTATTTGCTCTTTAACAGACCAAACATTTTGGTAATGGTGTAGCAACAGCATTTAATACAATGCACTTAACTGCCTGAAGTTATTTGCATCATTTAATTGCAGTACAGATCCATCAGAATAAAAATAATACATTAACCATAATGTGTTTGGACAATAATGTAATATAATGTAATTTAGAGTTATTTTCTGTGGAATTAGTGCGGTAAATTATATTATCATGATCCAAATTCAGTCACAAGGAACCAGACGTGTGCATTACACAGCCTATGGCTTGCATTTTTCCTAATGATAATATAATTACCACATAATTTTCACCTTTGCTGATTTCTAATATTACTTAATAATTTATAATGATGCCTATTTTCTTACACAGATGGCATGTAACACCGTTAACATCTCTGTGTTTAGTCCGCATGGACAAATGATCATTTTGAATGACTATTTAAGTGTATTAAATGTGAATTAACCCTGTAAATGGCCAAGAGACTTCTATAACCTAAGAATAGCTCAACCAGTTTGCTTTGAGGTCCCTGTAGTTACTGAATAATAAGCCTTAGTATGTAAGAAGCCCAAGATTTTAAGGGGTTAAAAAGTCACCTCTACAAATCCCACCAAAATGTACAGACAGAGCTACAAAGCAGACTTTCGCATTTTGAGCTGATATTATTTTTTGTGGACCTTTAACTTTGTCTTTAGTTTGGTTCCTTTAGACAGGTGTGAACACTCCACCTGTACTCAGGTGCACACCAAAACAACTTAACCGTGGACCACAGGTCTTGGTTCGCTTCCAAGTAAACTGGTTCAGTTTGCTGCTGGTGAGAACACATTTTTACAATACACATTAAACATTTGAAGATTTTAAAAGACATTCCAGGAGTCTTAAATCAAGCTTGTAACAGATATTGACATATATTTTACATCATAATTTGCAGTTTTACAGTGACATTTTAGGTGAACATTCCAGCGGACTCAAACCTATTTAGGCTCCTGCTTGTATTCACAGTCAGTGACTTATCTAGAACTTCCTGAAACCCTAGAGTGCGTGTCGGATTCCAGTCTTTATGTGCCAAAGCTCTGCAGACTTCAGCGGCCCTCTTCATTTAACTCACGTGAGTCCACTCATCACATAGCAAGGCCTTCATGAGTTTACCCATTGTTTTCCCGTTGAAAATCAAAATGTAATTGGTTAATTTTATTGGTAACATGTAAGACCTTCAGCTTATCTCCTGAAGGCCTAACTAACAGGAGAACTTACTTGGCTTGAACCTAGATTCCACAGGAAAAAAAATTATGATTGCATAATTTTTTCATTGGGCGTTTCAATCAAAATTCAACAATGTAATAAGAGTATTATACTGATGTTCACAGACACCTAATTGACAAATAAAATGGAAGCAGGCAGACGCCAGGTTATTATAGTTCACCATAACTATTATTAGAAAAGAAAGTTTGTAGTGAAACGGTGTGCTTGTTAACTGCACTATGAATAAAAATGGCAGTTTCAAAAACATGGAAACTAAATCAAAACTATAATCTACACTTTAAAGCTGACTAAAATAAAATGGAATTATTATTCAGTCATGCTTGGGTATAAAAGGAGTATCCAGCTGTTTAAGAGCAATGCTCCTCAGTGAGCGTTTACAGGTATTTCTCCTCAACAGTGCATAATATTATCAAAAGATTAAGGGAATCCAGAAAAATCTCTGTGTAAAAAGCAAGGCCAAAAACCAACACTGAATGCCTGTAATGTTCGATCGCTCAGATGACAGAGCATTAAAAAACAGCATGCTTCTGTGATATATATCACCTTATAGGCTCAGGAATACTTTGACAAAGCGTTGTCAATAAACACTGTTCATTGCTGCATCCAGAAATGTAAGTTCAGACTGTGCCATGCGCAGTGGAAGCCATATGTCAACAATATCCAGAAACACTGCTGACTTCTCTGGGCACTAGCTCATCTGAAATGGACTGATGTGCAGTAGAATTGTGTATTGTAGTCTGATGAGCCACCTTTTCAAATTATTTATGTTGTGTTCTCTTGGTCAAAGAAGTAAAGGACCATCCAGATTGTTACCAGCGTAAAGTTTAAAAGCCAGTGTCTGGGGAGGTATGGGGTCATAGTATGGGGAGGGTTTAAAAGCACAACTGATGCTAAAAGATATGTACACATTTTGGAGCAACATATGCTGTCTTTTAGACACCATCTTCTTCAGGGACATCACTGTTTACTGCATAGCACTGTTTCTAGCCTGTCTCCTATAAAAAATTTGTGGTGCATTATGAAGTGCAAAATACAGCAACAAGACCCTGTACATTTGCGCAGCTAAGACTTGTGTAACTGGAGAGCGGCAAAAAATCTGCTTCCAAAACTGGATCAGTTGGTTTAGTCCCCAAACGATTATTGAGTGATTATTAAGAAGAGGGAACGCTGTGGTAGACATGCTCCTGTCATCTGGGATGTTTACTATGATAAATTCGAACTATCTAGTGTTTTTTTAATCGTGACTGCCTACAGCACTGCACAGTTTCAAGTTTTCCTTGACTTAACACACCTAATGCAGCTCATCAACAGATTATCAAGCCTGTCTTATCATGAGCTGGATAAGGTCTGTTGAGTCAGGGAAAACTTAAACTGGCTTGTGGGTGGCCTGCAACAGGATTATGAAACACTGAGTTACAGGCTGTACATGGATTTATTATCATTCAAAAATCTGCTCAGAAAACTGCATTAATCAGGACGTGACAAGCATTTTTAAGGACTTGACCTATAAATAAATGAATCTACATTTTACTTGTCCAAAGGCCAAAATACACTATATGGCCAAAAGTATGTTGACACCCCTCTTAATTATTGAGTTCAGGTGTCACAGACACACTCATTGCTAACAGGTGTATAAAATCAAGCACATAGCCGTGCAGTCTTCATACTGGGTCATACTGAAGATCTCAGTGACTTTTTAATGTGGAACTGTCATAAGATGCCACCTTTGCCACAAGTAGGTTTGTGAAATTTTTGTCCCTCCAGATCAGCCCACGTCAACTGTAAGTGCTATTATTGTGAAATGGACATGTCTAGGAGAAACAGCAGCTCAGCCACAAAGTGGTAGACCCTGCGAACTCACAGAGTGGCTTTGATAGTGGCTCATGCTTCACTATCTGGCAGTCTAGTAGAATGCATAGTGCCAACAGTAAAGTTTGGTGGAGGAGGGATAATGGTCTGGGGCTGTTTTTCAGTGTTTGGGCCCCTTAGTTCCGGAGAAGAGTAATGTTAATGCTAGAGCATACAAAGACATTTTAAACAATTATATGCTTCCAACTTTGCGGTAACAATTTGAGGATCATGACGGTGGCCCTGTGAAAGTGAGGTCTATAAAGACATGGCCTGTCCTTACCTCAACTAAAACAAGTCATTCAGAGTGGTTTCATGTGCAAATGTTCATTGTAGAGCAACTGACTTGCTGAGATTTCTGGTGGTGACACTGGTGGTGAAAGAAACCAGGGGTCGCAGACTGAAATCTATTTAGTATGTAATCCCACCACTGAACCTAACCATGTCTGAGTTTTTATGTGTAAAGTTGTTGGTAAAATAGTAGTAAATCTGATTTTTTTTTTCCTTTGGTACCATTTCGTACCATTTTTCCTTACAAAGCCCTGAATGTACCTCTCCACCAACATATTCTATTTATGAAAATTCAATTTATGATAAATCTATCATAAACCAATGTCTGAGGAATCAGGTTACCATGTCATGTAATAACTTTATGTGAGGGAGCTTTTAGAGGCACGAACAGCATTAAACGTCTGGTTCCTATCACCACCACTGTGAACAATTCACACTTTCTCTAGAACAGAGCATTTCAAACCACTCTGAATGAGTTTGTTTAAAGCGTAACGATTGACTTGTGCATAAATTTAGAAAAATCGGTTTAACCTAACCAAGCTGCAAGCTAGCTGACTCTGCTGTGAATAAACTAGCCAATAAACTCAAGAAAATGTTTTCAATGAATCAAGAATCTTCATTATGTTTCTGCATTTTGGCCAGGTCTGTGTTCCTCTCTATCTCTTTTGTCGTTCAGTCTCTTTATCCCCTCCTTCCTTCTGATCTGAAATCCCATCCCTCCTCTGGCTTACAATGCTCCCTGCACAGTTAAGAGCCAACCCTGTTGCCACAGCAACACATGACCAGGGACAATGAACCCTGCCACTGAATCCTTAAACCCTTTCACCCATCTTTCCAGCTTCCCGGTACACGCTTAGACAAATAGTCATACATATGCACACCCAACACAACACAATCAGGGAATGTAGTTTTGTAGAGACTATTATGTCTCTCAACACACCGACCATCCTTACCTAGTTGTTATTCTTTGTGCGTAAACTTGCTCTGACTGCCTAAAAGATTTGAGCTCATTAGCATTGGGGCCACATTCCTCAGTATGGCATGACAAGGTGGTGTTTGGATGATTTAGAGGAAGGAATAGAGAGCAAACAAAATAATCCAATTCTCACTATTCTTAACACAAACTCAGTGGGCATGGCAAGAGCTTCCTCTAACTCCAGAGCCTCTAAACTTTAAGGGAAAGTGTATGCACATTCCTACATTCCCCCATTTATGCCTCACTGCACGACCACAAAGCCCCATGGAGACAATGAATTTGCACTTCAGTTACCTTCTTCTCTTTTAAACCAGCCCCTTTACAACCTGTACGGTGAATTCACTCTGTTTCTGAAGCGTTTTTTTAGCCCCCCATCTGACGGCTTCCTTAGTAATCATTGCTTTGATGCACAGGGACTGCAGTGGACACGTGTCTTATGTTCGTCAACACACTCGCCCTTCCAAAATGTAGTGTTTTTTAATTTGAATTTTGTTTTGAGCGAAGAGTTGTCTCTATAAACAAAAATCAGAATTGTCCAGGCTGTGGTCTTGACTTTGTTTCGTTATGGGTATGAAAGCTGGACAGTAAAAAAGCAGGACAGGAAAAATATCGATACTTGTGAATTTGGGTGTTGGCAAAGACTTTTGAGAGTACCTTGGATGGCAAAGAAAACAAACAAATGAATACTCAACCAAGTCAAGCCTCACATCTCACTCAAAGCCCAGATGACCAAAGTGATGAGAAGAATCAATTAATTGGAAAAGACAATTATGCTTGGAACAGTGGAATCTAAAAGAGGAAAAAGACAAGCAGCAACAAAGATGGATGAACACCATCAGAGATATGAATAAGGCATTAAGAAGCCCAAACACTATGGCGTCAAATCCATTTCAAAATTCGCAAGCGAGGAAAACCGCTCTTGCGCGTGCGAAGAGAACTACTTGCTCAAGGAAAACCACCCATGAGGAAAATTAGCCCAACACTTGAATATTTTTTCTGCTCACTATTAAGCTTCTGCTCATGCAAGACTTTCATTCATTTTTGACAGCTTTGGCGGGTCCCAACATATGATTGGTTACTACTGATTTCTGGAACTGAATTGTGATTGGCTGGCTGTCAGTGGTTGTCAGAGCTTTTGCTCCATGTAAAAACCTAGACACAAGACTTTGTGTCAACAAGACTTTCAGTCAAGAAGACGACCTTCATAGTCCGCCAGTACAGTGACGTTAGCCGAAACGCTGCCTGCAATTACTGAATTCTATCTTTGTGAATGTTCAGTAATCATGACGCAACATTAGTTTTCTTTGCGTTTTGCTTACTTGCAAATTTTGAATTGGATTTGATGCCATAAAGACCCAACAGAAGACAGGACAGTCTGGAAAAACACTATCCATGTGGTCATCATATGAATTTGAACCAACTTGATGGCACTTAACAATAATAAAATCAAGATCTTGTTGGCCTAGTAGTTGCAGAGCAGGTCTTGCGCTGTACTAATGGTTTGTGGAGGCTACTGCTATAATGAGGCTTTTATTTGACAAGATCAGTGGTAAACATGGTAAAAACGATTGTGATTTTCTTGTAAAAAACATATGGTGTTTGTCGAGGTACACAACTGCTATAAAACTGTTCGAAAAAGAAAAGGAGAAAAAAAAGCTGATATTAAATCATTCACTTCACTGTTTTTAGTATTCCTTGTTTATCAGTTTTGGCATCAAAACTACATCAAAGTATCTTTTCTGACAAAGATGAAAGTCACATTCCTCCTGAGTGGCGCAACCATCTAAGCCAAGGATATCAGCCTGATGTCAAGGACCAAAAAAAAATCAGCTAGGTAGGGCAGTAACATGTCAATTCCTCCTCATCATTGTGTTTATTTCATGGTCATTCATCCAAAAGTTACATTGGAAATGAGCAAACTGATCACCTACAAAACAGATTAGACGGTCAGACCAAAGTTAGTCACCGTTAGATGCTGAGGATAGGTTGTCTTTTACATAAGGACTTTTCGTGTTGACTATTGCATTCTACAGTCTAGCCCCAGTACCCTGTTTCTTGAAAAACAAAATATGGTTGTCATGCTAAATTAAAATGGGTCTTAGCAAATACAGTAATCTGGACTGAGTTTAGCTAACCTGGTGGTTAATAGTTTTGAAATCCAAGATTTTTTCAGCTTCGGGAATGAAATGAAAACATCACTACCGTCTGGACAATTAGAATGGCATGTATCTGAATTACACATTTTTACATTGCTCAGCCTAATAATTTGGACTAGTTTTCTGCAAGCACTAAATTCATCTGGCAGGCTGGACGCATAATAATTTTCATAATAAGTTTCAGGCTATACGACGCTAGATATGATAGAACTTTAGATAGAACTACTGAAACAGCAACAGGAAACATTCAATACATATATGATTGTGAAAATACAAGGCAAGAATGCACAACTGTTTAACCCCTGACCACAGGACAGTGTCTGGTCACAGACAGGAATTCCAAGTGTTCTACAGCTTCCAAAATGCTTCAGATATGCTTGCCATTCTGTTATTGTTCTTCAGAGTGAAGAGAACCCCAAAGAACCATTGGGAAGCGAAAAGGTTTTTCATGATGCATTCAGAACCCTGACAAACAATTTTATTAAAAGTGAAAACTATCAGTAACTGATCTTGCAAATTTGCCACCTGTTTACACAACTAATGAGTCTCTGCATAAAGGACAGATATTAATGATCTATTTGTTATTGCTATTCATTGGATGCTATCTGTAAAACTTTTTTGATGTAGTTATTTGTTGGTACTGTAACAGCCTAATGAGTGTAAGTGATGCCATACATTGTATAAAAAGATCTCTTTTTGATTTCATAGAAGTTGGCAGTGAGGTTCTTCACGTCTACTCTTACAAAGAACTTTTCTTCTTCTGCCTAATCCTCAACAATCCAAAGTTTTCAACCTCCCTTCACTCCAAGCCCACCTATAGGAGGTCTCCTCTACCTTTACATGCCCACTGCAAGCTCCCCACTTACCACATTCCCTGCCAGCCCATGACTTTGTATCACTCACAGAATCTCAGTACTCAGTCACCAGTTATTCCACAACCCTGCCTTTCAGTCCATTCTGCGTGTTAGTGGTACAGTACTCCACAGTCTCTCATGGCTTCTCCAAAGTTAGCTGTGCCTGCCACAAGTACAACCTTGTCTTCATCCTCCCGCTCTGCTGCTTCCTTCTGTGCTTCACAACACATTAGTAGCCTTAACTCACTGCCTGAGGCCCCCACCAGCCCAATGACAACTTCCCTGTGCCCAAGTACAATTCCTGCAGCTCTGGTCAGTGCCCCTGTCAACATTGCTGTAATTCTGGAGGAGCTTCGTATTTTGCAGCAAAGGCAGATCCACCAGATGCAGATGACTGAAGAGATCTGCCGGCAGGTATTAAGGCTGGGAGAAGCATCTTGCAACCTTGATTCAGCTCCACTCATTCTGTCTCCACTGCCATTCTGTTTGGAAGGTTCGGATCGCACATCAAGAACTTCTCGACTTGATCAAACACCTCCCCCCACCTCTGTGACCCCTCTGTTGGCGTGCTTCTCCACCCTGCTTCCTTCACAGTCTTCAACTAAACCCTCCAAACCTTCCCAATCCCTGTCAAATGACCTGCATCCCCATAAGCCCCTGCACGATGAAACAGCAACCCCAGAGAAGCAGGCTAATGCTACAAGTACTCACTCTTTTGTCTCATCTTCATCATCTGCTGCTATAAGCTATCCACTTAGCCTCTCCTTTGGCTTACCTACCCACTACTCATATGATAAGTCTTCTAATACCATAACATCCGATGCTCCTTCTGCTACTGCTGACTCAGAGGAGCCACAGCACTCAGCTCAAGGAAGTAGTGCAGCTTTGTCCTCAGGGCGTTTGCAGCATGCTTGTCGGTTTTGCGGAAAACTGTTTAGTAGTGACTCCTCCCTGCAGATACACCTTCGCTCTCACACAGGTGAAAGGCCCTACCAGTGCCCTGTGTGTCTTAGCCGCTTCACTACACGAGGAAACCTCAAGGTGCACTTCCTGAGACACCGTGAGCAAAACCCAGAGCTGTCATTCTCCCTGTTGTCTCCCTCACTGTTTGTGTCTGGATCAGGGGGAACGACTGGAGGATCAGCACAAACTCAACTAGTTAGTTCTGCTAACACCAGTATTCAGGACAGGCAGCAGAAACGCAGAGCAGAAGATGATCTGTGTAGTGTAAGTCTAGATGTTTCTACTGCAAGGGGTGCACTGTCCACAGCCTTGCAACGCTCACCACCCTCATCTCTGCCCCTGCCTCCCAGTATAGATTTGGCTCTGTTGACCACCGCTCGCTCCCTCTTGCAGCTCAATTGTGTTGCTGCTGCTGCTGCTGCTGCTGCAGCAGCTGGTACCTCGATATCTTCTACTTCCTCAAACACCCCTTCCTTGTCTTCTTCCTCCCTCCTCTCCTCTCCCTCTTCAGCCTCTACACTTACTGGACTGTTTAAAGGAGCAAAGCAACAGCGCTTTGATGAGAATACTCCTCCAGTCCCTGACTTGCTCCCTCGTCACTTACCCAAAATCCTCTTCCCAGCTGCATCCTCCCACCACCATCCTGCTTTTGGGCTCCTAAGATCTTCAGCTTCAACAGTATCCAACCCATCATCCGGCCAGCAACAAATTACTTTCTCTTGTGCACCTTACCCCAAAGATTCAGCCTCTTCTGCCTCTTCTCTGCCTACATCCACCCCAACCTCAGACACCTCTAAGCTGCAGAAACTGGTGGAAAAGTTAGAAAAAGAGCCTCAAACATATTGCCAGTGGCTTCCCTCTTGCAGCGGGAGCTCTTCCAGCAGTTACAGTACAGTTGGAGCACTGAAAACTGCCAGTACATCCACTACTTATGTGGTAACTTCACCTCCATTCTCCACAACAAACACTCCACCATCCTCATTCAGCAGGGAGATGATGGCAGCCCTTGGGATGAATGCTAAAGGAGAAAATGATTTTGTGGGGACTGTGATGCCTAATCTACACTTCATGACTTCTGCTGGGTCACTCACCCCAAATCAGTGCAGTGTATGCCTCCGAGTGCTTAGTTGTCCCAGAGCACTTCGCCTTCATCAGGCCACTCACCTAGGTGAACGTCCTTTCTCCTGCAAGTTGTGTGGTCGCTCCTTCTCAACCAAGGGCAGCTTGCGGGCACATCTGGCTACACACCGAGCACGCCCACCAAACAATCGCACACAGAATTCCTGCCCTCTGTGTCAGAGAAAGTTCACCAATGCTGTGGTGCTGCAGCACCACATTCGGATGCACCTGGGAGGACATCTGCCTGCAGAGGGTATTGGAGATCATCAGGCCTCATCAGAGCTATCTAAAACTCAGGTGCCTGACAACCCCAGTACTATTTCAGCTAGGACACCCGGGACGGATAATTCCCAGGAGTGTAGTTCTTCTGTGAGTGCCCCAGAACCCCTTACTCTCATTAATTCATCCTCAGGAAGTACCAAAAACAAATTCAGTTCGGAAATGAATCTACCCTCTGACCTAAGCTCTGACCAGTCTCCAAACCACACTCTTCAATCAACCTCAGCAGACACTGCTGATCCTCCTGTCCTCTGTGCTAGTGTGTCCCCTCTAGCAGTCTCTGGTACCCCTAGCTCTCCACTAGCTCTTCAGTCAGTAGGATCTTCAGTCAAAGTGGGATCTCCTGCTAATAATGAATATTTGTTTGAACATCCCATTAAAACTGCTACTACAGAGGATAAAACCATCTCCCCTTGTTTGGCACAAGTTAGCCAAGTTGACCATGCAGTCCATGACAGAGAAACTCATCTGGACATCACTTCATGTGAATCAAATTCAAACCTGGAGAATTTGCTGAGTATGCCCACTCACAACTCGTTAGCATTTTCTCACCCTCTAATAACCACACCACCCTCTTTGGTGGCAATGAGCCCTGAAAACTGTTCTACTCACCCAAGATCCCTGTCAGAGTCTGACCACGATATTGTCTGTGAGCCCAAATCATTTAACCCAGACCCAAACAAAGAAGGTGATAGCCTACAAGACACAACAAGGACTGCCTCAAGGACAGTTTCTGAGGACAACAATGCAGCAACAGTGGCATATACAGTGGAAAAGACAAGTGAGGGACCTGAAAAGAGTGCAGCAGATTCAAATCGTATGCATACAGTGGAGGCAAGGAAGGATGCTCATAGTAATTTAACAGTTGATGCGGTTGGTGTTAAAGATGCTTCAGGTGCCGAAAAAGAGCAACCAGAACCAGTGGTATCTACCTCTTTGGCTCCTTCTCTCCTTCTGTCTCGTCCAGACAAAAAAACCTACTGTTGCTCTGAATGTGGCAAAGAGTATGCAAGTCGCAGTGGCCTGAAGGTGAGGGACCTAAATAAAACTGCATACACAATGTACAAATAATATTTCCGCTTGTCTCTGTTAAGTGTGAGGGTCTATATTTGAGTGATAGTGTGGTCAGCTAGTATCAGCACACTACATATTACATACACTCACTGGCCACTTTATTAGGTATAACTACCATGGACCTACACTCATTGTCCGTTTTATCAGGTCCACTTACCATATATGAGCACTTTATAGTTCTACAATCGCAGATTGTTTCTGTCTTTGGACCTCCACTGGACCACCAATGAACAGGTATTATTTGGGTGGTAGACCATTCTCAGCACAGCAATGTAGACCTACCAAAAAATGTGTATGGTTAGTGGACCAGATAAAATGGACAGTGAGTGTGGATACTACATAGATGGCGTAATTTTATCCATTTGGTCTAAAAAAGCAAACAATTATGAGAAATAAATATTATATAGATACACATGGGTATATGTATGTACTGAATGTGAATGAAACTTCATGATGATATATTGCAAAAAATCTCTCCTTTTATAATCTACAGGGACACATGAAGCATCATGGAGTTACCACTCATGCCCCTGCAAGATCAAGGGTTTCTGAAAGACATCAGCCTGTGTCTTCACAAAATCTGCCCATCACTTCTTCTACACCTCCAGCAACTAGAGCATCAGTCAGTTTCTTGAACCAGTATCAAGCCCGCCACAGTATCAGCCATGTAAATCCAAAAGAGAGCTCTTCTCCAGATCGTACTGTGAGTAATAAAGGAAAAGGGTCTGAGACATCCTTGTCAGAGGAAAACTGAAACAGCCTAAAGCATGAAGAACAGTGTAAACCTTGGCTGTGTGAAGAAACGGAATGGAATTTTGCATTGTAGTAACATGTAACCTGTGTATGTAACCTTTTCACTTCGCTCTTCTGCTAGTGACTGAATTCGTTTTTTAGTTTGTGTAGTGCCGAGTCTATCTGGGACCTGACAAAGTGAATGTCAAATTTTACATGTTAAACTAGTAATGAAGATGGGATATAATTTTTTTAATCAGTTTTAAAATTCAGTCATTTCCAGTTCCACCCGCTAGCCAGGTCTTCCACATCACAGGGGACGAACCCTATTTAGTAAAAAGTGAACCTATTTGAACAGATAGATTGCCATCTGTGCCGAGCTAAAACAGTGTAATCTGAAACATGTTAAGTAAACTTAAAAAAACTTTTTTTTTTGTCCAATTCTGATTTCTCTACAACCGAATTGGACAATTTTTTTGGCTGTTTTTCAAAATATATTATTTATTTATCTATTTACCCAAAGCTCTTACTGTACTAAATGAACGCTTAACTAAATGAACATATAAAACAAACTAGCACATTTCTAGTACTTTCTATTGGCCACATTTCCTGTATAAATAACATTATTGCTCTTTAACCAAACCAACATTTGAAATTCTTAAATGAAAGATTATTCCAGATATAAATCAAACCAAAATAATCAGATTGATTTTGTTAAACTTGAAAGTAGGAGTATTACTGAGTCAGAAATATATGGGGATATGCTAAAATATGGTGTCCATGCACTGCTGTGACTCACCATGTAAATTATCATTTAAAAGTCAAAGCTGACTGTTTGGATTTTTGTTGAAATTTTTTTTGGACCACATCATACATTTTTATGTATTGATGTCACATGAACAGTCTCAAAAAGAAGGTCCGGCTCTACGTTTAGGTCTCAAATGCATAATTAACATTATACTGATGAAGATAGGATGGCAATAGGAGATAGTTTACTTGGAAGTTTTAACTGAGTGTTTGAGTTTTCTCTCTGAACACTCAACTCACAATTGCATGTGATTGCACATTGCCACCAGAGAGGTCTCCAAATCCCCAAATCTTACATAGTGTAGCTTTAATTAACACAAATCAAATGCATTTTTGAAAAGCAAGAGTCAACAGGCTATGTAGCACAGTAAAAGATGCATAATTATGCTACGACTTTTTGGCATAGGTGTAGCAGCAGCATCCAAAACGGTGCGAGAGTCTGACCTTGGCCATTTCCGATCCCTAGCGCAAAGCCAGTGTTCAATCTCTTCAGGTCCATGGTTAAACAATTGGTATGTAACAATATTCTGGGGCGGCATGTCTAAACTAAAGCTTTTAGTTTCTGCATACGATTTATTTGAAATCTCTTTGCAACCCCAGTGCTCTGGTCATTTTCTTTCTTAAAAAAAAACTAAAAAGCATGGGGCTGGAGTTACGCTATGGTGCACTATCACTGTAAACATTTCCATGAAAAAAGAGCTACTGAGCCTCCAAAATGGAGCTACTTTAAGACTAAACATGTTCATACCATGTAAACACTCCTGTAAACAAAATGGCTTTAAGAATCTGAGGATCACACTCAGCTGTAAATACAACTTGGCCTAAGCTCAGTCTTTGTTAATGTTTTTCCTTTTCACACTATGCTATAACAAATAATGTAATCTGTTATGTATTTACACTGGAACTAGCCAGTGATTTGTCAACCATTAATAGTGTTTAGATCACGTAAATGTCAGTCAGTGATAAGTCTTGGTGATCAGTTCTGATGTGTCGCTGCAATAGTTGCAGTATCTGCTGTATTTCTTGTCAGTGTATCAAATCCAGGTGGAAAAGTAACCATTTTTGTGATTTTATGGCGACTCTGTGACTCTGTTTCGATCTGCATCGGTGTTCTGTATTTGGATGTTTTTTTCTGAACTGATATAAATTCACCGGTCACTTTATTAGAAACACCTACCTTGTTAGCGAGACTGTAGTCCATTTGTTGCCATGCACAGTTTGTGTTAGCCATCCTTCGGCCCTTAATCAGTGCTCATTTGCTGACTACAGAGCTGCTCTTGGCTGGATATATTTGGGTGGAGGAACACGCTTAAAAGGAGACAACCATTTTTACATGCGTCACGTGTTGTGCTGTATTCACTAAAGGCTAGGCCAGGGTTCAGCAACCCAAATGTGAAGAAGGACCATTTTGTCCGTTCAAAAATTCAATCCACAACAGTTTATGTCCATTTATTTGAGTACTGTTTTACCATCTTGGCTGTGAATATGTCTCAGTATGTGCTAATGTCAAGGATAGGCTAAAAAATATAATATAAACAAAAACACAGATTTACTTTGCACTGCTTTAAGCTTCAGCTCAGCTATAGCTGCTTTTCTCGCACCTCCAGCAGGAAACTTTTCCTCAAAAGTAGAGTAGTTTCTTGTAAAATGTCTCTCAACGTTCGACTTTCTACGAGGCCGAAGTAACTTTTTATTCGGCAACATCTTGTTTGAATTTTCCTCTTCCACCTTAAATGGTGCCTGAGGCGCCAGAATGGAACTGTTGCACCATTCAAGGTGGAACGGTAAAAAAACAAGAAGCTGACTTCCGCTTTGCCACTTTGTTGCAGTTTCTTGTTGCAGATTAAAACGTATCAGGAAACCTGCTGGAGTGCTTATAAATGCAAATGAGTCAGTTTGCCTTCAAATTAGCGATGGTCGTCTTAAATATCTCTCTGCCTTTTTGTTAGTTGCTAGCTAGGCAAGATTGTTGTCTGCATTACTACGGTGATCAGAAGTCTCCGCGGCAGTCTTCAGGGTTAAAGGGTGAATTACCAGTTCTACATTAACTCCAGTGTTTAAGACCATTTATTGTTAAAACTGTGTTGAACGATCAGCAGAGCTTTATTTTACTGCAAAGGAGGATTATTTTATTTTTACCTACAAATCTAATTCTGCTGTGCAGCCACAACGGGACAGTAAAAGACTCGCATGTGTCTCCAGAACATGTTGCCGACCGCTGGGCTAGACTAACTCTCTTCTGATGTTATCTAGAAGGTGGAAGGAACTCCAGAAACCTAATATAGGGAAAGTGGCTGATTTCTGTGGGTTGGCTGTTGTGAAATGTTTTGTAGTTACTGCTTAGAATATGAATATTTGAATGTTACTGTAGTAACTGTTTTCAAATCATTATTACAATGAAGATGATTAGTCCCAACAACAGAAATGGCTCGTCAGATGAGGAGAACAGTAAGCTAAAAGCTAAAGTTAGTAAGATAGCTGGTTTGCTAGATAACTTATCTCAATTTGGCTTCCTTTCTCTGGCTAAAACATTCAGCAAAATATCTTGTCTCTGGTGTCCATTTTGTGCTGAATAAAGATAAAAATTGCTGTTTTCTTTAAAATTTTGATTGACAACTGAGGTAAGAGTTATACTACTTGGTTATAAGCCTATAGATCAGTGGCTAGGCTAGCAGTCAGGATTGGTACCATAGGGATTCCCAATGTTTGTATGATGTATTTGCGTAATGCATGCTGGGTATTGTAGTGAGAAAACTGATGTAAACATGATAAATGACATAAAATTGTGAATTCTGTAAATTCAATATACAGTGATACAGTGCTTTGCTACAGAGTATTACAAAACATGACACATTAAACTCTCATGTCAGAATGCCCTTTTACTTTCACCTAGCAGTGATTCAACTGCTGTGTTCAGAATGATCCACCACCCAAATAATATGTGGTCAACAGCAGGCCCACGGTCAGGAACTGACCAATGATGAAACCACTGGTTCAAGGTAGGCATTTCTCATAAACTAGATGGTGAGTGTAACTGTCAATTCTGTAATTTGTAAATCAGTTTTTTTTTTGTTTTGTTTTTAGAATATATAAAAATAACTCTTGTGTCTTAGTCCAGTTGTTTGCGTACTGCCATTTCTCAAAGTCTTTAAAAAAAACGTAAATAAATAAAGAACCAAACCTTTTTCAAATAACTTGACTATATATACATGACAGCTGTGAAGTTGCGCAGAGCAGGCATAGTGGAAAAAATGTATACATTCATCTGCAACCAAACTGTTTTCATATTATTCATTAATTCCAAGCCTTTGAAAGGTTGAGATAGTGTCCTTCTGACCTCTAGAGAACTCTAGAACATAAAGCCAGTTTCATAAATATTTGGACACTGGCAAAGTTATTATTTTAGCTGTGTACCACAGCATATTATAGTGCAGACTTTCGGCTTTAACTTGAAGGTATTTACATCCAAATAGGTGAATAGTGTAGAAATTATAACAATTTTCATACTTGGCCCCCCATTATTAGGTTCTCAAAAGTAGTTGGACAGTTGTCTCCTAAGCTGTTCCGTAGCTTGTTGTGTGCTATTACCTCATTATATCACTTGATTTCAAGTGTGACATTTGGAAACTGTTGCTGTTAACTTTCAATATGAAGTCCTTTTTTAATGCAAAAAAGTGGAATGTTTTGCAATGACCAAGTCCAGTTGAGCAAGCATTTCAATTACTGAAAGCAAAACCAAAGGTAAAACGCCACATGTACAAACAGAAACTGAAGACAGCTGCTGTAAAGACCTGGCAGAGCATCACAAGGGAAGAAACCCAGCATCTGGTGATGACTATATGTTCCAGACTTCACAGGGATTTTCCACCACATATTAAAACTGGCAGTTGATTTTTTTATTATATTAGTTTTGAGCGCCTAAAAATGGGGGGTGGGGGTGTTATGTATAAAAACCATTGTAATTCTTAAACCGTTCGTCCCATTTTCAACTCTAGTATACTGTGGTAGACTGTATCTACTATAGAAACCATTCAGTGTTTCTGTTCATGGCTGATTCTAAATGCATTTGATGGTTTTCTAATTAGATCTAAAGGTGTTCTACAGGAAACTAGTGGTCTCTATTGCTTTCTCTAATGGTTTCCAATGGTCCTTTTTCAGCAGGGAATAGAGAATATATCACTGTTGTCGGAAGAAAACCTCGTATCTCAATTTTTGTCGTTTCCTTCACATGAAAACATTTCAAATTTCCATGTCCATTTGGCACCAGTCTCACGGAATGAGTCTTAAATGCAACCAGCAGATGGCGCCTTCCCTCCCTTTTACACTGTTTCCCAACCTTTTCCCTGGAGGCCTGCTGTCCTCCACATTTTCCCCTTCCCTGCTTTCACACACCCACTTCAGCCCAGTAAAGGGTTGGTAATGAGTTGGATTAGTTGGACCAGGACCAGGGTTGCAGGATCTGTGCCAACACATTGCTGCTGAGTCTGAACGATTGTGTTCTGAGAATTATACATTGAGAATGGGCACTTAGAATATGACTGGAGTATAGATGAAGGGAATTTAAAATTAAAAATCAAATATTTAATGCAACTATAATTATTACATTATTTTGCTGATACTAATTGTATCACGTTTTTCTGAAAGGGTAAGAGAGTGTGGGTCACAACCTTTACATCAACTGAAACAAAAAAGCTTGCTTCTAGTACCTTCTGTTTATTAACCATGCAGCCGAAAGTGGAGTAACTGGACATAATACAACTAACCCCGTAGACGTAGGGCTGGCATAATCATGCAATATTAGTTGATAATTAAATCTTGCAGTTAACAATTTAAATGTCTTTTCTTGTTCACTGAATGCAACTATTAAAGTAAAACCTAAATTGTCCAAATTAAGTGTCCAAATTGGCTGATAAGCTAACACTACACCGTTGTGCCTGCACACTCACACGTGCTGAGCAGTGTTACTTTAAACAGCTGTTTATTTGGTCAGTAAGTGAGTGCGTTTACATGCACCTAATAAACCAATCCTAATCAAATTTCTCCAGTTATCTGATCATTCAAGAGGTCATGTAAACAGCAAACTTCGATTTCTTAGATTGGAGTAAGATTTGAAAGCCGATTAAGAAAGAGCTGGATTGTAGCTCAGTAATCAGATTTCTCGGTGCATGTAAACTCTTACTCTGATTTCTTTCATTTTTCTCAGGCTGTGTATGTGCGAAAATAGACTGTGGTACCAGAAAATGCAAACAGGTCTGAGCACAGCACTCATGAGATGGCAACAAAATACTTCTGGAGCGATGCTGAAATCAATTATATGCCTGATGAAATGAAGGATTTAAATATTCTTCATGTTGTAGATGATGTATATTCAGATTTTTCACTAAAGCGACTCAATGTTTAAAAAAGGCTGCAGCATGATGTTTTAGTTTGGAGGAATAAAGCTGTTGTACTGCCAGCGCCTCCTTGATTGGCCTCCTTGATTGGCCTAGTTGAAAGGCATTCCAGTGTTATTTAGACATACAGTTGAGCCTTGTTCTTGCCACGACATATTTCTGTGAAGTGCTCTTTGGGCTGGTTTACACCAACTTTGCTGCTGGCTTTGTGGTACTTTATTAAAGAGCATAAAATAAAGAACTTGTAAATTGTCTTCTTGTGCTGATATTAGGGCACAAGTAAGGTTTAATGTTATAGGCCACTCTTAACCGGCAATTACATGACAATGCATCTGAGGCGATGTTGCAGAGTAATGCAAAAGTTATGTAACGAGTAGCGTAACAAATTACTTTCCATAGGGAGTAAACAAGTAAAGTAGTGCATTACTTTTTTTTAAAGTAATGAGTAATGTGTAATACATTACTTTTTTGAGTAATGACCCCAACACTGGTGTTGAGTCAAGCAAAGCTACACAAGAGTGAAAATATAAGCAAAAAAACATTCATTTTGTTAGTATACCTACATAGTATAACTACATAGTTAACAAATACACCAACATTACTAAGTGCTCCCCTTTAAACATGTTGGAACGTTGCATTTGCCCCATGATGTCTCAATTAATGCATTCACTGCTTACTTTTATTTACATTTATTTGCCTCAACCTGCACACACACGATTCATATTGCACTTGGTTCATTTTGTGATGAACTCATGTACAGCATGGCTGTAGCCAAGAACAGCTGGACAATAAAGCACCACAACTTACGTGAAAGCAGTGCTTTTAATAGAAATGTCCGCTGCGACTGAATCAGAAGCTAAACGTTTTGCCGCCAGAAGGTATTCAGACTGTTAGGTCACTGGCTGCTAAGCTAAGCCAACCTAGCTCTGACGGAGGATGGAGTGCTCTGTTTGTGTGACAGTGGATGAGTATGAAGGTGAGTATGCATCTTCAAGAGTGGGAGGGGTGAGTCATGCTGCTCCTCAGTCCTGTGTGAGAGCAGTGGTGGTGAAGAAAGAGCCAGGCTTTGAGGTGTTTGCATGTTTAGATGCCAGTTGCCATTGCGCACCAAACCTGGCTCCTGTGACATCAGCCAGAAATGCCAATGCAGATGTAAACAGCAGTCAGGAGCCATGTCTAGTGGTAAGCATTAAGACTCAAAAATACTCCATTAAAGTGGACTGAGGGGCTTTCCATGCACAGTTTGAACTGGTAGCCAAGTCGGGTGAGTGGTCTGATGAACAGAAGGCCCAACAGCTGATGTTTTGTTTGATCAATGATGCATTAGCTCGCCTGATATTGCTAGACCCTAGCGAGAGATTGGATTACAGTCCATTGGTGCTCTGGAGGCATTTTGGCCCAAATTCCTTCAGTCTGTAATGTGACAGGCAGAGGAACCATTGAGAGCCCTAGTTAACAATAGTGAACTTACTTAGACGGGCTTATGCTCACGTGCCACCTTCTGTACGGAGTGAACTAGTCTCCAACTGAACTGCATGCACACATACAGCTGGCCTGCACCTGTGACTAGGCCAGAGGCCCCGGAGTTGGTGTTGGAGAGAGAAATGGCATGGTCAGCAACTTCACGGTGGACTGGACAGATGTTACCAGTCCTTCAGTCAGAGCTGTGAAGGAGTTGTGTGTCACCAAACCTGGCATGGGTGGAGGAGATGACAGAATTGATCTGAGGGTTGGACATGGCTGCAAACAATAAGCCACTGGCACAGGGCCACCGGTGCTGGACGTGGTGGGACGTTTACCAGGGCTTGTCCATTGGGCGGATGAAGTTTGCGACATGCTGTGACACATGCTGCGACGAGGTCACAATGAGTGAGACGCTATAGGCCCTATATACACGTCCTGCACGTCCCAGATGAATGCTGCCCTAGCCAAAAAGAACAGCAGAGGCAGCAAACAATGTGTGGCGGCGGAGCTGATATGCTGGTGGTGCAGAAAGAAGGGACACTGTGCCAGCCAATGCTGTGGATCTGAGACGGTGGAGAGAATGGACCCTACTGCTAATGCCACAGCCAAGGAGTTGCAATTGCAGACTTTTGGGTGCTTTATGATAGTTTGCGATAAGATATTGGCATAAACTTTGACTTTAAAAATTTTGACCTACTTTATATATAAGGCAATAGTACAATAGTACATTAGTATGTTGGATCCACCTCTATTTTACAACATTATCAACATTGCATAGCATCACTGTCCAAAAAAACATGTATCTCCTTTTTTTTTTTTTCCTTTTTTGCTGTTCTACATCATCTGAGGCGCAGTGGGTAGCGCTGTCGCCTCACTGCAAGAAGGGCCTGGGTTCAGTTCCCCGCCCAGGCGACCAGGGTCCTTTCTGTGTGGAGTTTGCATGTTCTCCCCATGTCTGCGTGGGTTTCCTCCCAATAGAAATGCTTCAAAAGTACTTGGAATAAAACCTCTTCACATCGACTTACACTGAAAGTAAAGAACATGTTTGCCCTTAACTGTAAAGTTACCATTTTGGAGATACTTGTTTTTAGGCTACATATACAGTATTTGAGTTGTAGACACTGTGACCCCTGGTTCCTATCAGCACCACTGTCACTCTACAATGAACCAGTTCACGCTGTATCACTCTGAATGACTTTGTTTACATCCAATCGACTGAATTATACAGTTTTTCTCCTTTAAAGGACAGCAGCGCCAAAAAGGGGGCGTTTCTACTTAGTTTACAGGGACGCCCTAAAATCATTGGGAATGCGTACTGTGGGAGTGGCGTTGGCAGCGGGACTGGGGTGGGCTTATTCGAAGAGGAGGGTTTTTGGGGGGCTCCTTGTAGAATAGAAGGTCTGCCAGGAGCACCTTTATGGAGCGACCACGTCAACAGCTGAGAGGGAAGTGCTGCAGAGAAGGAAAACCATGAGATCAGAGTGAAACAGGACTGATTATAACTCAAAGTACTAAAGATAACCAGGATAAAGAGGAAGACAGTATGACTTTTCACTCAGTCCTTTCCTTTTTTCCCTCTCAGTGATGGAAAAGAATGAGTTGGGGGGTCAAGTTCATGCAGTGCAGCGAAAAGCTATGCAAGATTTGCCCGTTAGCAGATTCGCCTTTTTCTCTTATTGATGTAACCGTGTTTCTGAGAGGTGACTGGAGCGATAGTTGTCAGTAAAAAGGGTTTAGACTGTGCTTTTTTGCCTGGTGGTGATTCTTTAGCAGCTCGAAAAGAAAGTTTCTGGACACCCGGGTGAGACGTTTCCTTAACGGAGGAGAAGGTTTGCTCCCAATCATGGCGGTTTGGTCGGATGGACTCACAGAGCTGCTGCTCTTCCTCTCCTGTTGGCTCTGCGTTCATGGAGATGCGCCCAAACAAGACATCAAACCAGAGGTGAGCAGGCTTTTTCCGGCTTACTGTACTTGTACAGAGACACGAAGCTGAAGTTGTCTTGTTTTTCGCCAGCTACTGGTTCGAATTTTCCCGTTCCACCTTAAATGGTGCAGCAGTTCCATTCAGCAGTCCTCAGGCGCCAGAATGGAACTGCTGCACCATTTAAGGTGGAACGGGAAAATTAGGGAGAGCTTTTGTAGAGGTGAAAATAACCTACTAAAGATACCAATACAGATGCAAAAAGATGTTCAATTTGTAGACTCAGTACTTTGTAAACCTCCTTAAAGGGAAATTCCACCATTAGAGAATCTTGTAGGTTCTGATGTCTTTACAGTGGCGGTGATAGGAACCAGGTGTCAGGATGTCTACAACACATTTTATTTACTATCCAAAACCACCACTGAACCTTGTGAGTTTTTATATGTAATGTTAATGATGGTAAAATAGTCATAAAACTGAAAAAAATCATTTTTGAGGGACTATTTTACGTCACAGCACCTTGCATGTATCCCGCTGCCATGAAAACATTAAAACAAATGGATTCAAGTACATTTTAACCCAAAACATTATCACAGAACTATAATAAAACAGTGTGTCAGACATCAGGCAGCATATATCTACCTGTTAAATGTAATAAATAACTTTCAGTGACGGAGCGTTCAGAGGCTTTAAACTCTTCAGATGTCTGGTTCCCATCACCACCACTGTGAACGATTATCATGCTGCAAGTTTTTCTAGAACGAAGCATTTCACTTCAGACCACTCTCAATGACTTTGTTTACATCTTATACATTTAATTATATAGAATTTTGGAAAAAATGGTGCAGTTCCCCTTTAAAACTGCTGTGTGAATCGTTGTAAAAAGTCTTTTGTTGAACGCCTTTGTTTAAAGATTAAAGGGAAATTTGACCAGTTTTTCAAACATTCTGCATAAATAAGTCTTTAAGATATACAAAATCATTCAGGGTGATTTAAAGTGAAATGCTCTATTCTAGACACATTTACAGATTGAGAATTGTTCACACTTGTGGTGATGGGAACCAGACGTCTGAGGTGTGTAAAAGCTCCTACACAGAAAGTAAATACAGAAAATGCTTCTGAATATTTGTTTAATATTGTTTTACAATAGGTTTGGGATAAGATTTTTGCCTAAAACGTATTAAAGCTTACTAAAATGTAAAATCCATTCATGGAGGAGAGGCACATGCAGTGCATTGTAAGGAAAAATAGTCCCCAAAGGAAAGTTTACCACTGTTTTTTAAAATATTAATAATTATCAATTTTGCACATAAAAGCTCATGACATGTGTAGGTTCACTGATCATTTTGACAGTAAATAAAACGGTTGCATTTGTGTTGTAGACAATGCAACCCCCAGTTTCTTTCACTGCTGTAAAGAAACCCGAGTTGATAAGTTTTTGTACAGTGAATCATTTTAAAACACTGAATGATCTCAACCACTGAATTATGCAGAAGTTTTGAAAAGTTACATTTGCTTTAAGCTTTAAAATGAGCTATTTTGATGATTAAAAATAGCTAATTTTTAAAGTTCGTAGCTTTAAAAAAAAAAATAAAAAAAAAAAATATATATATATATATATATATATATATATATATATATATATATATATATATATATACACACACGCACACATCTCAATAAAGTGATATTTCTAATGCGAATACTGCGTCAAAAGATATGCAAAAATGTGGTGTTGACTGCCTAGTCACTTTGTCTTTGACGTTGAAAGTCAACAACACCTTCACAACATCACTATCTAAGACATGTGACATCTGCATTAGCCAAAATTATTTCAGTATATGACAACATAACTATCCTCCATCAGCCAGGAGACAGTTTGCCACAGTGGCACTGTGCGCTCCTAGCTGCTTTCTGATCTTGTGACTGTGAAGTAATCCTTTTGTTGTAAAAAGTTGGAGTCATGTGAGAGGAGAGGGGTAGGAAGATGCTGAGTGTGCAAGGATATGGCCAGCGAAAGGAGGAGATTTGCCGCGGGGAGGCGAGAGTGCCGTCCCACTCCCCGCCCTTAAGCTGAGGATCCTGACATCTGTTCTGAGTTATGATTATGGCCACAAACAAGGGAAAGAGATCTTAGCTGAGTGGAAGGCTTCAGCTAGAGGTAGCCTATGTTTTCTCTCTGCTTATCACTCTATCTAAAGCATATCCTCCTTCCAAAGAGTCATACACGCTTGTCTTTGAACCTGAGTGATACCTATAATATATCGCTGTTGCTGGAAGAAAACCTCCCATGTCCAAAATGATGACTTCACAGGAGAACTAAAAAACCTATGTAACATTTAATGTAAGTCAATGGAACCAGACTTTTTTCCAAGTCATTTTGGGTCAGTTCTTTTAGTCCTTTCATCATAAAATTTGTATACAATGTAAAGGGTAACAAGTATTTTCAAATTATGTCAAAAACTGAAAAACGTAAAAACTGGGGATACGAGGTTTTCTTCCAACAACAGCGATAAACAGAATTCAAATCACTGTGTTATTATTCGTTTACAAATCCCCATGTTTGAATATCCTAATTTGTACATCAATCAATTCACAGTTAAATTATTGTATTAGGGTTTTATATCCTTTCCCTACACTCTCAAAGATGGAACCATTGAGTTCTGTATAGAACCATTTCATGCTTAAATGGTTCTTTGCGTGGTAAAAGGGCTCTTCAGATTGATGGAGAATGTGTAGTATAAGGTTCTATATAGAACTTTTTTGAAAATGATTCTGAATGGTACCCAAAGGGGTTCTTCTATTGTTACGATGTCAAGCTTGTAACAATAGAAAAACCCTTTTTGATGCTATATATACAGCACATTCTCCATCAATCTGAAGAACCATTTCAGCATGCAAAGAACCATTTAAGCATGAAATGGTTCTATATGAACTGGTAGTGCTAAATAGAATGATTACTTTACTAAAGAACTCTTGAAGAGCCATTAAAAGTGTAGTAATCATTTCGATATTTGTCTTTTTGTATTTCTCATAACACAAATGTTGCCTAATAATTCAGGTAAACTTATGTACACATTTCAAAATCCTGCTCCTGGTTGTTCCCATGCTGGATATGAGGAGTTTCAGTACTGTGGCAATTGACACTGTTGTGGAAAAACCTAATAAAAAAAAACTTCCTTTTTTGTTGTTATTAATGTTTTTGCATAATTTGAACATCCAGTTGCTCATCATTCTCTGTTAAAATTTCCCAGTGAACAGACCAATAGAAATGATCCAGAATTACTTGGGAAAAAAATCTGGTTACCTTAACTTCCATTATAGCTTAGGAATGTTTTTCTTTCTCCTGTTAAGTCACCATTTTGGAGATATGACAGCAACAATGTGCAAAAAAGGCATTCAGTGTGTAGAATCAGCTCTTTGTAAAACCTCTTGACTGAAAAATTCAACAGTAAGAAAAGTAACCTCCAATGGCGATTGCTAAGCTTGGATGTAGGGATGGGCAGTATGACAGTACTTGACTGTTATTGTGATATACATCAGGTTTTAAAGAACACTTAACAAGAGCATATTTCAGCAAAACAGAGCATAATTAATCCAGTTAAATTGGATTTGGTGCAATGCACTGTGTAAAGCAGTGAATGGAAGTCATTGCGTTCATAGTTTTTGATAATATTTTTAGTACTTTTTCTTTTCTTCTGTTCTAACTTATCAAAGCTCAGCATATGAAGTATCAGGATATACATTGTGTATCGCGAAAATGTCCTAAAATATCACAATGTAATATGTTGGCCATATCGCCAACCACTACTTGGATGATTATGTAAATTTAAACATCATTTAATTATTACGATAAATGTTGTAAACTTGATCCAAATTCAGTGAGTGTTACCGAGCTTTACCACATATCTTGCGTTCTGCCAAATGGAAAAGTAATTACCATATAATTACCAACTGAACTAGCTTTAAAATTACTTAATAATTCATAACGTTAACTGTATTCTGCACAGACATGGTGCATATAACACTATTGACGCTCTTGCATTAGTTTGCTTGAAAACCAAGCATCCTTCTTGGACAAGCTGGTCCATTGTACTCTCTACTGCGGAGTGGAACTGTACTGGAGTTTCTTTGTTTAATATGCATTTTCCCCAGAATACATTGCCAAACTAAAAGTCTTTCCTTCTGGTGTTCAAGGGTCAGAGACCACCCTTCATTTATTGCATTTCCAGTCAAAACAGTCATTAAGTAAGTGTGTTCAGTCTTTGTCTTTATTACAGCTTCCATTCTTGTCAGGAGATTCACTTTCAGTTTTTCAAAGTAATCTGCAGGGATATTTTTCCACACCTGCAAAGTTCACAATCTCATTAATCCCAAATTCTTCACTGATGTGAAGCCTGATGAGGCCTGGACTCTGGACTGTGGCCAGTCTATTGTTCTGAGAGCACCAGCAGCTTCTTTGTTTCATTTGACAGCTAGACATTCTTTCAGACTCTTAACACTGAGTTATCTTCTCACAGTGGAAGGATGGATAGAAACACCTGTGGATTATTTTGAATCTGAAGCAAGAGAGGAGCTTGATTTTTTCAAAGATGATAACTTTAAGAACTGCTTATCTGATGGTGACAGTTTTGGTGGTCTTCCAGGTTGTTAAGAGTCCCCTTTTCTTTGAACTCCAGTTTTTGAAATTCCTCTTTGTTTTCTCATTTTCCTTTGATTTTCTTATTCAAGTGGATTGTCTTAAATACAATCTCCTCTGAAATATCCTGAAAAATGAATAATGGCCATTTTGACTGGAAATTAAATGACTGAAGGGTGTTCTATGACTTTAGCACAGTACTGTAATATGTGTAGTTTAGTAGTTGGTGCATTTTCTGCAAGTGCATTTTTTTCTATTATATACTTTTTTTTTTAGCTAACCATAGATTAGAATGACTGTACAAAAGGACATGGTTAAATAAAGGTGAAGCAAAAAAAGACAAAAGAACTTGCCTAATATCTGCGCTTATGTACAGTGGGGT